GATGAGGACGAAGTGGGGAGGGATGAGGACGAAGGGGGAGGGATGAGGACGAAGGGGGGAGGGATGAGGGGCAAGGGATGAGGGGGAAGGGATGAGGAGGAAGGGGGGAAGGGATGAGGAGGAAGGGGGAAGGGATGAGGAGGTAGGGGGGAAGGAAGAGGAGGAAGGGGGAAGGGATGAGGGGAGGAAGGGGGAAGGGATGAGGGGGGAAAGGGGGAAGAAGAGGAGGAGGAAGAGGGGAGAAGAGAAGGGAGCTACATTTTTAATGAAAATATTACAAGCAAGTGTCAAAGCATAATTAATCTGAATCACAGAATGATGGTGTTCTGTGAAGACGACTTAGTCACCCATAATGAGCATTTCACCCGCTCTAATTAGACCGTACATGTACATCAAGCTTAAACGTTTCCTCTTCTTCGTAAATGGTGTTCTTCGTAAACACCATTAGGCAACATTTGAGGACCTCCTGCCATAAACGTTCCTCTCCCCCGTGACGCACACTATCAGTTTCCGGTTCATCACACAGGAAAAGACGTTGGATGTTACTATTTTACATTTAACGTTAATACACTCGCTGTTCAAGAGCATACCCATTAGTATACTCAACTAATGCTTCAAAGGTTAGGGTAAGGCCTACTAATTTTAAATGCAGTCTGAGTAAAGGCCCAATGATTACTTACTCTTAAAGTATACTTTGTTCTAAATTAAATTTCCATCTTTACTCAACGTTCCTTTCTACCGACATCCATCCAGTCTTTCCCAAAAGAAGTTTTTATTTATTAAAGTCCTGGGTCTACATGCATAGGTTCGCGTAATAACACAATTTCAGGTTTGTATATTTATTGGATATACTGCAGCTTGTACAAGGAAGGTCAAGTTTCAAAATATACACAATCACTTACTGCGAACAAATACAAGTTATAAAAACGGGAATACAACTGTAATAGGATATAGACGTCCCACCCTTGTCTCTCTTTAAATTCATTTTCCCTTTCTTTAATTCTTTGGATAATCCGATGATCTTCGGGAGTGCATCAACCTAGGACTATCTTGATACAAAACGCTGATGCAATATACACAGCTTTCGCGAAAGCTTTCGATATTGTGACCTTGGTGTAATAGCCTAAGGCTGTATATTTTTTATATCTTTCTTCAAAAGATCTGATGTAACACAAACAAGGAGCAACGGGCTCAAGTCCCAATGTAGGACAGAAAACAGGAGATGCTTTTTCACTTATAGGGTTGTGAACCCGTGGAACCGCCTGGGCTAGTTGTGCATTAGCTAGTTGCTAGTTGTCCTCGGCGAGGACATTTTTGGATGCAGGCGACGAGTCAAAATAACATGGCTAAAGTATGTTGACCAGACCACACACTAGTAGGTGAAGGGACGACGACGTTTCGGTCCGTCCTGAACCATTTTCAAGTGTGATTGTCTCAAGTCACAACTGATTTGAGAATGGTCCAGGACGGACCGAAACGTCGTCGCCCCTTCATCTTCTAGTGTGTGGTCTGGTCAACATTTTTGGATGACTGGTTGCAATAAATAGAAGATGCCTCATAGGTTAGGGACGTATTTCTTGAGTGTGCGTGTAGTAAACACGTGATGTGGGCTAAATGAAGAGGAAATCGAGGCAAGAATCTTTCATAATTTTATTAATTGATTTTGAAATTCTTTGGCGCCTACGCGTAGCCTAGAGTTGGACTTGATAAGCTACTCATTTGTGAGGAGGCCAACCCAATTAATCACTATTAGATTTTTTTCCTTAGAAATTCACACTAGCCCAGGCTAGCCTACACACGTGTACTTGACTATCAAACTTGCTGATGATTAAGTACACAAATAATGGTTAAGAACCTAGGCTAGAGTGAATTTATACAATTTATTAATTTCGCTGCAATGTATAGCCCAACTGAATTGTTAGTATGCATAGATATTCGACAAATCTGGCAAGCTCATCATGTAAACGACTACCATCACTTGCCTCATAAACCGGGGTGATGTCATTTCCGGTGCAGTGATTTCACTCGGACGCTAGTGCCTACTTGTCATCCCTTACACCTACACTTGTCCATTACCAGACTAGTGGGCACCGTTAAAAATCTAAATTAACAATTTAAATACTTGATAAACACCTGGAAATGATATCTGATCAACTTTGCTGTGATTCATTCCTCAGACTATGAGCTGCTGCATTTAACAGCCTGGTTGACACGCCCAACAACGTGAAGGCGTAGTCAGAAATCGGATCGCGATGACATTGATCCCCGGAACCAACTCCTGCTTGAAGGAGTTCTGAGAGTTCTATTCCCCAGGCCAGGCTTGACTTGTGAGAGCTTGGTCCACCAGGCTGTTGCTTGGAGCGGCCCGCAGGATCACATATCCACCACAGCCCGGTTGGTCCGGCACTTTTTTTTTTTTTTTAGAAAACAATCTCTTTTACTCTTGAAGATGACCACGGTTGTTCCGCCAATATTTCTTATATTTGCTGGGAGGACGTTGAACAAATATTTTTTTATAACTCAAAGTAAGCAAAAGGCACGATAACCCTTTCCGAAATATTAGCATCTAATAACAATGGTATATGGCGTAAGAAGACGTATACAGTATGTTTATGCCTGCCGATTCAAAGAACCGGGTTAAAGCTTTACTGTGGAAGCCAAGTGTTCATTAATTAGGGTAAAAGTAATCAAAAAATGAAATATAGCAGGAATCTGATTTGTAATTTCCGGCTCCTAATTACAGAAACTTGACATGACTACACAATTTCCTAGCTAGCCTTAATATGATGTCACAGGTGAAAAACCCAGGCTCAAGCGGATATAGACTAATCTTGCCTTTTCGCAGGTCATGGGGCACTCAATAGCTATAGTACCCACCGGGGGCTGAACCATAACACCAGTACCGTCACACAACCCAACACTTAAGTCATCCCAGGAATTTATTATCCTAAGGCGAATCTTTGTCCACGTCAGCAACACAACCAATACGATAAGTCCAGACACAACAATTTCTCAGTACCATACTGCAACCTCAACGCCACACCGACTAATAATGCGCATCTAACGCCTAAAGTATCAACACCATATTTAATGCTCGCCTCGCATTACTAAAATACTACACCGATCACACCTTAGGCTTGCCTAACAGTACTATAAACACCCCTAACATTACCACATCGACAACTTTCATGGGATGGAGGCACGAACCCTGAGAAAAATGAAATGCAACTGGCTTAGTATAGTTCAAGATATTACAAAATTACACCCGTTCATTAGTCAAGTCATACACACTTGGCAAACTATACACACTATACACAAAAATCGAAGTTCTTGATAACAGTACAGGATGCAAGACAGTCAGTCGATCTCCTGATAAAATGAAACGAAGCGACATGTACAAGATCTAGGAATCCAAGACCACGCCAAAAGCAATGACATTGTTCAATCCTCACATTCCTCTTCAAAGTGAGAGAGATGGTTAGGCAATCATGGCTAGAAAATATACAGAGATCGTTTACTGCCCGCATAAAATCAGTAGCTGCGGGGTATTGTGTGGTATTGGGAATGACACGGTGTTATCGTGTGTGGTGTTAGAAACAATTCACTAGCACTGGCGAGTGCTGCGGGTGGCACTGGTGGTTTTATTGTGGGAGGCAGGAGTCTTGTAGACAAAACAGCAGCATTTGAAGGCGGGGGAACAGCAATCCAACCAAGTTACAAGTGCCTAGACTTATAATGTAAGTTATACCCCTCCCTAAAAGTCATTATTATTGGTTACCTAATGTGAAGGTACACTGTCTACATCTCCCACACCTACAGAAGTGTTGATCCTGCATCTCACCCCTCATGTCCTGCCAATATGTGACGTGTAGTGTTGATCCCCCCCCCCCCCCCAAAAAAAAAGTGCCTCCATGTGTCCCTCCCTCCTAAGGAGTGCCTACATGAGAGGAAAAGTACCCCTCCCATCCACCGTAAGGAATGCCTACTGTACATGTGAAGGGTGGTGTTGCTCTCTCACCCTCCTAAGGAATACTTAATGTGAGGGGCAAGTGTGCCCCTCCCACATCCTCCTAAAGTGCCTACATGTGAGGGGGAAGTGTCCCCCCCCCAAGGAGTGCCTACATGTGAGGGGAAGTGTGCCCCTCCCAAGGAGTGCCTACATGTGAGGGGAAGTGTGCCCCTCCCAAGGAGTGCCGACATGTGAGGGGGAAGTGTGCCCCTCCCAAGGAGTGCCTACATGTGAGGGGGAAGTGTGCCCCTCCCAAGGAGTGCCTACATGTGAGGGGGAAGTGTGCCCCTCCCAAGGAGTGCCTACATGTGAGGGGAAGTGTGCCCTCCCAAGGAGTGCCTACACGTGAGGGGAAGTGTGCCCCTCCCAAGGAGTGCCTATACGTGAGGGGAAGTGTGCCCCTCCCAAGGAGTGCCTATACGTGAGGGGAAGTGTGCCCCTCCCAAGGAGTGCCTATACGTGAGGGGAAGTGTAGGCACTCCTTGGGAGGGGCACACTTCCCCTCACATGTAGGCACTCCTTGGGAGGGGCACATGTGAGGAGGAGTGTGCCCCTCCCAAGGAGTGCCTACATGTGAGGAGGAGTGTGCCCCTCCCAAGGAGTGCCTACATGTGAGGGGAAGTGTGCCCCTCCCAAGGAGTGCCTACATGTGAGGGGAAGTGTGCCCCTCCCAAGGAGTGCCTACATGTGAGGGGAAGTGTGCCCCTACCAAGGAGTGCCTACATGTGAGGGGAAGTGTGCCCCTCCCAAGGAGTGCCTACATGTGAGGGGAAGTGTGCCCCTCCCAAGGAGTGCCTACATGTGAGGGGAAGTGTGCCCCTCCCACCCCCAGGAGCCAGATGGCAGCACAGACCCCTGCAGTCCTCCCGCCCCTCCCCCCGTCACCACCCACAACTGTTGCTGCTCCATCACGCCCCTCCCTCCCCTCCTCCAGCAGGCCTCCGCCAGTGCCCTCCCTCGTTAGCACTGCATCAAGAGAACTAAAACTCACCAGAACTTTAGTAAAGCGACGTTCTAGTTCCTCAGTGTCCGGCATGGGTAACTTGTCCTTTGTCAGCGTCGCCACTCCAACTGAACTGTGAACGCCATTATTTCTCGTCACGGGCTCCCCTCCCCTGTCCCCAATGCACTTGCTTTCTGCACCTCCCATTGTCGAAATCTATAACGTTACATTTACCAAAAGTCGACAGAAACACAACACACAAATTCCATATACGATAAAGGAGCCAGCGTCAACCACCGCGCACCATGGTTCAGTCTCGACTGGTGTGAGATGTTTGGGTTGGTGGCTCTCACAAGTGAGGAGGCCGCGCATGCGCTCTCCGCCCACCACTTGCTCTCCTACTTCAATCTTTATTTATTTAGCTTATACGCTGTATACTCAAGGGACTTATCAACACTTATTTTAAACCAGAGGAAAAATACACATCAAATTCAGTATCTTTGTATCATAACAGCTATGAAAAAACTATACGTTTAAAGTTATTTGTAAATATTAACATGTTCTTAGTGTAATATAATAATAATAATAGTAATAGTAATGACAGTAATTCAATACCGAAATAATTATCGAAGTTACTTTGATTTTAAACCAAATAGTGACCATTATTGATTATCAAAGGCATGTTGCTCTGACTGTCCGCTGCTCGTCCTCGTAAACATTAACTAAATACTTGTAAAATACTTTAAAACATTTTTCACCCTGTTAAATAAATAAAAACAATATACACATGAATCATTATCAACCAATCCTCATGCTATGTTCATTCAGCCCGTCCTTATCAACAAAAGCCAAATAAATGTTCATTCCATGCAGCCACCAAACCCCGTTTATGAACGAAAAACGTCTTACACAACTCACAACTAACGTTCGAACATTTCTCGAACAGTGCTTCGCTGACGACCTCTGTTCAAATCCAACCAGTTCTCGACTCAAGTCCCAACCCGTCCTCGACTCAAGTCCATTACATCCAGCAGCCCATCCTCTAAACAAAGACCCCAAAGTCCATTCCATGCACCTGCCAAGCCCCCTGTTTATGAATGAAAAACGGTTTTCACGTTACACTACTCACAGCTGATTTCGTTCGAACACTTCCGGAACAAGTGCTTACTAACGAATTTTGTTCGAACCACAACGCTGTAAATGCAGCCAGTCCTATATATCTATGCCTGGGGTTCTACTGCCCAAAATTATCTGCCCCTAATTACTTAACACAAATCAAACCGCTGTAAATGCTTCACCCACGTACTACAAATACAAATAATCGCCAATAGAACCTAAACTCCTAACCTAGCCATGCACAATATGCTAATATATTATAATATTAATTTATATTTCAGTAAATTCCCGTTTTGAATGAACAGCATGTAAAGATTTATGAATGGGTCTGTGCGGTCGACCGCTGGATGTAATGGACTTGAGTCGAGGACGGGTTGCCTCACACCAAGTCCATTCCATCCAGCGGTCGACCCAAAAGGGGCATTCATAAATTTTAGCGTGCTGTTCATTCAAAACAGGAATTTTATCAAATATAAGTTAATATTATTTTATATTACCATATTGTACATATTTAGGCAGGTGTTTAGGTTCTGTTAGCAATTATTTGTATTTGTAGTACGCGGGTGAAGCATTGACAGCGTTGTGGTTCCAACAAAATTCGTCCGTGAAGCACCTGTTCTGGAAGTGTTCGAACGTCATCAGTTGTGAGTCGTGTGTGTAAACCGTTTTTCATTCATAAACAGGGGGTTTGGCGGGTGCATGGAATGGACTTTGGGTCTTTGTTTGGAGGATGGGCTGACTCACAACTGATGACGTTCGAACACTTCCGGAACAAGTGCTTCGCTGACGAATTTTGTTCGAATCACAACGCTGTAAATGCAGCCAGTCCTATATATCTATGCCTGGGGTTCTACTGCCCAAAATTATCTACCCCTAATTACTCAAGACAAATCAGCAATTAGAACAATAACAAACTCAAGCCCCAGACAGCACTCGGTCCCTTACTTAAATCTTTGAATTTAAGGGGCCATCTTCCACTTTTTGCCTCCCCTATTTCCAGAGGCGACTGTTTCTATGGTCATTTTAGTAGCTGCTGCTATCTTTTGGCCCCTCGATCGGATTCTTCTTCACCAGAGGTGGTCCTGCAGGGTTGGGGGTCTAGCCTGCTGTTGGTTGGGATAGGCCTCCGTTAGAGTCTGATTCCCGGGCCCTGGCGCTTCCTTCAGCTGATGCCTCTGATGCTTTGACATCGCAACTGCTCAACACATCACGAAAAGGTAGCTCCGGGCGTTGCGGTGACCGTTTTGAAGTTTACCATTCTGACAGTGCCGTATAAGCTTACCAGATAATTTCTCAGTCTTCAGTGGAGTTGGTTCCCCCTCTGTTAGGTTCAGGGGCGTCGAGACATTCCTCCTTCCCTCAGCTCCACACGGTCATTGCGACATGATTGCATTCGGGTATGGATGAGTTAACCTCCTCTCGGTAGGTGTTAGGGCTCCCAATCCCCAGGAAGGACTCCGTGGTACATTCTTGTCCTCAGGACTGAACACCGTCATTCGCTGCTCGACCTTCAATCGCAAATATCACACCAGAAATAAATATCTCTTTTATATCTCCAGTCAGGCTAAATCTGTGCAAACACTCCATGCAAATAAAAGGGACCAGTCTTTGGAACTCACTCACTGATGAATTAAATAACTGTCCAACCTATGCCCTGTTCCAAAAAAAAAAAAGTACCTAATTTCATCCTCATAGTTTCCTTCCTTGTACTTCAAACTCACATTGTATCTAGTACTAACCACTTCCTCAAAATTAGTACTTAAGACTAATTAAGTACTTAATCTTTACCAGTGTAATCACCTCTGTCAATTTATATTGTTGATATTAAACTTTGCTACAATGTACTTTTCATCTTACCTGATATAATTCTTTGTATCGGGGGACAGGAATCCAGAGTACATTTATTCACGTATGGCTTTTATCGAGGTCCGCCCCCCCATGGCCAAATTACTGACCTCGCCCAGGATGCAACCCCAAAGCAAGCTGAGGTTGTTGATGGTGTGGCCGTGTCTGCCGGTGTGATGGGGCTTCCCTTAGCCCCTGTCCAGCGGGAATCGACGACTGGCCTGGAATTCACTGGATAAGTGACTTAACATGCGGTGGAGGTGGTGCTGCTTGACCTACTGAGCATGGATGTGGCGATGGTTGGTAGTGTGCAGATTCTCTCCGGTCACCGGGCGGTGGTGAAGTTCGGCTCCAAGACTGTCTTCCTGGATTTTGTTGGGCACTATAATGGGCGATCCTTCCAGCTGCCTGAGGATGGTGGTTCTGTGATTATTTTGGACAGGAGCGGCACGACCTAGTTCACGGGGCTTCGTTTGAGTTCCCTGAGATCCTCTTGCAGCGTTACTTTGCCCGGTATGGGAGCGTGTTAAATGTTCCGATGAACCTCATCTCCTCTGGTAGGTAGAAGGGCGTCCCGAGTGGGACGCGGACTGCTATATCGTCTTCGGTCCAGCTCATGGGTTTCTCCATGAGGATTTTTCTACGGACCAACCTCGTACGTGCTTCCGGTGTGGCTTGTCGGGACATCAGGCTGCGAGTTGTTCTGCTGGCAGTGTGGGCCAGGTGAACCTCTTCCGGGAGGAGGATTTCCCGCCGTTGGAGGGCCTGTGGGACTCCGTTTGTGATGACGAGGTTGTTTTGTCCCGTCCTGTGGATGGTCCGGAGGTGTCCGTGGTGTCTACAGGCCCTCCGAGTTCCGTTGTGGGTGTCGAGGACGTAGTGGACGTGGAGCTAGTGGTCCCGCCCCCGCCGCACCTTCCCATGTCTCCCTCTCCTCCGGCTGCTGTGGCGGTAGACGTGGGGGCTGGTGTGGTGCCAGATGCTGCCGGATTGGATGCAGTGCCGGTTCCTGTGGTTCCCGCTGTGCGCCTGTAGTAGTGCTTAACGCTTGGCCCTGTACCTCCGAGGGGCGCCGCGGCTGCAGTGTTACATGGCCGTGTGGTGCGTGATTGTCCGCTGCCTCCCCAAGGTGCTCCTGAGTAGCTTGTGGTGGTCGTGGAGAATTTCGATGACTTGCGGCCGGTTTCAAAACGTACGAGGTGGGCTCTCAGTTCGTCCCCTCCTCCTGATCGTGTGTCTTGGGCAAATGTAGGAGACTTTGAGTGTTCCTTGTCTTCGGATACGGATGAGGGTGAGGTTGATGCTGGTATTTATGGTTTTCGGTGGTATTTATGCTTGGGATTCTGCTACCCAAAATCATCTACGTCTTCTAGTTACTCAACACAAATCTGCTATTAGAACAATAACAAACTCCGGCCTTAGACAACACTCGGCACCCTTACTTAAATCTTTGAATGTTAGATATTAAGTCACTGCACATCCTCTCAACTGTTCTCTGTATATTTAAAACTCTGAACTGTAATGCCAATCCTGACCTTAAACGGTTCCTAAAAGGTTTTAACATAACCCATGGGCACCACACCAGAAACAAATACTGTACCATTTGATATTCCAAGAGTGCGACTTAGCCAAACTAGAAATGCTCTGCAAATCAGGGACCCAGAATGTGTAATGACCTTCCCAATCGTGTCAAAGGCTGTAACTCTCTCAACCAGTTAAAGTGAAGAACTAAGTACTACCTAATATACAATATGTAAACTACTTTACCCCCTAAATATCAACCCATGTCTTGCTGTTTTCAGACAATAATGTTTGTTGACCACCTTGTATAACTGCTGTTCTCCATGTATTTCCCCCCCCCCCTCCCTTTTTTCAACTCAATGTATGCTTTGATCTCAATTAGTATAGTTCTAGTCTAAGTGTTTTTCCCACACTTTGCCCGAAACGCTGTGCGTAATAGTGGTTTTAGGCATTGTATGTACTAGCTCTATCTATAAATCCGACATTATGTTTGTATCTTACCTTGTATGTATGTACTTTACCTGAATAAACATTTGACTTGATTTGATGGGGTGCCTGCGGCTCCTGCAGCCCGTATTGCTGCTGTGGCGGGTCCAGTAGAGGGTACGGTGGTGGCTGTCCATGGGACGGGGGTCAGTGGTGTGGGGGCCGTGATACCTGTTTCTGTGCCTTCCCCGATGGCCTCTTGTGTCCCTGGTTGCTGGTTCCCCGGGTTGGGAGGTCGTGGCCCCGCCCGTGCTGACTATTCCGTCACGCGTACGTCACATCGAGGAGGAATGGAGGATTTGGAATACTTACTGTGTACGGAATAACAACTGTATATAATAAGTATATAACATACTTTCATATGTTATGTATGTTGTTTTGCGCTGGTGCTTCGGTGCCTTCCTTTATGCATCGTCGGAGTCGGCTGTAATGTTTGTGTATTATTTGTTTTTTTTTATGTATATTTTATGTTTTGTCATTTTTATGGTGCTTTGTTTCGTGTTATTATTATAATGTGCACTTTTCCTGTTGGACTGTGTGTTGTTTGTACCTGTGTTCCCTGGACTGCTATTTGTTTTGTTCATGTGTTACAATACTCATGGATATACTGTCTGTCCATTAGTATTTTTTCCAGGTATTCTACACATTTGATTATAAATATGACCTGACACTACACAGGTCTTCTGTTTACATTTTTATATACTCTTAACATTTTTCCTTCCATGTCTGTGAGGATCCCAGTTTATCAAGACATTTGGAAGCTAATGTGTAGTGTAGCACTAATTTCGGATGCATGTTACTTTAGAACCCAAGGTGAGACTCAATCAGGTCTATCTGCTTCATTTTTATCTAGTGGCTCGAGATGTAATTATTGAAAAGTCAAGCTGGGAGGACTATGTGGCACGGTTCCTTGAAAGTTTTTCTATTTTACCTCCCCTTATAATTTATAGAATAGGCCAGGGTCTGTTTTACACTTGGCCATTATTCCTTTTTCAGAGTTTCTCTCTCCTCTCATTGCCATGCAGCTGGTGCCTCATCTCAGACATTCCTAATAATCGTATTTTCTCCCCTATTTTATCTTCAAGTACGTCTATTTAAAATGCAATTTTTATTCCTTTGTGACACTAGCTCTCCAACCATGTCAGTTGCTTAATTTAGAAACTATTTGTGGTCGATCTCGAACCCATTGTTGATGTGACGACTTATACTGAATTTTGTAACTAGCTCATCATGATTGTAACTTGCTTAGCTAAATGAATTGTGGGGTTCAGTCCCTGAGCCCATTATGTGCCTCTGTAACCCTTTCCACTACCGCCCACAAGATGGGTATGGGGTGCATAATAAATGAACTAAACTAACTAAAACTTGTCTATGCATAATATTATGTGCCAACACATTTATCATTCTGGGCCAAAATATAATTGTAATAAGGAAAGAATTTCTAAACTCTGAGTGGACCGTAATCTTTGGTAAAACAAAACGGGTTCAGTACCTATTAGTTCACAAGTATTATATATCAGACACAATTTTGATATAGTGTACAGTACAGTACTATATACTATGTATATGTACTGTATTTACATCATTGGACACACGTGCAGACTGTACTCTTACATAAAATTACTCTACAATTACAAGATTTCATTTGTTTTAAGAATGCAACTATCTACTGAAGAGTATTGTACTTCCATACCTTGGTATGTGGACCGTGCACATCTCAGATGTAGCAATTATCACATTAAAATGTCAACATTAACCTTAAATTTTTTTGTCAAGGTTATTGAAATATTTGTATTATGGAATCACATATTAAGAAAAGTAATGTACAGCTCTTACGTATTTTTTGCAAATATTGGATATGCAAATCAAATACTAATAATTATTAAAGATAAACAAATTTCAACCCAAGTGAACTGTTAACACTTAGTATTGTTCAGCATATGAGGTTCATTGATGCAAGCATGGCAGTGTTTACTGATCTATTGTAGTTACAGTGTGTTACTTTTTGAACCATTTTATTTAAACTAATGATTTTTAACATTTTAAGCTGTAAGTATTAAGAACATACTGTACAATATACCAGTCTGTCAAGTGATGATTCTTTGGATCACCGCACCTGTGGCCTGGTAATTATTACAATAAATAAAATTGTATCACAGTCTTTTTATATTTTACAACATATAAATCTTTGGAGAACCCACATACAAGAACTAGATATGTATTGATTACATGAGGGCAATCCATCATATTATCCCAGAATATAGAGTTGAGGTGGTGGGGAGAGGATGGGGATATGGAATGAGAGAGATCATATAATAGCGGGATTCTTGTAGGAGAAGGGCAACTTGTGGGGGACAGGATTATCATGTCTCTCAAACAGTATCTGTCTATAAAGACTAAATTTTTATACTGGTTAAAGACTAAAAATAAATACTGTGTGCATACTTATATAATGCTAATTGAAACTTCTGAAGCAATTCTGCAATACTGTACTTACCAGGGGTCGATATAAATTTCTTTAATGCATGATATAAAGGAATGCTGTATGCAAAAATTGCAACTTTCTACTTTATTGCAAAACTTCCTATGGAATCACTATCAATAAACTACACTATTTGGATTATCACTCGAGATCTCATCCTCAATTACTGATGGTAGGCTAAAATTGTGTTCACATTTTTCACTAAGGAGTTACATAGTCCAGTAACAATATAGACCTTCCTTGCACCACTATACATTGTCTTAAAAGTTTCAGTCCAATTCACGAAATGAAGTCATGTAAAAACCATATGGTATCATTACTAGGGATACCCCAAGTCTCACACAAACCATATACATTACCACAATGTAAAAACATTAATATACTGTACATGTTTGTATATGAAAAATATATTTTTAAGTATATTATATTATAAATACTGGCCTATGGACTTAGGAATCCTAACATCCTTCAAGCTTGGTTAGGTTTCATAGTGTACAATCTCATACACAAAAACACAATCACTTGTATTTAACAACAGCTTGTTATTATCCATTACATTTACCATACAGCTTACAAAGCATATGCATCATCCAGTATGTAATATATTTGAAATTGTAATTGTATCAGTAAACCGTTTTCAAATTTATATACTGTACTCTATCTTTAGCATTATCTACCATCAGCTACAGGAAGGACAAAATCAGAGCATATTAAATTTTGCTGAAGTAAATCTTGATTTATTTGAGCATTTGAATGTGTGTGTGTTATGTAATGTGCTGAAGGGAGTGTAGCGAGGAGTGTTTGTGATGAAGGTGGACTACTGTAATCAAAAGTGTCCAGGCTCGGGGTTACTGTTAGGTCTGTTTGACTTTCTAGGGTGTGCATAGTCATTTCTTGTTTAACCTCTCTCTTTACTCTTCCAATATGGCTAGAATCAGTAAAGGCTCCAGTCTCCAGTGTTCTGAGTGTTCCAATTGCCTCTGAGTTACCAAGGTGAGCATGGTCCTCCCGGGAAGCAGGAACCATGACCATAGAGTGTGAATTTTTGGAAAGACTAAATGGTTCCACAACTACTTGGCTATTTTGAGTCACTTGATCATAGGAAGCTGCAGCTGACAATGGGAGTGTGTGGAGTTCACTAGTAGAAACAAGAGATACTGCCTGAAAACTGCTTTCTTGAGGAAATTGAAATGTAGATGGTATGAGTTGAATGATTTGTGAATCCCCAACTGTGATGAGGTGGCCCGGTTCTGAATTAGAGCTCTCACCCATTAGGATAATACTTTCCTGCGCTGGGAGAAGGATGTCGGAGCTACTTTTTACTGATGTTTCCGTTTGCATTACTGGGGATAATGAGGAATTAGATACTGATACAAATTCAAATTCTTCACCATCCGAAAATTCTGTGGACTGTATTGGATCCTGCCCATCAAATGATTGTTCTGAGTTTATTTGTATTTCTTCAGTCTGTTTGAACTTTTTCACTGCTCTAGATTTCAAGATTTCATTGTGAGCTGAAGACATATGTCGTTTTAGATGAGAAAGCCTCTTGTAGCTTGTTCCACAATGACACTGATATGGCCTGTCATCAGAATGTGTACGGCTATGACGTGCTAAAGAAGATTTATTCTTAAAACTTTTGTTACACTGGGAACACTTGTAGTTGCGTTCATCTGAGTGCACAAAGTTGTGATGATCCTTAAGAGTGGCAAGAGCTTGAAAAGAACTACCACAAACTTCACACATAAAACTACGATTCTCTAAATGGAGTTCCATGTGTCTCTTTAATGTGTGATTGCGTTTTGTCTTGTAATCACAATGAGGGCAGCTCCGGGTAATACCAACTTTATGTGCCAGACGACTATGTTTTGAAAGCATATGTCTTGTTGGTAACTTAATTCCACAATACTCACAAATGAAAGCAAAATTTTGTTTGAGATCATATGCATGGTCCTTTTGCAAATTATTTGTAAGAAGCATATGTTCATGTATAATACTGTTCATGTGCTTTCGGAGGCCCCGCTTATGGCTGAACCGTTTGTTACACAGACGACACTCCAAAGGCTTCACACCTGCAATAAAGAGAGCATACATAAAGTAACTATTAAACAGAAGTTAAGGCTTCTTAAACAAAAACAAAAATACATATACATAGCTCGTGTTCCAATAACAGAAATAGCAAAATTAAAGAAAAACAACTTTACAATACCACTTAGTCAACTGTCATTCTCCTAATTATCAATGCAACTTCACTTGCTAGATGGAGGTAGTGTGGGATAGATGGATAGTACACATGAGGTACAGTAGTATGTACAGTGTACTTCTGTTCAAATGGAACTCATTCCTTCAGATGCTGGTTGGATTTGTGGCTTTTTTCTTCCATTCAAAATATGAACACCACCAGATACACCAGACATTTTAGTTAAATTTTCCTGTCTGGCAGGAATTTTGGGGGGTTTAGAACTTGTCAAGATTAAAGTCTAACATATACAATACTCAAAAACACTAAAAATACTAATTATATTTCACTTATATCAATAAATATTAAAAAATAGAAAACAATTGTTTGAAATTAGTCTGTACAGTAGTGTTCCTCTAGACCAACATTTCTCAACCTTTTCATTCTGTATAATAATAATAATAATAATAATAATAATAATAATAATAATAATAATAATAATAATAATAATAATAATAATAGTAATGTCTTCTCACAGACATAATAACATAGGATAAAAAACTACACTTGTGTAGTTGTGAAATTTATGTGAGGAATTTACACCAAGTCTTATGCACTCTCATGAGTGCTTTATCAAGGTCCATGTTGACGTGTGTCCAATCACGCACTCAGGAGAGTGCAAAAGGCTTGGTGTAAATTCCTTACATAAATTTCACAAATACACAAGTGTGGGTTTTTATCCAATAATAATAATAATAATAATAATAATAAAAGGGGTGGTAGGAGAAGCAAATACTCATATGTATAAAGTAAAAAAAACAGGTCAGTGTTCAACCTTTCATCATCCAAGTTGTTGGGCACCATTCCTTCCCTCCATCCTATCTCAAATCCTTATTCTCATCCCTTCCAAGTGCTATATAGTTTCAATGGCTTGGCACTTTCTCCTGATTATTACATTACCTCACTCTGTTCCCATCTCTGAGGCTACAAGTCCTCATATATATGTACATACATACATACTACAGTATTTATATATTTATTTTTAGAAATGCATACTGAATTTCACAGTATTTGTGTTTAACCCTCCTGCTGTCTCAAATTTTTCCCAAGTACAGTATTACATTAAAGTCACATTTGCCTTATTTCTTAATAATACTTTAATGAGCACAGAGCTTCAAAAACCACAACCAAGAAGTTTAGGTATTATACTGTATGGTGAAATTCAAACAGGTTTGACTGTAATGCCTGATTTTACACACATGTAAAAATATGTGAAACAAATTTTTGGTTCCCTGGACAGTACAGTACAGTATATACAAACCCCATACATTTTACAATTCTATAGTATGCTACACACAACAATTAAATAAACAGACAAGAACAAATTCAATATTTACCTCCATGCAACTGTAAATGATGTTGTAGTATTGAAGGTCTATTAAAGACTCTGTCACATTTATCACATTTATATTCCCGACCAACAGTAACGTTTTGAGGTAGTCTTTTGTGCTCTATGCGACAGTGGCGTACCAAAGCTCGCTTAGTGGCAAATGGATGTCCACAAATTTCACAATTGTTGTTCTTGTGATGCTGGAAGAAGAAACCAAACCCAAAAATATTACAGTAAAACTTTAAACAGATATAAATACTCAGTTTAGAAATAAATCTATAATAAAGCAAAATCCTGAAAAGGGACTTATGTTGCATAGGATGCCTAAAAGAACAGCTTACTTTTCATCCCAATATGATTCTTCATTTCTGTGAATTTCCACAATGAGTGAGAACAACACATATTAAGTGCTATGTTTTGTTCTTATTTAATAGAACCACTCCTAGGCCTTCTAAATTGGAAAAACTGCTTTATGCCACTTGTTACACATTGTTACTCTGTGAACATCACAACAAAAAGGTTTAGGTTATCTGCTAATATCTTTAGTGTTTATATTTCAGCAAGAAATTCAACCATGAATATTTAACAGGTAATTTTACATTGTAAATTTGCTCTTGGACTAGTACTGCATAACCAATACAGTACACTACTTAATTTTTATCTGCCCACTAGGACTGGGGTAGAGTATATGAGCATACTGTTAATGACATCTTTGTAGGCATGAAGTTAGGAGAACACCCACAATGTGGAGATACAGTGGCATATTTATATGGAAATCATTAATATAAAAATTTAAATAAAAAATACATGAATATCTATATCATACCTTAAGATGGTCATCATATTGCTGGCGACGCCTGAAGCTAGCTGTACATATATGACAGTGAAAGTTGGTAGCTTTGAGGTGCTCAGCCATATGCAACTTGAAGCTCTCATTACCTTTACAAAACATGCCACAATTTTGGCATACGTGCTGCAACAAAACACAGATATCAGCTGAAGAACAAGTACTATATAATGAATACTTAAGAACAAGAAGTCTGTTAAATTGAAATTAATACGTATAATGCAATATGAGACTTTAAGTTACAATTTATCACATCTCAGATTAAAAGACTAAACCATTGAGTTGGGTAAAATACCATATTCTACGCAGCAATTCTGTACCTCCCATAAAGTTTTCATCCACGTCAGCAGTGAGCGTGCGAGTAAGCGTGTGTGTATGATATAGAAAGGTTGATAGAGAAATAGAGATAGGGAGATAGTGGTACAAAGAGAGAGCAGGGAGGTCTTGTACCTGCCATGACTAGCAAAGGAGAGTACCAGTTACTGTAAGGGGAAGACCAACCATGGCTGATAGAAATGGTTCAGTTGTTAGATACTAAAAGCATGTTATTCAGATATTAATTATTTTATAACAAATAAGAAATCTGGTCATGCAAACTGCTCCAAAACACTTTCAAAATTCACCAATACTCACCTCAGTGCCTGTGGCATGGACCTTAAGATGATAGTAAAGAGATGATCGTTTGAGGAAAGTTTTGCTGCACATATGGCATGGATACGTTTTAGAGATTAAATCAAAATTGTGCTCAGATTTCATATGAGCCTTCAGTTTCTTGTGGCTACAAAAGCTTTGGGGGCATTTACTGCACACATTCCTCTTGTGGCCTTCCATGTGCTTTGAATATGTTACCTGAAAAAGTGTATATAGAATTAGAAACTATTAGTCATGCAAGTTACTATAGTTATGACTACTATAGCACATTAAGCAGGATTGAACATTTGGTTCAATATCTTTCACATAATTTTATGAAGTTTTCCATAGCTTCTTTGGTCAATGCAAGTAGAACTAGATTATCATAACAGAAAACATTGTCCTTAGTAATGCCTATGCAAAAGGCAGCTCTACTGGCTCTTAACTCTCTCTTGCAATGGATCAAGTTAGATACTATGCAATAGGATAAAAACAGCACCTTGATGAAAACCATTTTCACTTTTGGTTTCCACCAAAACCAGCTCCATTTTTTTATTAAAAAATTTAATTGGTTATTACTCCATTTCTCAGCTAATTTGATTTCTATATCTAACCAGAAACAGGCATTTCATTACATTCAGTATTGGTTTTCTGGAGGGACCAAATGGGGGCTCCTTATAGCTAACCACGGAGTATAAGAGAAAAATGCAACACTCCAGGAAAGGAAGGAATTGAAGACAAAAATCTCGAAAAGGAGAACCTAAAAGCCAACACAAGCCTGATAGGGACCAGGAACAAAGAAGGGTAATAGGCCAACAGGACCCCTGTTAGACCTCAAAAATCCCCAAGCATAAAGAACAACCCACGACATGTCAGAAAACATAGTAGACAATAGGCACAAAATTGTGATAACGGGTTCAGGAGTAGACCACAGGCTGGGTAGACCTAATGACAATATGAATAATCCAAGAGAAATAAGCCTTGGAATGGGACGAAGGAAACTGGATCAACAAACATGTCTATTGAAGTACAGTACTTTAGCACATAGGTGGCACATAGGTAGCAAAGAATAGCTACAACCGGATACAACAGAAAATGCACCCGAAGATGGATAAATCAAACATCAACAGGCAACGGACCACAACGGAAGCCAACTGTCTCATTCTTCGCCAAAAATGCAGGCAGCTGCAAATGAAGAGACTGTCCACCAGGGTCAAGAGAATATAGACCCCCCTAACTTCCAGAGAGCAGGAAGCTTCCCCATCTGAAAACTGGAAAGGAGGGTCCAACCAGAACAAAACATGAGAAGCGGATCACAGACAAAAGAAGCAACCGAGAACCGCGAGAAGAAAAGAAAGATCAACACTATCCAGAGACCAAAATGGCTCAGGTGGAAAAAAAAGAAGAAAAGGAAGACAAAGGAACTTCACACTGTCACCACAACAAAGAATGTAGCTGATTTGGATTGAATTCGTGCAGCTATCCAAGTAGCTAGCTCAAGGAGCCACCATGCAGCCCTCTCAAAAAACATCTAAATATTGGAACTATATTAAATATTTTTAATTTAATAAAAATACTAAAACATTTTACCTTGTGAACAAATTTTGCTTCACAAAATGTACAGGCGAGATGCCCTTCACACCGCCGCAGATGCACAGAGAGAAGAGACACATCAGGCAATTCTCTTTTACAACTTCTGCAGCATACAGGTAATAGATTTGCTGACAATGAAACCTCCTTGTCCTTTCTCTCCTGATTTGTTTCTTCAAGCACAGCTGTTTTTGAACTTTTCATCAGTTGGTTTAATGTCATTTGCTTACTTGTACATATATCTACACTTTTGCCAACATGTTCTGTCTCCAGTGAATCTACACGAACTGTTAAGCTCTGGCCTACATTTGAAGATGACATTGCTGTCACCTGATGTTGTTCTGCCACTGCAGAATGTACTGCACTCTCCTGAGCACCCAGAGGAACCTGGCCAAAGCTATCACACTTCACTTTTTCTGCCTTTAGATCAACTTCCAGCACATCATTGTCTGAAGAATGTGTGCAGTTACCTTCCAGTGATGAATGCTCATTTTTTTCTGTTATCACACTTGCATTATTGATCTTTCTTGCTTTCTTCTGTCTCTGAATTTCACTTGGGACTCCACCATGATCCTTTTTCTTGCGAATAAATTTGTCTAAACTTTCCATTTTCTGTGAAGTTTTGACTGTTACATTGCTAGATTCATTTAAGGTACCTTTACACAGTAAAGTTCTTAATTTAGACGAATACGTATGAGTAACATGAGACTCTTCTAATTTTTCCGTGTTCCTGATCTTTCTTGAGTTGTAAACACTTGAAGCATTACTCAAATCAACAGGATTTTTCTCAAAATGTGAATCAGTTAATGGGTCTTCACTTTCCTCACTACACTGAAGAAAGCTATCATTATCATATGGCATTCCTAGAGATTTATCAAGGTTATCTTGATTAGTCCTTTCAGAAACATTTTCTATTATGTATATATATGCACCGTCTTCGGTGTACAAATTGTTTTTATCATGTATGTGACTAAAATTTGATACATTGAAAGAACTAGAACTAGTATTATCAAATGATACATTTCTATTACTTAGATTTATTTTACTTCCAATTCTTTCTTGTTTTATATCTAACATTCTGAAGCGAGTTTCGTCAGATTCAACTTCACTACTCTCATGAAAATCTTGCGAGCTATTTGATCCTTGCAGTGCATTTAATCTTCTGTTTTGATTTTCTGACTTGAGAATTGCAATAAATTCTGTAACTCCTTGACTAACATCATCCAATTGATTTGAGTTAACCGAAGTCAGCTCTTGTGTTTCATTATGCAAGAGCAAGGGAAGAGGTTGATGCTGGGACTCGTGTATCTTGTCTACAGAAGCCTCTTGAGGTGCCTTGTCATATTGTTCAGGTTTTGTTGAGTGTTGCAAGCAATTACTGGTTTTGCCCACACTTAGTATATTTTGCTGTTTATCATATAATGTCCTTTCATTTTTTATTTGTGGCTGGAATTCATTTACAGCCTTGAAAAAAGAGGAACTCTGTTTAGGTTCAGGGGCTATTCTAAAATCCAGAATGCTCTGTGGTAGACAGCAGGCTTCCTTCATATTTACTGTAGCCTCTTTAGAGCTTTTGGCTGTCTGTAAATTTACAGTGTGCTCTTGAGATTCATCAAATACCCTCATGTCTGTAATTTGCTGCAGAGTATTGCTAACTTCCTGAGAATCAACTGTTTTATGTAAAGGAAGATTATTTTCGATTGTTTCTAGTGTTTTCTGCACTTTTTCCATTGAATTTGCGTTGGGTATATGATGGAAGACATTTGAAGATAGCTTTTCTTGGATAGGTTGCAGTGTGTGTACATTTTGTAAGGATCCTTGATCCAAACTCTGCGGCTTTGACACAATGAATGTTTTCTTGAGCGTTTCCTGTTGTAAAGCTTGAAAAATGCCATCACCTGAAGAATGTGTCTGCAAATCACAATGAACTTCAGCATTCCTTGTCTCCTGGTGCAAGCAGTGGTTATTTTCCTCTTGAATGCATTGTTCTTGTGAAACTGATGAGGGCTTCTTATGTTTGGAGTGTTGTGCTTCATTAAGTTGATGATTAACTGTCAACTGCAGGAGTTTTAAGGCTGCTTGCTGTTCTCCACATGGAAGCTTTTGTAATGTAGCCAACAATCCACTAAGCTGAAACAGAAAATGTTAATAAATATAAAAGTGGCAATGAATAAACAACTGTAAAGTAAACTTGTGGTTTATAACCAAATACAGAATACATACTGAAATATATTTGAAATGGCTGTATGAAATTACAGTACATATACAGTTTTATATTTGAAATGTTCAAATATTGAAAATGACTACTATTTACCTGAGTGCCACTAACACTAGTGGCCTTGACGACATCCAATATAATCAATATATACTATATTCAATAATATCCATCAAGAATTTTTTATGCTGTATAATTAATTAGTCGACATTACCATCTTTGGAACTGATATTATATATGAAGTTTTAAGTCCAGGAAATGCCAATATTTTTCCTAATTAATCAACACAACAATGTAAGGTAAGATAATTATCAGGAGAAAATATTATATACTTGGCAATCCACAACAATTTAATTTTAATTCTTTACACCCAATGCCTCTGTCCACCCAGCTGTAAATATGTTGTAGGCATGTGGGAGTTAACCAACTCTTGTTCTTCTCCGTCCTAGGTTAGGTCTACTGACTCGTTATGTAGACTCCAGAGGACCTTAATAAGCCTAATAGGGTTCTTGTCCCTGACAATGGGAAATCAAATCAAAACAATACCTAGAAAAAATGATACTGTACACTACTCTATCTTTTACCTCAATATAATTTTTTAAACATATCCAAATAAATTAAATCCTACAAATAAATATTGATGCACTCTACCTCGTGCAGTAATATCAGATCTCAATGTCAGCATTGAATAGGCGATTAAAACATAGAATGTTTTATTATTATAATTCATTGCATTGGGGGACAGGCAGCAAGTGTGTATATATACAGGTTAGGCTTATATTGAGGTCTTCCCCCCCCCCTCCTCCCGGATCAAACTATTGACCCTCCCCAGGATGCAACTTCACAAGCAAACTCCTGGGTACCGATTTATTACTATGTGAACAGATGCATTAGGCGATAGGAAACATCCCCAACAATTTCTATCCTGCCCAGGATTCGAACCCGCAATTCTCGATCGTGTCGAGAACGAATACTGCGCTACCTGGGGCACGATTGTATTAGTGAATATGTTATAGTGTTGAACGTTCTTTATAAGCAATATAACAACCTGGCCAAAAAACAATTCCATTGTGGATAATCCTTTGGCATAACTTGGTTCACCAGCACAGTCTGGGTACCACGGCTGGGCCCCGTGGGAACACACTCGACACACGCTCCATAAGCTAGGTTAGGTAAGGAGTCATATAGATGTCAAATGATTTTCAAATAAATGTTATTATAATAACAAGTTGTATATCACTGAATTATACACATAAAGAGTTTTGACCAGAAGTCATTTGAGCCTCCATTCTGATTTTAAAAATCTAAATATTGTATAGTTTTGTAGAGGTAAACTACATGATGCTTTACAAATGATGTTAAGGTGAGAAGATAAACGAAAGATGTTCTTAACACACCTGGCAAAGCTCCTAACACCCTCTATTGTGAGGCTAAACCTCTATACAACTGTCATATATAACAAGAGAATTAGGTCTACACTCGCTCAAACACCTGTCAAACACCTGAGATAAAGTGAAGTACGAGTTTGATGAATACAGCTGGAAAAGATCATCAGGGCAAAAAGGGGGGGGGGGTACATTTGACAAGCCGCTGGCTTCCTGTCCTCGTCGAGGTCACTGGCCCTCAGGTAAATTCAGGTAAATATGTTGTGATGTCCTGGTCTGGGGGGACTTGACTCACCTGGTGCTTAAAATCACTAATTTCCGTCTTGGGTCCCTGGGTGAGGCTGTCCATGACTGGTGTATTAAGGTGTGAGTGTGATGAGTGAGGGATGATGATGATGGTGATGAGTGTGAGGAAGGAGGGAGAAGTATGAGGGAGTGTGAGGGAGAGTGTAGGTGTGTGCGGGTCGTGGCCGCCATCCACACACTTCTCATACATGACCCTCCTCACACCTCACACAACTCATCATCTACCTCACTTATATATGTATACATATCAAGCTAACCATATAATGTCACGGCACAAAACACTAAATAATGCACATATATTTTTGTTTTAAAATATTGTAATATTAATTTATGTACGAAACGACTATTATGCGAGCGATTGGTACGGGAAACAGTACAATAATAAAATATATCAATGTTATTGATAACAAATAAGAGAGCATCTTACTACACTATACTGTAACATACTGCAACCTAAATATTGCATACTTACTTTGTATCTGTATTTTTTAGGCCCCTAATAACAATTTCAAATGATAGAAGTGTTTCCCCTAATTGAACATTTTCTCTAATATTATTCAGAGAAAATTCAATATTTCATGGCAAACTAGATAAAGCAGCAATGCTCTCTCTCTCTGTCTCTCTCTAGTGGCCTCGACGGGGACATGAAGTCGGCGGGTTGTATAATGTCGCTCCATTGTCCTTAAAGATTTTTCCCAACAATATTTAGAGCTAAAGTAATGTCTTGGCATTTATGGCCTAGGTGGGTACGAGGTTGCTTGGGTTTATGGCACTATGGGTGAGAAATTATGCTTTGTCATACATTGCGGCTTGTTGAGCTTAAAACTGTTGCCCCTTGTTTGTGTTACATTTAACATTTTAAAGAAGTGGTCTGGATTAATATCCTCCAACTTGTTCAGTATTTTAAGTCTCAATGAGACCAGCCCTGTCATGTCTGGTTTGCTGTGATGTTAGTCTTGTGATCCTCAACCATTCCTGTATGAGAGTTGACTTAGTTCTGAGATGATAGTTATCGTTCTTTGTTGAACTTTCTCCAAAGCATACAAGCCATTTTGAAGACATTTCCATGCCACAGGGCTAACAACACGACAAATTGAATCTGACAGGGCTGATCTCATCTAAACTTTGAAAATACTGAAAAATTTTGAGGATATTGATCCAGACCACTCTTTTAAAAGATCAGATGTGTAGCAACCATCTTAAGAGTAATATAGTTGCTCTAAGTTCTCGGAAGTTCTACTGCAGGCAATTAAATTTTCCCACTTATCCCACATAACTTATCCCTAAGAATTTCACAGTCCAAGAAGTTCTACAATAAACACTTGAAGGTTCTCCAATAATACTATGTGTACTAATAACAATTAGTATTTGTTTCCCAAAGTTTCCACGAATCACTTCCCTACTTTTTACAGCCAAAAATAACAAGTGAGTTTCCTATCAAGTTTTTCCAATCATCAAGGGAGTTTTCTCATCAAAATGATGATCAATTTGCCAGACGCAATCTGTGTTCATCACACTAGGTCAAGTGAAGTGTGGATATAAGACAATTAGGAATGTAGCATCAGCAGTCTAACTCCAATGGTGGTTCACTGGATCTTCTTCAATACCACCAACATTGATCAGCGTACAACATAATATTTAACTAGTTGCCACGCTGTCACACCATTGCTTGTCATCTTCATCTTCAAATCCCTGTATATTACAGTCATCCAAATATATATATAATTTGTTACTATCCGTGTTTATTGTCACCAAAACTAACATAACAATAAAAACATTACAGATGTACCACACACGGAGCAATGGCTTCAAGCTTACCAAACCCACAATGTAGAACAGAAAATAGGAGATGCATTTCACCCATAAGGTTATAAACCCATGGAATCACATACCCACAAAAGATGTAAATACCAAAGTACTGCTGGAATTCAGCAGTGCTTTGGTATTCCAGCACTGCTGGAATCTTTGAGGTCATTAGTAAGATGGTGGCCCTCAGGTAAATTCAGATAAATACAATGGTCCAATGAGGGGGCACATCAGATATTTATACAGTTGAGTACAGTAACTACCTTCGTTTCCTTGAAGTCAAAAGCTGGTTTTACTATTCCTACTTTTTTTTTTTTACTGCAGCTCCCACCTGTAATACAACTTTAAATGACTGGTGGATCCTTACTCCTTGACCATTTTTTTCATCAATCTGCTGCAAGATAGTGATGCTGATTTGATTGTCATGATGTGCATTGTTGGGCCCTGCATCCATGTTCTGTATTTGTCAATATTAGAATGCATTTGCCAATCTTCCTATCTTTTGTGGAGTTCATGTAGATCTCTTTGAATGGCCTCAATATCATTTTAGCTTCCTACTTTACCATAGTTCTCAGTGTCATCTCCAAATTTGATGATATGGTTTGTGATATTCTCATCTATGTCACTGATGTAAATGACAAAAAGGATTTGCCTTAAGATGGAACCTTGTGGTATTCTACTCATCACATTTTTCTCAGTCAGATTTATGTTCATTTATAACGACCCTTTGCCTTCTTTGTTTTAACGAATGTTTTATCCATTCTAGTACTTTACGATTTATTCCATGTGTTTGTAATTTCCTTGCCAGATTTTTGTGGGAAAAATAAAGCTATTTTACAATTGGCACTAATCAAACATTTTAATATTCTCAAGTGAAAAAATTACAGTATTATTAACCCATGAACATCTGTATTTTTAATTGTAAAAACACAATCTACCAACAGCCTATTACAACACTCATGTCTCTATGCTCTATTAGTGTATTACCTATTTTAAGTTACAGTTAAAATAATAGTGTTTGTACAATAGTAATTACCTATGTGTACTATGGTAATTACAAGATGAGAGCAATTTGTGTGGTGTCTCATCTTCCCAGTACTCTTTGTCATATACTTTGAAACTACTGACAGTTTTGGCCTCCACCACCTTCTCACTTAACTTGTTTGAACCAACTGCCTCTGTTTGCAAAAGAACAATTTCTAATATGTTTTGACACCTTTGATTCCTTAGTTTGAATTTATGAGCTTTTGTTCTTGAAGCTGCTAGTTTAAAGAATTCCTCTGTCAATTTTGTCGATTCCTGTTACTATTTTGTTTGTTGTGATCATATTGCCTCTTTTCCTTCTATCTTTGGCATATTTAACACCTCTAGCCTCTCTTGGAACCATCAAGAGAAGATGCAACAACACCAGAAAGAGGATGCAACTGTGCATTGCATAGAGACTAGTGTATAAAAGACAGTACTCATTACGGTACAGTAATGTAGAAATTTTAAAAGATATCTGTACAATTTTCCTATCAAAAGTGCTGGGGTAACTTTCTTGTGCATTTTTTCAGCATTTAGCAAATCAAAGAGAAAAACAAAAACAAATAATATACTGATACTTTCAAATATGTTGTGCATCATTATACATATCACCTAGCTTATTATATTCTTCATAATTTTTATCAAAATCTGATACAATGGGACTATTGAAATCTTTCCAATTTGTCCAAGTATAATCCCAGTACTTTGGATTGGCAGCAGTATCCCAGGGTTTGTTAGCAGGAGGAACAGCAGTTGCATTATATCGTTTCAAAATGACTTCCAAGACAGACAAGACATCTTTATGAACTGCAGCAAGGTCAAAATATTCACAGGGATCACTGAGTATGTTGAACAAGCATGGTGATTCTGAAGATTTACAATATGCTGTAGCATTCTCTGGAACTGGATTGCAGTGTATCTGTAGATATAAATAGAAATTATGACTAGTATACATAGTTAAAATGATTAAACTTACATTGACCAACAATAGTGTCTTCATTGAGTTCAACCTACAATAATCAACAGTGGTGTTTTTATTGAAACAATAAAGAAACCAATTATATAACTCCCAGAATTAAATAAACCTAGAAAATTATGCAATATATGCCTTTTCAATTCAATGGAAAGCCTCCAAAAAAATACCATTCTCGGCATTATTTCCCTTTCATTAGAAAGTATGAAAATTTCTGTGGTGAATCTATGCCAAGACTACTTGGCATAGGTACTTTACAGTACGTAAACGGTATTTTAAACTTATTAAAAGCTCCTGTTTGAGCATGCTCATTCTACAAATTCCATAGGTACAGTATAATGTCTTAAGTACCTTGAAGGCTGGTTATTGCAGTCAGGAGAAATGATATACAGACAACTAGTCCTATTCAGGTTATTGTGACCCTGCATAGTCACATTATGTGTTAGACAGCCTGGGATACAGACTTTATCAACTCAAAATGAAGAGAGGTTCTGTTCAGAAGTTCAAGTATTATAGGTTCCCACTGATGTCACATTTGTGACTGCCAATGGGAAATGGTCACCTATTGGTCAGTCGCAACGCACTGTTTGCTGCACATGACCACCACCAGGTGGCAGTACCTCACCTGGACATATGTGCATCTACCCAGGGCTGTCTCACATACATTCTGCCCAGCAAAATGATGTACACAGTATACAAAAAAGGACTAGAAGATGAATGAACATGCCAAGAAATAAGCTTTTTAGAAGTTTTATGTATACCTGTACTGTATTTTGTGAGCTTGTTTGTGATTTGTGATTTGTTTATTTTGTCATTCTAGCACTCCAATAATTATAGCATCTATAAAAAGCTATGAAATACATCCATGCAAGAAATGGAATGAGAAGATCACAGATGATGCCAAAAGAACAACAAACCATATGTGAAACGGTGTTATTAGGCACTCTATGTAAAATGGAGCATCTCACCACTAGATGCTGCTTCAGTAGGTTACCCACATGTTGCTTATATTTCAGTAAATGGGATGAAGAGCATTGTTGCAATCTCATAATTGGAGGGGCATTTATTAAATATAATATCAACAACTGGGGCACTGACTGGAAAAATAAATGATGAATTATCCAGAATTTCCCTAGGAAACATTACTGAACCCTCAAGCACCAACACAATGCATATACAACTTAAATGTAGAAGCATACAAAATCTATATCAAATAAATCTGAGGCAAGAAAAATGGCTAGTTAGGAAAGAGACTGCAGAATACTATATAGAGTAGAAAAAAAAATACAGAAATACTGAAGAGACCACAATTACCCATAAAATATACAGTACCTGCATGGTATATTATATATATTGTATTGTATATATATGCGTAGGTATCCACTAGGAAAATGAAACAAAAATACCGAACATCTTCATGTTTCACCATCATTATGAAGGAATGTCTGTATTTCCTTGATAATGTGGTTAAACACAAAAATGTTCAGAATTTTTGTTTCATTTTCCTAGTGAATACTTACTCATAACCGAATCGTGTTTTTTTGTGTTTATTCTTGCATACTGCATACAGTATATATATAATTTAATTTTCTAACCTCTGCTTTCAGCCTCAAAGATTCAATGTCTTGATAAGCTTGTGGATTAAGAGCTTTCACTGCTCTGGCAACAGAAGAGTTCAAAACCTGCTTCAGTATAACATCCAAATTTGTTTCTGGTGCAGTTTCGTTACGGCCTGAAGGCCCAAACCATCCATCCCAATGGTGGCCATATCCTTGTGGCTCTGAAAAAATTAAGAATGCTCTATCTTAGAGTTTACATTTATTTAATCATCTGATGCTAACTAAGAACCTTATTGTAATCTATTCCTGGAACAAGCTTTCTTTAATCTAACAGAATACAGTATATTAAAAACCTAAATCAACCTTTACCATAACTGGCTATACAACAGGTTCATAGATGGGCCATTCAAGCCAAATCACCTCAATTCCAAATTTGACCGCCTCAGATTTACATGAAATTTGGTAAAATGCTAGAGTACATGAAGTAACATACATACATACATACATACATATGTATGTATGTATGTATGTATGTATGTATGTATGTATGTATGTATGTATGTATGTATGTATATACATACATGGAATTGATAGGGTAGATAAAGACAGTCTATTTAACACAAGGGGAACACGCACAAGGGGACACAGGTGGAAACTGAGTGCCCAAATGAGCCACAGAGATATTAGAAAGAACTTTTTTAGTGTCAGAGTGGTTGACAAATGGAATGCATTAGGAGGTGATGTGGTGGAGGCTGACTCCATACACAGTTTCAAGTGTAGATATGATAGAGCCCAATAGGCTCAGGAATCTGTACCCCTGTTGATTGACGGTTGAGAGGCGGGACCAAAGAGCCAGAGCTCAACCCCCGCAAACACAACTAGGTGAGTACATACATACATACATACATACATACATGTGTGTGTGTGTGTGTGTGTGTGTGTGTGTGTGTGTGTGTGTGTGTGTGTGTGTGTGTGTGTGTGCGTGCGTGCGTGCGTGCGTGCGTGCGTGTGTGCGTGCGTGCGTGCGTGCGTGCGTGCGTGCGTGCGTGCGTGCGTGCGTGCGTGCGTGCGCAAAATTTTAGCCCTCAGTGATACGTGATATACATTCAGTGTGTTGCCAGTGTGATAAAAATATAACATTTCTGGAGGCAGCCCTCCCGATGGCTCCCCAATAATAACTTTCTGAGACTGCTACATACTTAAGAGCCGCATCAGGTGCAGAAGTTCTGTTTGGCCTGTCTTCAACAGGTAGGTGGCCTACCGGGAACCAGAGCCAGAACTTGGCCCCCCTTCCCCCTCACAGAGGTGCAGAGAGTGGGCGACAATCCACCACCCCACCAGCAGAAACCTCCAGAAAGTCAGTGAAGCTTTATATCCTATTGGAGGGTTCACAGATAACAAAGACTCAAAACTGCCAACAACTCTGCAAACAGTTCACACAAAAGAAGGGATTCACTCAAACTAGCTTGAAACTCGTTAGTACCAATTACTGGCTGGAGAGTCAACTGGAACAGAGAAGAGTCAACTGAGTTGACTCATTTTCATTTCATTTTCAGCATTTATTTTCATTGGAAACCACTGTCCTACATTCTCAATGCACTGAAACCTTCATTCTACAGAACAGCATGTCACTCTCTTCTTGACTAAAAGAATACGATACACTATCTCTACTTTACTTACTATATATCAGCTTCCAGTCACCAACTCTCACTGCTGCACCGTTTAAAATAGGGTCAATGTTTACTAGAAATTCTGTGCGTGGTGACGACAGATTTTGAGTTAATGTGCTCCATAAGTCTACTCCATCAATAGGTCCCAGGGATGTAATGTTACCACCTGAAATACAGAAAATAATGAGCATTTCTAATTCTGATACATGATTAGTAGTGTTAGTAGATAGTGATATGGGAATTGATATAGAGAAAGGAGGTAATAAAAGTATGTGTTTGTGGGGAAAACAAATTGGCAAAATGATCAGGGAAAGAGAAGGGCCTCAAAATAACAATACACTTAGGGTATATTACACTAACAGTAGAAATCTAAGAAACAAAATAAACGATTTAAATACTGTACTCTTGTCTGCACAGAAAAAATAAATATTATTGCACTTACCGAAACGTGGATGAATGTAGAAAATAGAGAACTATTAGCTGAATATCAAATAAATGGATTTAAACTATTTCACACAGATAGATATATTAGACGAGGAGGGGGAGTAGCCATATATGTTAGGGAAAATTTGAAATGTAGTCTCAAAGAGGGAATCAAAACAGAGCCACACACAGAAACTATTTGGATAGAATTAAACGAAAAAGCAAATAATCTTATAAGAGGAGTTATATACAGGCTACCAAACTTAGACAGGAAGGAAGCAAAGCACCTATGGGATGAAATATCGAGAGCATCTAGGTCTAGTAGTAATTGTGTCATGGGTGACTTTAATTTTAGTGGAATAAATTGGTTTAACAGAACAGGGAATAATGAAGCAGAAGATTTTCTAGAATTAATTGACGATTGCTTTGCAAATTTGCCGATGATACAAAAATTGGTAGGGAAATTAACACGGAAGAAGACTTGCTATCACTTCAAGTTGATCTAAATAGGGTTTTGAAATGGTCAAAAGATTGGCAGATACAGTTTAATGCTGATAGTGCTGTAGTTGGAATTCAGAGGTTGAATATAAAAAACACGAAAAATATGCCGACTGGAGGGAGGAAGGGATGCTGGGGAGCCTCCGGGGTCTCACAGAGAAAATGGTGTTTCATTACATTCAACGCTGGTTTTCTGTGGAGAGCCCCTTTGGCTTCCCAGAGCTACCTAACCAAAGATAAAGGAAACGAGGAACTTACTCAGAAGGCGACCACCACTCGCTCCTCAACTCGAAGCTAAGACAACTGGCTGCAACCCATGACCCAAGGCTACACAAGCCCAAGAAGGGCCCAGAACATTAACAAGGTATCGTGCGGACAGGACCCTGTTCGACCTCCAAAAACTCCATGCTCGAATGTCAGCCCAGGACATATTACCAAACACAGCAGCAAAAGTTGTGAACTTACGAACGTTGTGGGCACGCGGATGGTCACAAAGCCCCAGCCTAGAGACGAAGCATCCGTGAACACATCGAGCAAGGACTCGGGTAGGCATCATGACACTGAACCTCAAACATAAGATACGCCAAACTGCATACAGTACTGCCAAGACAATTTCAGCACCAGCCGGGAAATTCATAGAGACCTAATTGATGGAGATCGTAGAAGTGAACCTCTCATAGCCCAGGAAACGAGCTAATGAATCCTTTGTCAAATCCCCGAGCAGCAGATCCAAAACAAGAGGATGGAATCTGATAAACACATCTCGACACAACACCACTCAAGAAAGGAGAAGCTATTCACAACTGATGCATATATTTTGAGGAATTATACCCGGAAAGAAAGTACAGAGTACCAAAGTTTATATGATAAATTTGTTGTGAAAAATAGCACTGAGACACTGACAAGGAAAGAAGCCATCTACATCGCTATATATAAAACAGCCATGGTACAGCCAAAATGAAATTGAATGCACATTATTGGATAAAGGAGTGTAAACATGACATGCCAAATTAAGGCAGTTTTCCAACATTGATGGGGACCGGTCCATGAGTAACTTTACCCAGCAGCCTCTAGGAATAAAACATCTGGGGTTGGGAGTGGTTGGTAATAATAGAACACGATATATTTAGAATTCAAGTCAGGAACTTATCTGAGCATCGGTTTACTAATCAAAATAAGGTAAAAATAGACCTTTCCCCATTAACTGGTCGGGATCCTGAAACATGTACTTTGACCAGCAGGAACTTAACTTTTAACACTTTCGCGCTTTAGATTAGAGATAACTCGTCGCTGTTTTTTCTTACGATTCCGCATAACAGCCTACTTTTCTCGTCCATCGAAAAAATATTTCTATAAATTCCATTTTTTAACCGAAATGGATGGGGATACTTTTGTTTTGTAGAGAATTTATTTGCGAATTTTTTGGTACCAGAATGAATATTATATCACATAAACTTCTATGAGTAAAAAAAAAAATACACAAAGTATGTTTGGGGGTGTGGCGAGCGTGTGGCAGTGGGTTCCCTTTAGCCGTTGATATATCCAACACGTGGGAAATATTTGTATGTGTTATGTATATGTCTGTGTAGGGAATTTTACTGCGATCACTGTCATACAAATTATAAAATGTTTCAACAAGTATAAACATGACAAACATCAAACGAACGAAAACAATGCGTTCGTTTCTGCCGCGAACGCATACTGAGCGACGTGGTTCTATATTTGGCGCTTCTCTTACACATGCTTTGTACAAATGTTATACAGTTCATCTTATAGAAAATTTTATTGCGAACACATTGGTATAAAAAAGAAATACGTACATAGAAAAGTAGGGTCAGGAAACGTATAAACTTTCCAAGCATGATTTCCCCCCTGTGTTTTCGCCAGTGCGCTCGCGGCTAACTACTCTCCACTTCACACACTCTTGCGGGTGGGCAATTACCTATATTAAACATTCATATGCATATGTCCGTGTAGAGAATTTTATTGCGATTCCAATGATACCAAAATTAGCGATGTAGGACAACTGTAGGCTTCGCAACCATTAAGAGAGTGGAAACATTTTGTTGCTGTTTGGCGCTCTCGGCGAGTGATCTGCATAGTTTTTTATTTGGTGTTGATACTCCTTATGCTTGGGCGGCATTTTATAGGTATGCTCTTATAGACAATTTCATTGCGAACACAGTGATACCAAATTTAAATACGTGCGCCTTCAATTATTGTCAGGACAGTCAAAAGAGTGTACACTTTTTCGGTCTTACCGCATAGGCGCGCGAAGTGCCGAAAGCATCTGGGGTATTGTTTTTTTTTGAGCGCCGAGAGCGCGAAAGTGTTAATAACGATGTGGACCATCGTACATATACTGGTGTAAAATGCAATTAGAAAGTATAAATCATTACAATTGAATTTTGACAAACCGGAAAAGTTTTTGTATTGATGTTGCAAAGAAAACCTAACCTAGCCTAATCTTCATAGGCCTAATACATGCTATATGAGGCTTAATATAGTATATATATATGTGCAATAATAGGCCTAGGAATATTAAAGTTTTTTTTTAGCTTTATTTTTTTGGACCCTACAAAGTGAATAGTACCAAATTATACTATCTAATTGTTCATTATGTCAATATATGCACAATGGTCCACATAGTTACCAAAAAGTACTACTTAAACAGGAGGATGGGTTGGGTTATAGAAGTATACAATACAATAATGATACACTGTAATGCAAATACTGTAATTATTAGAGTTAATGACATGACTAAAGACATACCCCTCTCAGTGGCCAGTTTGATGCAGCATTCTGGTTAAAACCAGCGGCTGGTCCTCCATTATCAGTGGTGAAAAGTATTATAGAGTTCTCAAGCATCTGCCGAGCATCTAGAGCCTCTATGACTTGCCCAACAGATTCATCCAATTTCCACAACATTCCTAATAATATATAATAAAAATATGATGTAAAAACATAAACACAGCAATTAAACGTATTAAATTAGTATTTAAAACAAAAAGTATCGAATACAGTATATTGAAACACCTTTTTATGAGCTGGTTACTTATTGCTTGCTAAGACAAACTTATCAATTTATTTGGAGGAGGAAAGGAAAACTATGGAGACCTTTTAATCTAGACTTGAATGAACAACCCTAATGAGTAGGGACTTTGCAAAAGTCCAAAACTGAGCAGATGAAAAGCAGCAGCAGCAACTAAAATAACAGTAAAAATAGCTTCCTCAGGAAAGAGAAGCAAAAAGAGAGAGACAAAAGTTAAGGACCATGCTGAATCTAAAGACTCGGCCAGCACAGCCTGCCGACACATGAGATGGGACAAGTAAAAAGCCATCACTGCCTCCCGAAGAAAAGGGGCAAGTAACTTGGGCAGCGCCACAAGAGTCAGAATGGCAGGCAGCAAAGTGCCTACACCTGGGACAGATGCAAGGACATCAAGGCTGCCACGGAGCTGATCCGAATATAACTATGACCACTCAGACATGCAACATAGTAGCCAAATGGGTACCATCCCTGTGATCCTCAGCAGTATTAGTTCCACTAAGAATGGGCAGCTGTACCTGGAACTGCCACTTGCCAACTTCCTTGGAGAACACTGGAGCACACAAGCTGTTGGTTCTCAAGCAGTGCAAATGCAGCATCGCCTAAGAACACCTGAAAAATTAAACTCACTTCCTGTCACTCAGGTATCCAGGTTTGGCAGAAGCTCTGCCAAGCACCCAAGGAAAAGAGGGAATTGTCAGCAAGTTAGGATGAATTAGGGACCTTGTACCTATGCCAAAAAGCCGAAACCAATCCAAATTCGAAAGAGGATGGATCCACAAGGAAAGCAAGACCCCTCACTCCGCAGGAGAAAGTGAAAAATGGCAGAATGTGCTGAAGAAGCAAAAGGAGGGATGACAGAAACCTCTAGAAATATGATGATTCCATGGAATCAAACATCACATGGAAGTGCAGGGAAAAGGGAGTAGGGAGGAGGGGGAATAGAATACCTGAGTAATCGGTCTTATAAAAAAAAAAAAATGGGATAGGAAACATCCTCCTCTGCAGCAAAATACCATCATTGGATAGAACCAGGAGTCGGGAGCAGTTGAAGGACACCCATCAACCTATTTCAGGCTCTCCATGATGACCCCGGAGCAGAACCAATTCCACACCTGGTGATTGGTAGATAAGCATTATCCAACAGAACAGGATCAGAGCCAAGTAAATGTTGTGAAGGTGAAGGCTCTGTATCTCTGGTAGGGAGGAACGGCTCAACTGTCTCCACTATCAAAGCTGATGGGGAAACCCTTCAGGAGCCAGCCAAGCTATGTTCAAAGCTAAACCCTGACCTAACTCCAAACTCTCAGATGATTCAGAGCCTGAACCGTGGAGGGAAAAGCCCAAACACTGGGCATACCACATCAGTAGGGAAAAGAAGAAGGAGGAACAAACTTGTACTATATGGAATTAACAAACTCCTCTAAAATTGGATCCCTAAACACCATATGCGCCATCTCTGGGGCATCCAAACGAGCATCAAGCTGCCTACCATTAAAGCAGCAGATGCTTCAAAAGCCTTGAGACAGGGTCTGATAAAATAGACACACAAAGGTCACAGGACTCTGGGTTATGTCAATGACCCAACAGGCAGCATGGTGGAGATAGAAAGAATGATCGACAGCATGTAGCAAAACTGAAGAGCACCCCAAAAATTTCATATAGCGAGAGCAAGCTATAATGGATTGGTCTATTATGATCACTTTCGTAGACCCACAGGGAAGTTTAGTATTAACTGACCTTGAACAGGATGCCTATTACTGATATGACTTAGTAATGAGAAGCTATCTCAGTGACATAGCTTAAGGAAGCCACCAAGGGACTTCCCTGAGAAAACAAGGAATCGGATATTTAAATATTTTAAACTGTATATGAAATGTAAAAATATACATGACTTTGCCTCTATATCCATATTTATTACCAAACTTGTTCAATACATACCTGCAAATATGCGCCTGTTTTCATCATTTATATAAGAAAACTTTTCAACTACTTCTTTCGGTGCTTGTAATGGAGCATAGGGATTTCCAGAATGGACAGCGAGGTGAGCCAGGTACAAGAACAGAGGCTGAGACGTGTTATGTTGCTTTATAATATCCACAGCCTCATCGGTGAATAGATCTGTGGTGTATTTGCCTGCCACAAAAAAATTAATACTATTATTTAAATTAATAAATAAGTTCACTTAATTTTAAAATGATTATAATTATTTCCTTAAACTCAAGAAAATCACAAACAATAACATATACAATGTAATCTCCAAAATCAAAACTTCTATATAATAAATACAGTACTATACACCAAATTCGGATTATATGCAGTATCACACAGACATTTGAAATGAAATTCAGATCATATACTCATGCCATATATTGTAGTATTTTCAGGCTGATCATATTTGTTTTGCTATTTGTATTATTCTTGTTCTATTAGTAGTACATATTATTTGACAAATAAAATATTTTGCTAAGCAATCTTTACTGAAATTATCCTGCAGTATAAATAGAACAATTCAGTCATTTACAAGTCTTATTTTTATGGATGGCCCAGTACTAGCCTCACTGCACATGATTAGACCAGGTCATTATCTTGAGATGATTTCGGGGCTTAGCGTCCCGGTCCTCAACCAGGCCTCCTTTTTGTTACACACACCCCAGGAAGCAGCCCGTAGCAGCTGTCTAACTCCCAGGTACCTATTTGCTGCTAGGTTACAGGGGCATCAGGCTGAAAGAAACATTTTGCCCATTTGTCTACGTCCTCCACCGGGGATCGAACCCGGAACCTCAGGACTACGAATCCGAAGTGCTGTCCACCTAGCTGTCAGGCGCCCTGGAGGTGAGCTCTTTCCTCTGCGTAAATGGTGTTTACTTAAGGAATTTTAAGTATTTTTCTTATGATTATATATACACTATGGAAGGGAGTACATACCACCTCTGGCTGGAAGAAGGGGACCCTTAGCCTCGGAGGAAACCACACATAACACATTAGAGGGAATGTTTAGGTCCCCTCCAATACAGTTTGTGTGTGCTTTTCTACTACCACCCCCTTCCTTTTGTGTTTTTTGTGCTTTATTATGTATTTAATGGCTACAAGATATACATGGGTTGATACAAAAAGTGCTTAAAGGTTACACACACACATACATACACAGTGGGGCCTCAACTTACGATAGTAATCCGTTCCCAGAGTTTGTATATATGCAATTAAAAACTGAGTTTTCAGTTGCATATATGCCTGGAGACCGTTCAGGCTTGTTTGCATTTGTGTTCCTCACGTGTGCCCCAAAGAATGAGGTGATTTGATAAAATACCATGCCCAAGATTACCATCAGAGTGTCGGTGGGAGGATGGGGAATTAGCCTCGGCTACTATCCTCTTTTGTACGGTCATGATGGTCGAGTGGTTAAGGGGTCCTGTACACCAGTTGCAAAGTGCTCCTGGCAGTATGGGTTCGAGTCACTTCTGGGGTGTGAGTTTTCAGTTATATATATTTATATATTTTTTTTGTGCTTTATTATGTATTTAATGATTATAAGATTAACTGAACCTGTACCAGTGTTACAGTGGTACATTGGTATAGTGGAACCATATAATAACTACATAAAAGTAGTTATTATATAACATTCTATGGGTTCCTGAACAATTAAGAAGTGGTGTGCAGTATGGGAAGAAATGCAAAGTTTTGTTGAAATGACTCACTCAATTCAAGTTGCAGTAGGATGTTGCCGTAAACTTTCAATGACACTGATGCCTCACTAGAGAAATGTTAAAACGTAGGGAATAACAAGTCTCTATGGAAAGGTTCTTAGTGAGAAAAACAAGCAGTGAGCCACAACCAGGTCCTAGTGGTATGCAGGCAAAATGTAGGAGAGATAGAATACCCCAGAGTGGGTATTACCCCAGAATAACATCACCGCTTGATGTTATAATGGAAGGAAGGGGACTCCCCTTCCAAACAGTAACACCTCTCACACAGGATTGTTCAGGAACCCATGGAATGTTATATAATAACTACTTTTATGTAGTTATTATATGGTTCCACTATACCAATGTACCACTGTAACACTGGTACAGGTTCGGTTAATCTTATAACCATTAAATACATAATAAAGCATAATAAAGCACCTTTTAGTAACACCTCTCCTCCTCCCCCCTTTCCTCACCGTCTTCCATACACCAACAAGAGTCATCAATAGAAGTAAGCTATAACTTGTACATACAATAGTACAAAATATATGTATGTATTATGTATGAAATGTATTTCTTGAGAGAAAATTCATTTCGAGTTACGAATTTTTGAGTTACGACCAGTCTCTTTTACTCACCATAGCAATCTTTTGCAACTGTCATATTCCTTCGCATATCATAACCCCAATAACCGGGCTGTAAAAAAAAAAAAAAAATAATTTTCATTAATTTAACATTTTATCATCTTGCAAATTTTTATAAAACATATGAAAACAGAATCTAATTTTGGCTGATTTTCAAAGTAATCATGAATGCTTTATAATGTTATCAGAATTACTGTATTTATCAATTACAGTATTTAGATATTACATTCACCTGCTCCCTAAAGTAAGACCCATTGTCTTTACATATGATTATGCACATGTAACAAAATATACAAATGTTCTCTTTTAGCAAACAGAGTTGTAGATGCTTGGTTACAATTTAAATAAGAAAGTGGTAGATGTCAAAACCATTAACAGTTTCAAAGCGTCACATGAAAAACATTAAGTGAAAATTAGAAACCGTGAGCATAGCTCTCATCCTGTAACTACACTTAGATAATTACACACCGACACTATTGACACTCGTAACTTTTCAGACGATCCCTGTAAGGTCATTATAGGTGCTATGTAGTCATTGGAACACAATTAAACAAAGGTTTCATCACAGGTGACCAACAAAGGAGGGTATTCACTTGCTTCAAGGATATCACAGCTTGCTAATTATTTAGGTAAGATTAAACAGTTTCGTAATGTGAAGCACACTCTAGAAGTCAGTGGTTAAAGATCCGAACAAGACGTCGTTGAGATATGTAAGTAACAACCTTTCTCAACATATCTCAAGCATAAACCTGAGTCTAACTTACCTTCATTAATTTACACTTGAGCTAGGAGCTGAGTAACCAACAAAGCCTGGATCTGGTAGTTCCTTTTATTTTAATGAAACCATTAAAATAAAAGGTTCTCCTGAGGAGCTGAGGCCAAAAAAGTCCCCCTGGCTTTAAAGATCCTGCAATCCTCATTTTTTAAGGAACAAGGATGGCACAGAACCAATAGCTTCCAATTTACTCCTCAATAAAGGAGGACATAGTCTGTTGTTGTTGATCATAGGATTTAATGATACAGAGCAGTGAAATTTGCTTCTTACATACTGACTGATATGAGTCAGGAAAATACGTGAGGAGACTCAGGTAACCCAGAGATGTGTTTGTGGTGCTGCAGTTTGGAGGTAGCCACCATATGTGGCCAAAGTCAGCCAACTGGTAGTTACTAGGAGCCCTCCTTTGGTGGTCATCTGTGATGAATAAGGAAGGTTTGAAGGGGTTAATGTTTTTATGAATGAAATTTCTGTCAGTTAATCTGGGCTAGATATAATGTTCTTCACCCTAGCACCTATAATGATACTGCTGGGACATACTGCCTCCAGTGGCAGTATGTCATCCTGCTTAACTGTGCATGATTACTGAATAATATGTCCAACAGGCACCATCTTTTTTTTTTTTACTATGTACAGTAGATTTTTAATTGAATGGAGCTCACCAACAAAAAATTGCACCAAAAGGCATTATCATTCCAGGGAAAATCAGCACCACTTAGCTGAAAGTATGACATGGGTGACAGATCCCACATACACCCTATTTTGTGGGGGTGTATGTGCCTATGGTAGCCTATGGCACCAGGCAGAAGAGTAAGGTGGCAAGCTGGATGAAACCCTGGATGACCAGGGCTGCCATATGGTAGTGGTTAGGTGCATCATAGTTAATTTATTTACCCCACAACAACAATCATTTGTCTTGTTTAATTTGGTGAGCCTAATTTTCTTCAGTTGTTCGTTTCTTTGTGGCTATGTTTTCTAGTGTTTTTTCTAGGTTTTGGATCGATCTCTAATTTGCCACATAGAGTAAGACAAATTCTAGTATGGGCTTACGGTAAGGAAGGATGGGTCTTAGAGGCCTGGTGCGATTAGTTAAGGCTTGGCAGTACCATAGCTAAGCTCTGAAAACCATTCAGAGGTCCCTCCCCCAAAAATATTTAAATTAAATGATTAGTGTACCATCTCATATTATAACAACATATATTTTAAAATTATGGAATTCATTTATTAGCATGCACATGCATCATGATTAACATACTAGTTCAAGAGCTGTGTGGTCATAATAGTCAATACGTCCACTCCAATATCCAAAATGACTCTCAAAGCCCCTATATAGAGGCGTGTAATCCTTCTTGAAGAACCCCAAATGCCATTTTCCAACATGGTGATTAATGTAGCCCAAGCCTGTCAAATGTTCCGGGAGAAGTATTTCTGAGAGAGCTAATCCATATGGCATTGATCCACCTATAGTTGAGTACTGTAAACCTTAAAAGACAAAGGACAGGTACAAATTTAATAATATTAATACAAAAAGCAACAACAAAAAGACTCATTAAAACTATGATATAAATTTGTTAAATCATTCCTAGGTATATAACTAAGGATATGGTTAAAAAAAAAGTTTCTGTTATACTGTATTAAAATTAAAAACTAAGCCAATACACAGCAGGCAGTTATACGAGTTACCGTGATCTGCCGTAGTTTAGTGCTGTAGTTATGGCACTGAGTTCACTGCACCAGGTCTCTGAGACCCAGGACCAGAATCTGGCTCACTCTACGAGACTAGTAAAACTTGGGGATCAGAGATCAATCCCAGCTTTAAAATAGAAGCCACTAGAAAACAAAAGTTCATAAAAACAAGCAACTGCTTGAGGGAAATTAGTAACCTCAAGGAAAACAAAACAATTGTTAAATGGGGTAAATGCCATGTCATGATGTGGCTGATAACCACTAAATGGCAGCTCAAGGTACCAGTGAAAGAAGGAAATTTATGAGAAGGCTCCCTTAGTAGCTCTTCATAGCCAACTCATAACAGTGCCTCAGTAGAGGACTCCATCGTTTATGAAATATAACATAAATAAAACAAAAAGATATATTGGGCTTACCTGTGGGAGAGAAGGGCTAAATGCAGAATATCAACACCATGCCAAATCCCCAAGTGTGTCTAAGCTGCAAAACATCTATCAAGTAGAGAAGGCCACAGAATAGATTGTATGATGCACCCTCAGCAAGATAAACCAGGTCTTGATGACTAAAGGGCCACTCCAGAAGGCAGACATCACATTATTACCCCAAAAAATAAAAAGAAGTTGGGAGGCTAAGAAAATGAACATCAGGCCCAAAGGAACAGAAATCATGATTCCAGAGAAGTGTGTGATGTTTGCCAATCAAACAGCCAAAAGCAAGCCAGTAGTCAGCCAGTAAGGTACCTTAGAGTAAGCATATACAAGTATGCAGGGAGAAAGAGTAAGCTGTTGGAAGTTCAGCACCTCAGTCTAACTCTCATGTAGAAGCATTATTTATTTATTTATTTATTTATACATATACAAGAAGGTATATTGGCATTGTGAGGATACTGTATATAATATGGTAATTACAATCTTGTAAAGCCACTAGTACGCGCAGCGTTTCAGGCAGGTCCTTAATCTAAGAAAATTTTAAGTAAGTAAATACTTGCAAAATTTATAAAAAATGATAACAGTTACAAGGCAAGAAAAAAAAATGAGAGAAAATTGTATGTATATTAAAGCAAATAGGTAGCTCAGATTGATTGCAATGACAGCTTGAATGGTAGTTGACAAAAATTGGTAGGCACAATACAGCATATGGCTAGCACATAAAAGAAGACAGCAATGAACACAATGATAAGGTTGTTTGGGTTAAGTACATAAAAATTGGGAGATTGGATAACACTAGATACAGAGCAAATTTAAAGCTCAGTGTAGGAAACTAAGAAGATGAAATTAGGTACTTTTTGGTTTTGCTTTTAAATAAGGCAAAAGTTTGACAGCTTTTCAATTCACTAGGGAGTGAGTTCCATAGACTAGGTCCCTTAATTTGCATAGTGCTTACAGAGATTAAGTTTGACCCTGGGGATATCAGAGAGATATTTATTTCTGGTGTGGTGATAATGGGTCCTATTACATCTGTCCAGGGAGAGTTTCAGAGCATGGTTTGCATTTAAGAACAGGGTTTTGTAAATGTAGTTGACACGAGAGAATGTGTGGAGGGAGTTAATATTTAGCAAGTTTAGGGATTTAAACAAGGGAGCTGAGTGTTGTCTGAAAGCAGAGTTAGTTATTATTCTGATAGCAGATTTTTGCTGGGTGATGATGGGCTTAAGGTGGTTTGCAGTGGTAGACCCCCATGCACATTAAGATAGGGGTAGATTAGTGCATAATATAGTGAGAGGAGAGCAGAGTTAGGAACATAATATCTTATTTTAGAGAGTATACCAACTGTCTTAGAGACTTTCTTAGTTATGTGTTGAATGTGGGTGCTGAAGTTGAGTCTCTTGTCTAGGAATAGGAGCTTTAGAACACTTTATGAGGGAGAAAAGGATTAACTCCTAAATTCAGATTTAATCCTGTGATTGAACAGTTGTTTGGTGACTGTACATGAGTGGTTGGGAAAAAAGTGGAAAGAATATGAGAATTTAAGCTATTACTTTGGATATTAAGATTTTATACAATATCATTAAAATCTTATGGGATGTGAAGATAAATTCGATTTTTTCTTAAATATTATCATATACATTTTATCAATACTGTATACAGTGTTGTATACATGAATATGTATAGGTAATGGTAACAATATGAACTATAACAATTTAAACTTTCATATCCCTTTAATATATACAGTACTGTGCAGATATATTTTTAAAAAGTTTTATAAATGTTATATGCATATTTCTCCACGATTATTATTATTTATGTATTCATTACAAAACAGATTAAATTTATATATACAGTACTTCTGTACTGTTTATATGAATGTCCATACCGCTGGTTGAGTTGTGTGATCATAATAATCTTGGTGACCCGTCCAGTACCCAAAATGTGACATAAAGCCTCGGTAAGTAGGAGTAAGCTCATGAATAGCCATGCCCAAGTGCCACTTCCCAACATGGCGAGTAACATAGCCTAACTTGACTAAATGCTGTGGAAGGAGCTTCATCTCAAGTGGAATTCCATAGGGTTGAGGTGCATAAATAACATCATGGTTTAGACCTACAAATAGACACATTTTGTTAATTATACAAATAAAAACAATAAAATAAATAAATAAATAAATAAATAAATAAATAGCTGAATATAATGAAATAACCTTTTCTGGTGAGCCACTCATTAGCTCCCTAAGCCTCAACCCTTGAAATGAACATACTATCCTGAGATGTTCGATCCATGGTGGGCATACCATCCCAAGATGTTCAATCCATGGTGCACATACTATCTTGAGAAGTTTCACCCATGTTGTGCATACCATCCTCAAATGTAGGTATTCCATTAAATACCGTAGCCAGTAAGCCGAGGCAGACCTGTACTCAAATGAGTACTCTTCCTTCAAATTCTATCACTCAGATAGAATGGAGATCCAATGTGCGTATATGTTACAGGACTCCCAGTCAAAGGTGTTATTGACCCAATAGGCAGCTTGGAAGAGGCAGAGAGAATGATCGTTGGCCAGTAAAAGGACCGATGAGTACCCTTCAAACTCGCAGGGGTTGGACTCAACAGGCTGATCCATAATGAGCCATGATGTAAATCTGCAGAAAAATTACCAGGGCCTGAAGATGACTACCCAATAAGGACACCCACACAATAGGGATCTTCACCAAAGGAACGAACACCGAATGCATCCTATAACAACTTGGCTATAAAAGGTGCCTGTGGCATGCCTTATAAACAAGCATGTATGTACCCTAGTGCACCCCACACAACCATATATAAATGTCACTGTTTTGACTATTATGATCCTGTCCAATGACGCATTCAGTGATCTTGCCGTCAGAAGCATTCAGTGTTTGCAGTAAGTAGCTTTTCACATTTACTGAAATCCAAATTTGCTTCTAATATATTTGAATACCCTGTAATTCATTACTCAGGGGTAGATAAAAATGTGCAATGTAGTCCAAAAATGCTAAAAATAGCATTCATCTATAATGAGCATTTGTAGAACAGTACTAGGAGGTACTGTACTGTAAGAAGAAGTAGGTTTCAACTTTAAATACAGTATAACTAAAACAAGTCTTGCATTGTGTTACTTTTAAAGATATATTTGATAAAATATAAAATTCAAGAACATTTGCCTGAGTCACATTGAAGCTTGTGGCAAAAGAGTATTTAAGGTTTAGACAACATACCTGTGTGTATTGGATATTTTCCAGTTAGGAGAGCACTTCTTGAGGGAGTGCATATTGGCTGTACATAGTAATTGTTCAGGATGATTCCTGAGTAAGCTAATGCATCAATATTAGGAGTTGGAATTTGAGTTGAACCATGAAAACCCACATCATTGAAGCCCTGAAAATTTAATAATAAGTACTGTAGTACTAAAAAACGAAAACCACAAACAAACACGTACATATGTTAGTTGACCCTAACATCTATCAAGCTACTGAACTATCTGATAGACAACCATAATGCATTCTCAAGTGTACACAATTATATTAGGTATCCTTCTACAGATCTCAAATTAAATATTTTATGAGGTAAAAAATAGTGAAGGATTTCACAGGTTGGGAAACAAAATAAAACATATTTCTGATGACCAAACCACACACTAGAAAGTGAAGCGACGATGACGTTTCGGTCCGTCCTGGACCATTCTCAAGATAATCGACTTGAGAAAGATTGTGCTACTGGGAAGCTACTTAGGTGCTTTCTATAAAGGAGCATTTTATTAAATTGAACTCTAGACTTTTGTATTGTTAAGAATGAATGATAAAAATAATATTTATGAATGTGAGAATTCTCATATTGGTACGAAGTTTATGTGCAAGTAAGCATCTCATGTCAAAGACTGTTTAAGCTTGATGTGAAAATCTGTTGTGGGCAGAGTATAATGATATATAAAAAAAATACTAAATTGATATGCCTGAACATACTAGAAACTAAATACAGTATAACTCAACATTTAGCTTTCAATATAATTATATTGACCAAATTTTGACCCTTCAAATGAAAAACAAATTTACAACTCGGGGTGGCGAGTTTTGGGTGAGGGGGGTGTTTGAAATCCCCCTTCCCAACCAGTAATTTGAGTTCTATCTTTCTGTATCCAAGATGGATATGATCACAATAATCCATTTAAGATATTTTTGTCTCGTTTTATTAAGTACAGAATAGAGTGCTTAAGCCTCCTATCAAAACGAATGAGAAAAGTTACACAAAACTCGTGACTGCTAGTATACTATGAAGCAAATAGTTCCTTACAAGGTCATCTGCAACAATGATGATAATATGTGGACGAGGCGGATCAGTCCCACAACATGTGTGCAGGAGGACCAGGAGACCCGCCAGCAACATGCTAAAGGAACAGTGGGTCTTCATCACCATCACCTGCCAACATAAAACAGTTCACATGATCCAAAGTGTTTGGTAATGATAGGAAAATGGTGGTGTAGTACCGAGATCATTTTTTGGAAAATATTTGCATAAAATCAGGTACAGTATTGCAGTCAAATTCATTTAAATTGTATCACTGGGTTAACTTGGGGTTCTGATGACCAGTGATGGTGTCCTTGGGGTTCTGATAAGCAGTGATGGTGTCCTTGGGGTTCTGATGACCAGTGATGGTGTCCTTGGGGTTCTGATAAGCAGTGATGGTGTCCTTGGGGTTCTGATAAGCAGTGATGGTGTCCTTGGGGTTCTGATAAGCAGTGATGGTGTCCTTGGGGTTCTGATGACCAGTGATGGTGTCCTTGGGGGATTTGATGGGTGCTCTGCCTCTACTGATGGGTGGTATCTGCTACCTGGGACTCACTGGGGTGTCAGCCACAGAGATAAGATATCTGTTACCAGGTGAAAAAATCCAAAATAACCCAAATTAATAATGGAGGCTAATGCAACAATTTGTTACTGTTGTAATGGTAATGAGTGTAGACTGAAGGACATGAAGAAAAAAAAAAGTTGATTTTAAAGTGAATAGGCTCGTTTTATAATAAAGGTAAAGATATGAGTACTCACCTAATTGTGCTTGCGGGGGTTGAGCTCTGGCTCTTTGGTCCCGCCTCTCAACTGTCAATCAACTGGTAATTACCTAAGTGTAATTACCTAAATGTAGTTACAGGATGAGAGCTACGCTCGTGGTGTCCCTTCTTCCCAGCACTCTTTGTCATATAATGCTTTGAAACTACTGATGGTCTTGGCCTCCACCACCTTCTCACCTAACTTGTTCCAACCGTCTACCACTCTGTTTGCGAAAGTGAATTTTCTTATATTTCTTCAACTTCTTTGTTTAGCCAGTTTAAATCTATGACCTCTTGTCCTTGAAGTTTCAGGTCTCAGGAAATCTTCCCTATCGATTTTATCAATTCCTGTTACTATTTTGTACGTAGTGATCATATCACCTCTTTTTCTTCTGTCTTCCAGTTTTGGCATATTTAATGCCTCTAACCTCTCCTCGTAGCTCTTGCCCTTCAGTTCTGGGAGCCACTTAGTAGCATGTCTTTGCACCTTTTCTAGTTTGTTGATGTGCTTCTTGAGATATGGGCACCACACAACCGCTGCCTATTCTAGCTTTGGCCTAACAAAAGTTGTAAACAATTTCTTTAGTATATCGCCATCCATGTATTTAAAAGCAATTCTGAAGTTAGAAAGCGTGGCATAGGCTCCTCGCACAACGTTCTTTATGTGGTCCTCGGGTGATAGTTTTCCATCTAGAACCACCCCTAGATCTCTTTCTTTATCAGAATTCTTTAAAGATTTCTCACATAATATATAGGTTGTGTGGGGTCTATGTTCTCCTATTCCACATTCCATAACATGGCATTTATTAACATTAAATTCCATTTGCCAAGTGTTGCTCCATATACTTATTTTGTCCAGGTCATCTTGAAGGGCATGACAATCATCTAAGTTTCTTATCTTTCCTATTATCTTAGCATCATCAGAAAACATGTTCATATAGTTCTGTATACCCACTGGTAGATCATTTATGTAGACAATAAACATCACTGGTGCAAGAACTGAACCCTGTGGTACTCCACTTGTGACATTTCTTCAGTCCGATACATTGCCTTTGATTACTGCCCTCATTTTTCTATCAGTCATAAAATTTTTCATCCATGTTAGAAGCTTACCTGTCACCCCTCCAATATTTTCCAGTTTCCAGAACAACCTCTTATGTGGAACTCTGTCGAAAGCCTTTTTTAGGTCCAGATAGATGCAGTCAACCCAACCATCTCTTTCCTGTAATATCTCTGTGGCTCGATCATAGAAACTGAGTAAATTCGATACACAGGATCTTCCAGATCGAAAACCATACTGTCTGTCTGATATTATATCATTTCTCTCCAGGTGTTCTACCCATTTAGTTTTGATTAGTTTTTCCAATACTTTCATTATTACACTTGTCAATGATACAGGTCTATAATTGAGGGGGTCTTCCCTGCTGCCACTTTTGTAGATTGGAACTATGTTAGCCTGTTTCCACACGTCTGCTATGATTCCTGTACACAGGGATGCCTGAAAGATCTGGTGAAGTGGAATGCTGAGCTCAGATGCACATTCTCTCAGAACCCATGGTGAAACTCCATCTGGGCCAACTGCTTTGTTCTTACTGAGCTCCTTTAGCATATTTTCCACTTCATCTCTAGACACCTCTATGTGCTCTATGTTGTTCTCTGGAATTCTTATTGTGTCTGGTTCTCTGAAGATTTCATTTTGTACAAACACACTTTGGAAATTTTCATTTAATGTTTCACACATTTCCTTTTCATTTTCCGTGAATCTGTTTCCCATTTTCAACCTCTGAATATTATCCTTTACCTGCAATTTGTTGTTTATGAATTTGTAGAATAGGCCCGGTTCTGTTTTACATTTATCCGCTATCCCTTTTTCAAAATTTCTTTCTGCCTCTCCTTACTGCCGTATGTACCGGTGTACAGGTTCCTGAGCTCTACTGGGCTCTATCATATCTACATTTGAAACTGTGTATGGAGTCAGCCTCCACCACATCACTGCCTAATGCATTCCATCTGTTAACTACTCTGACACTGAAAAAATTCTTTCTAACATCCCTGTGGCTCATTTGGGTAGTCAGTTTCCACCTGTGTCCCCTTGTTCGCGTACCACCTGTGTTAAATAGTTTATCTTTATCTACCCTGTCAATTCCTCTGAGAATTTTGTAGGTAGTGATCATGTCTCCCCTTACTCTTCTGTCTTCTAGTGTCGTGAGGTGCATTTCTCGCAAATGCCTCTTAGTTCTGGGACTAGTCTAGTGACATACCTCTGAACTTTTTCCAGCTTCGTCTTGTGCTTGACAAGGTACGGGCTCCATGGCTGCCTTGAGGATACAGTAATCCTTGGGTGCCCTCGTACCACAAAGATACTTAATATGAGAAAGGACCTTAATATTCCGAGCGTTGTTGATCGTGTTACTGAAATTAACTGTCAAATTGGTATAAAAATGCTTAGACTAACTCATCCTAATCCTTGCATAGAAGCCCTCCAGAATTTCTTTATTGAAGATCAACATTGTTCCAAATGGATAACAAAACTGGAACTCAACTCAGAATGTATCAGGTTCATGATTTGTACCAAGAGAAACAACAACGGCACTTTCCTGCAACGTGGGAGGTTACCCCCTTTCCAGTTTTAATCCCTCCCTTTCCACCCAAGAAGCAAATTAGAGATCAGCCCAAGCTTCGTCTTGAGGCAAAGCTCAACGCCTTAAGCCATATTGATGCTCTGTCCACAGAGCATTCTCTTTCTCAAATCATATACACTGATGGTTCCCTACACCGCACCACGGATGCAGCTGGAAGTGCAGTTGTTCTGACAATGGGCGATGGCTTGTACTTTGAGTGGGGAGTCCGTATAAACAACTGGGCCTCTACCTTTCAGACCGAACTATTTGCCTTGCTCCTTGCACTGAAATGTGTACAAGTCTCCAAACTTGATACATTAATTGTAAGTGACTCCTTATCATCCTTAAATGCTCTCAACTCTTTAAGACATAACTGTAACATGCTCGTGTCTGAAGCTAGACACAAATACAACAAAATTATTAAGGATGGTAACAGAGTCCATTTCATGTGGTCTCCATCTCAGGTTGGCCTCCGAATGCATGATAGAGCTGATAAGTTAGCCAAAGAATCTGCCTTTAAAGGAGCCGTTGAGTGTAACCTTGGATTGTCAATGAGCAATCTGAGAGCAGCAGTACACCGAGAACTTCAACAAGATCTTGTAGATCTGAGGCAAAGTGAAATTGACACCAGTAATTCCATCTATCATCATAGTATCATGCAAGAGGAGCCACACATCTATGGATCATCCAATAAAATCAGCAGACTTCTAGATGTTACTACTGCTCGGCTTAGACTCGGTTACAAGTATCTCTGGGAATTCTCATTATCTGCCGATGTAGATCTGACCAAATGTAAACTGTGTCAACAAAATTATTCGCACACCCTCCGTCACTATGTGATGGAGTGCGAAAAGATACGTGAATTTAGAGAGAATTCTATAACCAATGTTAAAGCGATGTGTAAATATTTCATTCAAAATGGTCTGCTACCAGAAATTTTAGCCAAATATCCCCAGTTTGCTAACTGTAGGTAGTAACTAAGTGATTGTAACCTATCCACCGCTGCCCACTGGATGGGGGGCGGTGTGTAGGACAAACATAAATTTTGACACAAGCTCTCCACATATGTCAGTTGCTTAATTTAGAACCTGTACTTTCGATCTCGAACCTATTGTTGATGTGACGACTTTTATTGAATTTTGTAACTAGCTCATCAAGATTGTAACTTGCTTAGCTAAATGAATTGTGGGGTTCAGTCCCTGAGCCCATTATGTGCCTCTGTAACCCTTTCCACTACCCCCCACAAGATGGGTATGGGATGCATAATAAATGAACTAAACTAACTGCTGGGGCCGCATACTCCAGGATTGGTCTTACATATGTGGTATACAAGGTTCTGAATGATTCCTTACACAGGTTCCTGAAGGCAGTTCTGATATTAGCCAGCCACGCATACGCCGCAGATGTAATTCTTTTGATGTGGGTTTCAGGAGACAGGTTTGTTGTGATATCAACTGAGTGATTGTCCATGGAAGTTGACAATCAATGTAGAACGGGTATAACATGACAAAAAACTTTATTTCGACAGGAAATAAGATCATCTTACAACTACTGTACAGTATGATGAAAATTAATTAACTTCTGGCTGTCAAAACAATTCAAGTTTCACGCTGATTTTCCCTTTAAATGGGCATACAATGTGCCAATATCTGATTGAAATTATACTTTTTTAATGTTTTACTCTCATAACTATTAAATAAATAATATATAATATTACATTCGTTCTTTATTAAAGTAATTATACCTATCTCTGCGATATTTCGTGTAATTGGTTGTTATGAGGCGTTTACTGCTCAGCTGTTGAGAGGTTGACACTCTTTACAAAGTCAGTCATGAACAACATTAACTCATTACCCATACATAGCTTTGCATTAATATCTGTGTTAAATTATATTACTCCAAGTCCTATAGGCAGCGATAAGAGCTGGAGGCGTTAATATTAGTCATAGTGAGTTACCAATGTTTGTAAAGAGCGCCAGCCTTTGAACAGCTGAGGAGGTAAACAACAACATTGTGCTCGGGTCGTTAATGGCTCACGCTTAGTGAGTTTGAGGTTGTTTCTTCTGTATAATGTGTGCAGTCATCGGCAGGACAAACCCTTCATGCAAACTGCACCTACTTTCAAGAAGAAGAAGAAGTAGTGTAGTTTGTGTCAAGGGTTTCATCTTCTCGGTGACTGAGTGGTGGTGTGGGTGACGCTTAGACAAGGTTTAATTAAACGATGTAAATTTGAATCGACAGGGTGCATACTGATTAAGTTTCGTTGTCTCCCTTAACACTGCTACAACAGATTCATAAACAAAAAGTGTTATAGGATTTTGATGGCATGTTGACAAACTAGGAAAATACATTAATAACCAACAGATCCAATCAGGTGGGGATTCCTGGTTCACCATGACCCCATTATATCTAAAAATATCTTTTTTTTTATCTGAATTATTCTAAGCTTTGCCCAAATGCTTTGTGTATTAGTGGCTTTATTTAACATGCAATGCTTGTACCTTCAAATATACCTCAGTATTATTTCTTATTTATGCATATTTTATTAATAAAATAATATTACTACTGTTGTTATTAAACACCCAGGCATACAAAAAAAAATACCATCTGCTGTACATTTCAATTCATAATACAGTAATTAAGATTTTACCATGGCTGATTCAAAACCCAAATCACTCACTACAAAAAAAAAAGTTTTGGAAGGGTAATCTGGTAGTAAAACTTATACTGTAGAGGGAAAGATCTATTTATATGGTCATCAGAAGTTTTGTTGTGCAACTGTATAGTACTATAATAAGATTATATAAAGATTGTCTTTACTGACAAACTTCTATTTCCAGGCTATCATGTTGCTGCGGAGCTTCAAGAGTTCAACAACTTGGTCTGTCTTCCAGTTTGTGGTAAACGGTTCCAAACCCAAGATTAATAAGAGGCCTTGTAGTTCAGGAATCCCTTTTGAAGAGCTCACAGAGCAAGCTACAGTTACTGAAAATGACACCAGTCAAAGCAATATTTCCAATGATTCAGAGTTGTGGCATTTATTAGGTAGATCATCAGAATTTGATGATCAGGAGCAAAATAAAGATACAGAGCTTTCAAGTATACAAACTTTAAGATACACAAATAAGGTGCTTTTTGGCCCTCTTCTAGGAAAATCTGCCCAAAGGAAGAGCTGGGTAAAACAAGAGGAACAGGGTAATAATGAAGTAAAATACAAGAGAAAAAGTGTGCATTTAACAAATAAGGAAAACTCAGAAGTTAAGCCCCTTATATATAATTTTGGAAACTCTCATCACCTTGGCATTTTTCCTGATAGTTCCAAGCTGTCAAATGAACGAAATATATCTAAAGTTAAAATAGAATTTAAGACGTCTAAGCATGCTTATAACTCTGATGAGAACAGCAGCACTAGTAAATATAATGGTTTTGACAGTATTATTAAAAGAACAGCTGTTACAAAAATTCCACAGCATCTGAAAAGTTATAATAGAACCCAAGGAAAATCCAAATCTCAAAAAATTATAGTTAATTCTTGGATAAATGACAAAGAACAGACCTTTGGGACTTTTTCTCGTACGACTGAAATTTTGTGCAATGAAAATGAAAAAAAATTCAATATTACAGAAAATACCTTAAAGAAGCCCACAACAAATACCATTGGTAAAACTCAAGAAAGCAATATGAAAGAGGAAAGACCAGACCAAAAGTCATTCATTGCTAAACTTAAGGAAAAAAATAATAATCCTTATTTTATTATGATTGATAATTCCAAGTTTGCAGCCGTCCCAAGCTCTTTGGATCTGAAAAGGATTGAAAATTTTCCACTGGTCAGTGACTCATCGGTCACTTATGCTATGCAAGACATGCCTGTCTCTGACACACCTCTAGGGAAAGAAAGTATTGTTTCAATTGGGATATTTGATGATGGCTACCATAAACTTCCTAGTGTTAGAAAAATACTAGAACAAACTATGCCTCAGAGTAATAAGATAATGTTAGAGAAATGGAAGGCAAAAATGATCAGAGAACTTGGAGAAGAGGGCTTTCAACAATATCAGAAAGGTGAGTACTGATTACTGGAAAAAGCATTTACCTATGTATTACAATAAAACATGCTTTAGTATGTATCCAGAGTTGTAATTATTATTCATCTCTTCTTTATATAAACCAAGTCATCTATCTAGTTGAACATTCAGGTAAGTACAGTACTGTATTTTGTAAAGAAATAAAAGATTGCCATTTGTGAAAGGTAAAAACAAAAAGAAATACTGAATACACTACAATATATTTAAAAAAGAAATATACTGTTGAATATTCAATAGTTCAATAATTTTTGGGCACTCTGGGATGTAATAGCACACTGAGAAAGAAGACTTGGTTCAATTCCTAGACAAAGTGGAATGATTGGGTACCGTTCACCCCTTTGCACCCAGCAGCAGTTGGGAGCCTGGATGTAATAAACTGATTGGAGTATTCTGTCATGGGGGAAAATATGGCGATAAGTAACCTAATGGGTTTTAGTACTTGGCATAAGGCCTAAATCTCAATTTGGTACTATATAAACAATGATGTACATATAAAAAACATTCTTGTGTAGCTTAACCACTGTGATGCGCCACATTTATTATGACATTCTGGCTGTGGACCGAAAATAAAGTTTGTCGGTAACAGGATTTGTTTTTTGGTACTATTAATTAGCACCCAGGAAGCACAAAAAGCCAAATACAGTCTTTATCTCTTGCAGTTTAGTCATAGTTGCCTGGAGAAGTTGCATTTTTTGGGCAAAAATTAGGAGATTTGCTGCATGGGAATAATTTTGATGACCTATTTTCAATGTTTCTCACTTTATTTATTTAGTTTTTTGCTCTAATAAGTTGTATCAATGTGTCAAAGATGGTGTTTATTATGTATAACTTTGAAATTATACATATATACAGATATATGTGCATAAATATATGCACACCATGTATTTATTCAACTAATTATATATATTGAGCAGTCTCCGTGGTGTAGTGGTAAGACACTCGCCTGGCGTTCCGCGAGCGCTATGTCATGGGTTCGTATCCTGGCCGGGGAGGATTTACTAGGCGCAATTCCTTAACTGTAGCCTCTGTTAAACGCAACAGTAAAATGTGTACTTGGATGAAAAAACGATTCTTCGCGGCAGGGGATCGTATTCCATGGACCATAGGATTAAGGACTTGCCCGAAACGCTACGCGTACTAGTGGCTGTACAAGAATGTAACAACTCTTGTATATATCTCAAAAAAAAAAAAAAAAAAAATATACTGTGTGTATATATATATATACAGTATATATATATATATATATATATATATATATATATATATATATATATATATATATATATATATATATATATATATATATATATATATATATATGTCGTACCTAGTAGCCAGAACGCACTTCTCAGCCTACTATGCAAGGCCCGATTTGCCTAATAAGCCAAGTTTTCATGAAATATTTGTTTTTCACCAACCTAACCTACCTAACCTAACCTAACCTAACTTTTTAGGCTACCTAACCTAACCTAACCAATAAAGATAGGTTATGTTAGGTTAGGTAGGGTTGGTTAGGTTCGGTCATATATCTACGTTAATTTTAACTCCAATAAATTTTTTTTTACCTCATACATAATGAAATGGGTAGCTTTATCATTTCAAAAGAAAAAAATTAGAGAAAATATATTAATTCAGGAAAACTTGGCTTATTAGGCAAATCAAGCCCTGCATAGTAGGCCGAAAAGTGCGTTCTGGCTACTAGGTACGACATATATATATATATATATATATATATATATGTCGTACCTAGTAGCCAGAATGCACTTCTCGGCCTACTATGCAAGGCCCGATTTGCCTAATAAGCCAAGTTTTCATGAATTAATTGTTTTTCGACTACCTAACCTACCTAACCTAACCAAACCTAACTTTTTTGGCTACCTAACCTAACCTAACCTATAAAGATAGGTTAGGTTTGGTTAGGCAGGGTTGGTTAGGTTCGGTCATATATCTACGTTAATTTTAACTCCAATAAAAAAAAATTGACCTCATACATAATGAAATGGGTAGCTTTATCATTTCATAAGAAAAAAATTAGAGAAAATATATTAATTCAGTAAAACTTGGCTTATTAGGCAAATTGGGCCTTGCATAGTAGGCTGAGAAGTGTGTTCTGGCTACTAGGTACGACATATATATATATATATATATAATATATATATATATATATATATATATATATATATATATATATATATATATATATATATATATATATATATATATATATATATATATATATATATATATATATATATATATATATATATATATATATTATTTATTTTGGTAGCAGTCTTTCCTGTAGCCTTTTGAGATTCTTTCATACCAGAAACCAAGACCAGAATTTGGTCCTCTCTAAAAGGTGAGGGAAGCTTGAAGCTTCCTCTTTTTTTTTCTCTTTATAAGCACGTGTCCTGTGTGTCTGTTTTGTCCTTGCAGGCAAAACATTATCTACAAATAAAGCCTATTCTTATCTTCATTATTTCTCTACACCATTGTCAGGACTTTGTGCTCTCAGACAATTGTTTTATGGCAATTTGCTGAATTTTATAACATTTCTATTGCAACAGCTCATTCATTACATCTCATTTTCATTTTCACATTATTAGTGTAACAAGTTTATACTGTATTGTACTTGATTTAAACAAATATCCATGTTTTATAGGTTTGTTAGACCGTGGAATGTTACTTCATGGTTGTATACAGTCAGAACTTAGTGGTGTTACACCACTCACTGAAGATATGCCATCTTTAGGAGGTCTTTGGACAAGTCTCAAGCAAGTTTTGCCAAATGTGTCAGATGTAAATGTGTTGGAGAGTCGCTTGATCCACCCACATCTCCACTACCAGGGATCTGTGGACTGTGTTGGCTTCTACAGGTATAGTCATTCAAGTTGTAATGCATGTTTGTTGAATGTGTTCTCATATTCTGGAAGAAAGTAACCAATTAATTGCTACTTACATTTATAATATAAACCTTCATTGATACAACCCCTTAGGCAAATTTATATTAAACTGCTTGATAGTGTACAGGACAGTATTTACATTGTTAAGGCAAAAACAAACAAAATCTTCACAAGAAAAATTAGGCTGTGAACCAACTCCAGCACAAATAGCAGGCAAGGGAGGTTGCAGGACCCATTGTTTCCAAGAGAGTTACTGTCCGAAGCCTCCAACAGTCTGAGTTATCGTAGTCTCACGTACATTGTTTAAAACAGGTTTAGGAAGAAAATAAAAAAGTAATAATTAAAGATAGAAAAATTTAATTCTTAATTGTCTTGTTTAAACTGAAGGCTGATCATTAATTTAATATTTTTCAGAGGAACACCAATGCTCATTGAATGGAAGACTGCTAGCAAACCAAAACTCTCCTTAAAATCAATGTTTGATGACCCCCTTCAAGTTGTAGCTTACTTGGGAGCTCTCAACTTTGATACTAATTATAAACTCCCTTATAATGTAAGTGAACATTTCTCTTAATAGTTTCTTATTATAGAAGGACCATAATTTTTTTTTAAGTTCATATCAATATTGTGAAAAAACACAAAAAGATAATAATTTGTGAAATATTGGAAGATTAGGCATAGAATGGGATACTATGAGTAATGAATGAAAATAATAAGTAAGAGGGATAAAGAAAGAGAGTAAGCATCCTGCAGATAACACCGTGCTGTACATGTTGAAAGTGAAACATAAGTGTTGAATATAGAAATCTAGATACATGACATAGAAATATATGAGAGGCAAGTGCGTGGGTTGTAGGATGGTCAATACTGCTTGGAGTGACATTTGATTTTATTGCCGACAGATGGCAGTATGTACAGAGTAAATTAACAAATCCATAAGGGCCGTGATGAGGGTTCGAACCTACATCCGATATAATCCCAGACGCACCTCTGGGATTATCCTGGACGTAGGTTCGAACCCTCATCACGTCCCTTGTAGATTTGTTCATTTGATGCATCATGCTATTGTGATTTGTGTGTGTACAGAGTAAATTTGCCAATTTTATAGGCCAATGGACTTTGTTGAATATTACACAATGTACAAATACTCTTTCTTGGCAAGAGAATATCATAGCTTGTATTGAACAGCTGTTCTTAGGGTGACCAGAGTAATTTTCTGCAGCAAAAGGATTAATCTCAAGCAACGTAATGCATCACTATTGTTTTAAAATAATAATAATTTTATTTAAAAAACTATTAAAAAATTATACAGAACAGTATAATACAGTAGTTTATTAATTATTACAGATTATGTATATTTAACCCTTGGGCTGCATGCCTAGTATTCCCTAACAACCCCATAGCGTGAGAAAAAATTTAACAAATTTTCCTTTTAATATTGTTAAAATGCATTCCCTGATCATGGCGGAAAAAAATTAAATGACATTCTGTCCTTTTGCCACGATGGAGCGAGGAAAGCTGCCAATTTACAGGCGTTGACAAAGCAGCCACCATGCAGTGGTCTGCCCCAGCCCTGCCAATGGGTAGGAGTTGCTGTGTACATGTATGTATGTATGGATATACAGTACAGGTATATTAGATTTGATGGTGGAATTTGAGCCTACGCCAAACACCAAAGTTGGGAGGCTATTTAGAGATTAAGATTATACACATAATAATTTTAAATCTTTAATTTTCCAGGTGGATTCTGCTTTGCTGGTTGTGGCATATGATACAGGATTGCCAGCTCATACCCATTTTCTTAGTAAAGATCAGTGTGAACACTACTGGAAAATGTGGTGCTCCAGACTTGCTCAGTTTTGGAGACAAATAGAACTTCAAGGATCTAATATGAAGAGGAGAGAGGAGTAATATTATTACACCATAAAGTTATTAGATAATCTTTATCTATAAAAGAGAATGTCTGTCTATTTATCTGTTTTGAACTAGCCTCACCAAACTTTGCAGGGTGATTGGTCTTTGTCTGGGAATAGTCATGGGGGGGGGGGGGGGGGGGAGTTAAGGGTCAAGCCCCATGTTCTCTTTCATATGGCAAATCATACTAATTTCTTATACAATAAATTGTACTGCAGTGATATATTTGGATGTCAGAATATTTTAACAATTATAAAACTATAGTCACTAAGGATTTCTAAGTTCATTGAAGTAAAACACTACAATTGAATCGTGTGTACCCATCTAAATTCACCACCACCGTACTACCTGTATTATTATTATTATTTGTTCATATTTTACCAAGTATTATAGTACATTATAACATTTCAATGTTTTACTATACATTATAATAAGCATGAATTACTAAATATATATACTGTATATATATATAATTTATATATATATATATATATATATATATATATATATATATATATATATATATATATATATATATATATATATATATATATATATATATATAAACCTAGAAGGGGTACCACCTCTGGTGCAAGTGTAGGGACCCATAGCCTCGGAGAAGAAAATAAAGAGTACTCAGAGAATTGAGTACTTGTGGATCCTCACTGAACACTTTGATATTTTCTTCTCCTACCACCCATATTCTTTTGTTAAGTGTGTATATTTATCTAATTTTATTTGAAAATGTCATTACACAAAAAAAAGTTACAATATTGATTACATGCAGGGTACAAGGCTGCTCGTCACAAGTTGAACAGCTCCTCCAGCTCCTCAGATGGCGGGCAGGAACCGTGGATGCAGTGAGCATTTCCTCTCTGGATTGCCACACCAAGGCGCTGAAAAAGAAAACTGGCAGCTCTAGGGTCTCTAGTTGTTTCGATTAGCTTAGACCCCAACTCCTTCAAAAAGCTAGCAGCACTTTTACCCCAGGCACCAAGTGTCTCTGAGGCAATGGGGACAAAATTGTAGTGGTGCTCAAGGTCTCTGTATTTACGTGACTTGGCCGCTTCCCGGTGATTGGCAGCTCCTCCTGCTTGTGTAGCACTGAAGTCAACATAGGTATTGGCTAAAGTTGAAATGCAAGTGTAGTCCCACACCAACTGTCTACCATTCTTCCAGGGGTTCACCGTAATTCCGTCTGGGCGACCGACAGGCTCATCAGAGTTGCTGGACATTAGGTAACGGGGCTCTCTCTCTGCTGGACAACCGGCTGTGGTAAGGCTTCTCTTAATAATTACCAAGCAAGTATTGCGTCAGCCAGAAAAATGATAGGATGGATTACGAGAACCTTCAAGTCCAGAGATCCCATCACAATGGTTGTACTCTTCTAATCACTTGTGTTGTCCCGTCTTGAGTACTGCTCAGTACTCACTTGCCCCTTCAGAGCAGGAGAGATTGCTGAAATTGAGGGAATACAGAGAACATATACGGCACGCATAGACGAGATAAAGCACCTAAATTATTGGGATCGTCTCAAAGCTCTCCAAATGTACTCACTAGAAAGGAGACGAGAGAGATATCAAATAATATACACATGGAAAATACTGGAGGGACAGGTCCCAAATCTGCACAGTAAAATAACAACGTACTGGAGTGAACGACATGGAAGAAAATGCAGAATAGAGGTGCCGTGGACACAATCAGAGAACACTGTATGAACATCAGAGGTCCACGGTTGTTCAACATCCTACCAGCGAGCATCAGAAATATTACAAGAACAACCGTGGACATCTTCAAGAGGAAACTAGATTGTTTCCTTCAAGGAGTGCCGGACCAACCGGGCTGTGGTGGGTATGTGGGCCTGCGGGCCGCTCCAAGCAACAGTCTGGTGGACCAAACTCTCACAAGTCAAGTCTGGCCTCGGGCTGGGCTTGGGGAGTAGAACAACTCCCAGAACCCCATCAACCAGGTATCAACCAGAATGTTCGGTAATACGTTTATTGCTTGTGATATGTGTCTATGTATGTATTAACACGATGTACTGAATGGTGTGAGAATAGCTTGAGCTACCTCATCCCTTTGTGTGTATTTTACCTCAATAAACTTATTTCAGTTTCAATTATACCTTTAGTAATGCAACTTCATTGACATCAGGTTATATTACAAAGATAGGAAACTGCTAAAGCATCTTATGGAATTATTTATTCATAATAAAAATGTATTGTTAACATCTAGAACACACAAAAGATAAATCTATATTTACAAGAGAGATGTAAGATACTTGTTAGAGAATGCCATAGTCTGACAATTACAATAAAACATTAACTACAGTATTTCAGGATAAATGTAAATGTAATTAATGTTTTGGGAGCTAAAATGGTTTAAGGTTACACAAAAACCTAAAAGGCTGGATACCACCACTCCTTATGTAGCTCTCGAGCAGCATTCCTTATCTTATTCTTCTCAACACGCTTAACTTAAAACTTGACATACATAGATTACTCATTTGTTCACTCACAGTAGATATTTAAACAGCAGCAGCTTCAAGCACTTTTCTATTTATTCTAATTTCATATACATAGGTCCTTCTTTTTCCACCACAATTATTTTAGTGGATATTGTAATTACATGGGAAGCTAGTCAACTTTTCAAATATTTAATAGCACTGTTGCATGGTTGACATGAACTATACTAGTCAGTACTGTACAGTAGTAATTGGTATTAATCTATAAATTTTCAGTAGTTTTATTCATTCATATTCTGGAAGTCACCAGATTCCTACCTGCATCTGCCTAGTACTTCAAATCAATACTTTTTGATGATGGCGCTACCTTCATCTATTAGAGCTCTGATCTCAACACGACACTGTTGTTATTAAAGAAGTCTAGTAAATCCATGAATGGATGACTTAACAGACTGGCTCAGACTTAATACACAAATCATTTAATTCTCAAAAGTAAGTATTTATTAACTAAAAAGATTTTTGAATTAAATAAACACAGAACTCTACTATAATAATGGAAAAGTAACTATGCTACAATTAATCCTGAACCATGGACTAATAGCAGCTCACCATCATAACTGGAGATAAATGATCCAACTTGACAGACAAGATGTGTAGTTCACTATCATAAGTTGGAACCGAGTTTTAAGTATGTAATGGTCCAGGATAGACAAAATATCACCATCTCAAATCTTTAAGTGTGGGTTTAATGTTTATTTATTACAACCGTGGTATTGCAACTTATCCTTCGCTGATCTAAAAATTAACTAAATATTTTGATTCCATCCAATCAAAGGAGACAATCCTCAGGTCCTATGTCAGGCATATCTAACACTACAACCAAGACTATTTATATTTTTAGAACAAAAATGCTTCTCTTTTCCTCCCCTCTGTACCTACTGTGTTAAAATAGTGATAAACAGAGAAAATTATTTGTGATATGATGGATGAAAAGATGGGGAACTCGGTATTGGTGTATTGGGTGGGTGCATGGTTGGGTGTAGATGGTTGTGGATCACTGATACAACAAGAAGGATATAAAGAATGAGAAGGCAAGTGTGGGATATGGGGTGTGTTAGTTGTGGGATGGTTTAGGACTTGGCAGCCTAACTAGTGATGAAATTTTGGGCTTGGGCCAACATATTCAACAAACTGTATTGTGGAACCCAAAATTAATCATATGACACAAATGATGTCAAGTCAATGTGATGAAGTTTTCTCAATATACTGCAAAGAAATAAAAACAATAACTGTTGTAGACTGGATTACAAAATTTTTATACCAGCCATACATGCTATTTTGCTCGAACTTGTATGCTTTAAGTTTCATGTCATTATGATGAGGAATTCTCAAGATGTTGAATGACAAGCTCTTGTAAGAAAAGCAAAGCAAAAGATAAAGCTATATTGTATTCTTATCGAGACTACCTTATAAACACTCAAATTTTGTAAACAAAAGACTTGGTAAATAAAGCCAATATCAAAACATATCTAGCACATGAATGAGTACAGAAAAAATGGATGTTTGTGACCTGCAATTTATGTGATATAGAACTAGGTTATGTAGATTCGGGTAAATTACGGTCTAAGCACTTGCATATAAAGACTCAAATTTTAGTGATATTACGTGGGTTAAGAACAAATTAACGCAGATAATAGACTAATTCTTTGGTTTAACATTTGGTTCTCAAATGCATTGGGATTCTGCACACACTACAGTAGTGTATTTTACAAACATTTTGGTTATATTCTTGCATCTTTGGACAACCCAAGAATTCTGGACTTCATTGTGTAGTGTATTTGTGGCTGGAAATAGGATGGAGCATTAAATATTAAATACTAATGTTAAAATAGGTGTTTTATTGAAGAGTGGAAAAAATAACTTTTAGAAGTCTCTGAAACCTAGCCTTATTTGACCCCTAGAACTAAATTAGATTTTGCAGGAACATAATTCATATGCAAAATAATGGATGCCTGTCCTCTAAAAGATCGGCCATTATGCAGGCCCTTTACTCTTGTTCTAGCACCAAGCTAAAATATCATTAAATTAATGTGAAGCAGCAATTGGAAGCCTATCAACCTTCCCCTTTTGGCAACATTCCACAAGCGAATGGGCACATAATCTGTCTAAAATACTGTACATCTTATACAAAATTACATTTATCTACAATATTACAAAATAATGTACACTACTCTGTATATAGATATATACGTACACTAATATATAATTCATAAAACAAGAGTAATGCACTCACAAGACCTGAAAATCAAAGGAGCTATATAATAAATCATAAAGCAAAAAATAGAGCAGCATTGAAAAGATGACATTAATACTCATTTAAGTTATATTGTATAACAGTGTAGCTTAAATGATAGTAATAATTACATATAGGTTTCTTTTAGTTGTGTGAATGTTGTGTTCAGATATGAATAATTGTACTTCAAAACATGATAACTGGAGATAAATGGTCCAACTTGACGGACAAGATGTGTAGTTCATCATACTGACGTGAACCTTTGCAGATACAATAAAACATTACTGAAGCTACAGTATGAAGAAATTCTACAATCATATCACCTGCTTATAATGGCAAACTAATCTAATATTATTTATGTACAAATGTTATAAACTAAAGTTAATAATATGTTATAAACTGAAAAAAAGTTACATATAACTTAAAATGTGTATACTATCACATGACACTTTAAGGTGGAAAAATCATATAAAAAATTCTTGCAAGGCCAGCATCTCACAAGCAAAGAGTTAGGTCAGTCTGGAATAAAGACTACCTAATGCAAAGTTGGTACCTTGCTTCCTATAATCATGCTTATCATTAAGGCTTTTGTTTAACCACAAACTTTCAGTATACTATCACCTACTTAATAGGAAAATGAGTAAGTATTGCACTCGCACATCTGGCTACATCGACATCTCACAAAACCGTACATTCTAAGGAATCTTGAAAGTATATTAATTTTCACTTAATGAGAGAAGCTTTATTCTAGCATGTTTTGTTTTATTTATTTATTTATGGTGATGTTAAATTTATCATGTGTTTAATAAAGTTAAGATAAACTAATAGCAGTTTAACTGAACAGTTCAAGTTACATTAGTTCCTAACCCTAAACTTGCAGTGTAACAATCCTGGATATGTAATATAATTTTAAAGTCAAGGAAACTGCTTTACCCTTTTTTATTGTGAAACAATTACATTATGTGTCTATACAGTATACCTAGGTCATACAAATATTTGTGTGTATGTCTGATACCATACTACTTGTGTTAAGGAGGAATGTATATGTTTATCTCTCAGAATGTTTGGTAATATGTTTATTGTTTGTGATGTGTATCTATGTATGTATTAACACGATGTACTGAACGGGGTGAGAATAGCTTGAGCTACCTCATCCCTTTGTGTGTATTTTACCTCAATAAACTTATTTCAATTTCAATTACGTTACGAATTCTCTTAATAAAGGTTACCATAAAAAATTAAACCTTTCTTAACACAATGCTTATGACATTCTGTGTTGGAAAACTTGACTAACTTAAGAAAAATAACATATACCCAATGAGAAAATAAATTGGAAGAATGCGGAGATTTGAACCAGCATTCTAGTGAATATATCATACCAGTGTGATTACGAGATATACCTAATGTTCATATAAGTAATATTGCTTTTTCCAGCTCAATGTCATCTGTAATATATCAGGCTTAAAGTATGTCTTTATTCTCAATATACAGTACCAGCAAAAGATTATGAAACTTTGAAACAAAGTAATGTCTAGGACTCTTCTTCAGAAAATGTGGAAATATCAAACAGGATCTAATAAAAAACTTGGCCATATTCTAAACCTTGTCTTATACCTATTTTACACTAAGCATCACATTCCAAAAACTTCCATTTAGGCAGCTTTGGATGGAGCGACAGGAGGCTGTGCCCAATGGCCAGAACATATACAGTTGGAAGCCCACTGTTGGTCCCACACACTCGCAGAATTTCCCCACCAACTGGCTCGCACACTACAACATCTGTAAGTAACAATTCTATTATAGCATTTAAAAATATATTTATATATATATATAATAGGGGTACCACCTCTGGTGCAATCGTAGGGACCCACAGCCTCGAAGAAGAAGAAAATAAAGAGTATTCAGAGAAGGCCTTGTGGATTCTCACTGAACACTTTAATCTTTTCTTCTTCTAAAAAACACCCTTATTATTTTTTTATATATTTTGTTTTATTTTATTTTATTTTATTTTATTGCAATGCTACAGTTTACAGAGAACACACACATATATATGACAATCAGTGTTCAAAGACCTCGTCAAGCTCCTCGGAGGTTGGGTGCGTACCCAGGATACAGCACGCATTTACCCTCTGAACTGCGACACCGAGGTGCTGGATTAGATATTTTTGTATAACACATAATATATACATTACATATTATAATATATATAACATGTATAATACATATAATGGGCATGTACAGACATATGGCAAAATGCAATAAAGAGAAATAATTTTTTTAAATACAGGTACAGTATGTCTCGTGCTTACAAAATTTAACAAAATTAACAAAGAACTTTTTCTGAATACTTTGTGTAACAAATAAAATATAGATAAAAAAAATTGTACTAAAACTGTACAGTACAGTACTGTACTTATCACATCATCACATCAAAGGATAGAAACAAGAATACTCACAGTTAAAGCAGTGAACCACAGGAAAGCCAATTCGAGCAGCAAGACCAGACCAAATTGCTAAAACTCCTTTACTATAATGTGTGCCTGCTGTGACTGAGGCAACTACAATCCTTGACCAAGGTGGTAAGCATTAGAAATAAATCCAAAGCCAAGATTTGCAGGATCGAAAACAGCTCAAATTCCCCTTCCCCCCCTCCTCCCCACAAAAGAAAAACAGAAGGAAGTCGCAAAGCAAAAATCCCCTCAAACACAACAAGACTTGTACCACTCAGTCTCTGAGCAGGCCAAGTGCTGACCGTTGAGTTGTTTGCCTGTTTTGGCTAATAGTTTGATTGTTTGGGTTCCCTAATATTTTATCTTTGAGATGTGTATTTTGTAATACAGTATTGTTAAAATTTCTAGGCAGTTTATCACAGAAGTTGATCTTTGAACTCCACTTGCTCCCACATTCTTTTAAATTGGCAACAAATTGGTTCTTGCTCTTAGTGGGCCGAGATTGTCACATGAGCCTAATGTTCTTTGGAAGAACCAGAACTTGGTTTATGCAAAGTTCTGGTTCATCATTGGCTTTGGAACTTGCTGTTAGAGCAGCAAATTCCAGGCAGTTACCGAGGCATCCAGTTTGGAGCTTAATACACTTTATTAGTTCACAAGATAATAGTAGTTTTAATATCTTACCGTGTACAGTTGAATTTTGCCTCTTGAGGTGCAATATAATGGTAATGAAGAGGGTCCAACATCTGCAATGGAGGTAGTGCTCCTTCCAATATACGAGGCTGCACACCAGCATTACTCATGCTGCTGGTCTCCCCTTGACCAAACTCATACTGAAAAAGGCAAGTAATTATTCAAGAAGGTATTTGCATATTGATATTTATCCAACATGAAATGTTAAAGTACTAGTATTGAAAAGTATATTGAAAATCAAAACAGTCTATATTTTTGTCAAAACATACCCTTGTTAGTCAACTACATTACAGTAAAGAAACAGTACTTATTAGTAACTTTCTATATCAATTTTGCACTGTACATGTTAATGTAGATGTGGAGATGTGGAAAATTATGTAAGTTAGGACAATGAACCCAAAGGGCAATAAACCATGCCTGGGCTGGTCAAAAGGTACCCAGCAGTGTCTCTGGCACACTGCCAGTGAACATCTCCAGTTTGGAAAGAACCAGGAGCAACAACCGAATCAGAGGGAAGAGATAAAGAACCTCCTATTAACCCCAGTTCTGTCGAAAGGTACCCACCACAAGAACTTCACAATTGGAAAATGGAGTCACATAAATTGGAAGCTTCCAGTTCCATGCCAGTGTGAATAGGTCCAACTCAGGGCAACTGAATGTTTCACAAAGTCAATTGAAGGATGCTTTGTTGATGATCCACTCAATGGTGATGGGGCAAAAATGAGCAAGACTTTGCCAGGATACTGGGCAAACCTTGAATGTGAACCGCATGATGAGCCAAACCCAGAAAATCCTGAAAGTGAGGTACTGTGCAGAGTTCAGTCCAACTAAGGAAGAGACCAAAGTGGGGGTTAGGAAGGTGACAGACTCAAACCCCAAAAAGCCTGAAGAGGCAGCTAGTGATGTAAGAGCCGACCAAGGGCAAACAGGGCCCAACCCTGACAGTCCTGGAAGTGTCAAAATTGGTGGAACCAGTATAATGGCTGAAGCCAAACTCTGCTTGCCAAAAAGTTTCAGGACTGCAGGCAAAGCAGAGCTGCTGGAGGCAGGAAAAAAGCAACAGACTGGGTATCCCAAACTAAACCCAATCAAGTCTGAACCTAGGATAGAGCTAACTGCGACTTTTGTCAATTTGCTAGGAACCTGAACCTGGCAAGCTGGGAAAAGTACCAGATTCCTGGCTAGCCAAAGTGAGGGCTGGTTAGGAGCACAAACCAGCCAGTCATCAAGACAGGTCATCACAATTACCCGAGCTCATCTGGTAAAACTCCAAGAAGCCAGATTCACGCCGAAGGATAGAACCTTGAAGTGGTAAGCCTGATGCCCCATAAGAAACCTTAACTAGTTCTTAAAAATTCAGGTGCACAGGAATATGCCAATAAGCATCCTTGAGGTTCAGGGACATCATCCAGGAATCCACTTGCAACACCAGGCAAACCCGAGTTAAAAAGTGGTCATGTGGAAGGTCAGACAGGGAATGAAGCTGTTTAATCCCAAGAGGTCCACTGTAGGTCCACCAAGTCCTGCTTTGGAGACCAGAAACAACCAGAACACTTATCGACGAGAGGTTAAATTGACCATGTCCGAGTCCAACCACATCACAATGACTGCTCAAAGCTAAAGGGGAGGACTTTTGACCTAACACCCCTAAACCTAAAAGGGGAGGAGAGGTGAACCATCTCCTACAGAGGTTTTGGGAAACAATCCAGAAAGCTCATGAATCATGGGACCAGGAACTGACTAAACAGGCCAGATGTTGTGGGGGGGGGGGGGGGGGAGATCGTCAAAGAAGCGAACTGCAAAAGGGTTGGTGCAAAGACCCCTGGAGCAGAGGCACCCATTTGTGATGCATAAGAATAACACTAACTAGAAGGTGCCTCAGCTGGAGGAAGCACAAGGATTTGGGAATCTGACTCCACCAGAGGCCTACCCGACAAACAGCTGGCAAAGCCCCAACCCCAGATGACAGGGAGTTCTGCATTTGAGGACAGCAGCAACAGAACTGAAACCAAGATGATGTGGAAGCCAAAAGCTCCCACCTGTTGGTGGCCAGCCATAACTAGGGTTTTTTGACCTAATTTCAGAGTGAATCATTAGTGGAGTCATTTGGCTGTTTTAGTGATTTGCTTTCTTCGAACCTTGCAGTTGTTTGTATTGCTTCACTTACTTTCTAGAGGTTTTCTCAGTGAGGGTGATCGTAACAATCCCCTGCATCCTGTATCTCTGTGAGGGGGACCTGGCTCTGGTCCCTGGTAAGCCATACAAGACTTCTAAGGCTGATATAAATCAGAAAGGGGGAGTTATCTCGTTGAGCTAGCTTTAGGATACATATATGAAAAAATGCCCACTTACCTGTGATATATAACTACTTACTATATTGTATGTCATGGTTAAACTCTGATTTAATGTAAGTTTTTAAATTAGTACATGTGAGAAATATGGATACGGTACAGTACTATGTTCATTACAGCAAAACATTTAAGGTAAGCAAACTGCACAGTTTGTGCAATTTATCATAAAATAGAGTAGAAATTGTTTGCCAAGTTTGAAAGATTTTAAAACCTAAATACTCTGGAAAATGGAGTAGCCATGACTTATTTTAACATCACTTAAACAAATTGAACTGTCCTATCCATATCTGGATGGGTTGTAGAATTGTTCTCCACCTTAATATTACGCCCTGGCTCTCTGTTCAGGTTTCTTCTGTTCTACTTTATCTCCTGCAGTTACTTGAAGGAAATGATAATTTATTTTTATTCATTCTGACCTTTCTGTTAACTTTGTGAAATTAGCATGCAGAACTATTTTATAAGATGTTGCATGTGGTTCTTCAAGAATATTTTTAACATGCGAAGGTGCTTCAAATGTTTGGGTTGGATTCTACATGCAGCTGTGCCCATTAGGAGGGCAGCTCCCAAAGGCAATAAAGCATGAAAGATATATCAAGACACAGTCCATCTTAGTTAAAATGATTCACAAATCAAGAAGACACGCGTTGAGAAATAAATTGTCTTATGTAATGGTCACAAGCATTGTTCATTAGCTCATTCAAGCCTTATGTTACATTATAAAAGCAATCAGAAAAGTTGGTACAAAAGATGAAATTAGTAATGATATTTTCTAGCTTGCAGAATGAAGATAACATCTTTTTGTTCTTTCAGTTCTTACCTGAAGTGGCGTTGGTGCCGATGATGTCAAGTCTGCCAGAACCCCTCGTGCAGGAACATGCAGGGGCAACTCACGACACACCACTTGAGTCTCCAATAACACACATTCATCTGAAAAAATGTGGCAGTATAAAGAATAATAATAATGTCCATACAATACTTGCATAGTATCTACAGTTATGCAGAGTAAATTTAACCTGTGCATTATATTTAACCCAATTACTTAACAGCAATAATCAACTTGTTAAATGCTTCACATAAACAAAACAGATGAGGGCCAGCATGCACAGGAAGAGAAAATCAATACATTCTAAGCAAGTGAGCAATTCTAAAAATACAGTATCACATTTGTGTTGAATAATTAGAAGCGTGATGTGAGAGAGAGAGAGAGAGTGGAGACTAATCAAATAGTTATGGATTAGTCACCCTTCTGTTAATCAAACAGAAGGGTGAACAAAAATTTAAAGTGTCTTCACTACCTGAGAAAAGCAAAAGGGCAACTACTATATCATGTAAAGTTATTCAACGAACCACATCTGAATTTTTTGGTGAGAAATATTCACACAAGTGGAAATTCAATATTCAAGTAATGATGCTACTGCATCTATAACCAACATTTATAATATTACACGTACATAATATTCAAATTCAAAGTACAAAATAAATGTGTTATGAATGCTTACATTTAAGATTTGTATCCAGATCTTCAATGTTGTATTACCCACAGGTTCATTTTCAAGAACTTGCAATGTCATAATTTTTACATATATAATTGTTATAATAAATTCACGTGTTTTTACATAAGCTTCATTAAAATTCTTAAGCAAATGCAGTCTCAATACAGTAATAAATGAAAGCATCTATACATAATAGCTCCTTAAAATTTAACAGCTTCATTTAATATTCGTTAATATTTCAACTAATGTACAGTATTTTTTTTTTTTTTTTTTTTTTTACAAGATTTTCCTTTAGTTTTAGTTTTCGGCCTCTTGCACATCTTCTGTGTGTTCAACTTTGATACTTTCTTCAGTAGATGCAATATCTGGGTTCACAAAGAGGAACACCATGTTGCTCTCCGGCCTCACTATATCGGCAGACTTTGGAGTAGGCATACTACACTCATAGCAGGCACTTGCCCGAGATGTGTCGATAGTTGGACGGGCCTTCGTCCGCAAGGGAGCAGGAGATTCCTCGAGCTCTTCTATTTCAGATAGATTTTCTGACGATTTGCTTTTTATAATATCTGCTTCATCAATATGCATGGACAATGGTGTCTCTTGTTGCTTCACTAGCTGCTTCTTTACACTTGTAGGTTCAACAACTGCAGCATTTTCCTCATCTTTGAGTAATCTATCCCTTTCATCATCACTATCTTTTCCAGCATCTTCATCTTTGTCTTTATTATCTAGAAGTTGATCATCTTTCTTGTCCTCAGATGAGCTGTCCTCATCCTGAGAACTACTGTCTTCACTCGTGCTGCCACTCTCTTCATTTCCATTATCCTCATTATCTTCTGCATGAACTTCACATTCTGCCTTATTTCTATTTGATTCTTCTGTATCTATTGAAACAATGAAGTCATTCAAAAATTCCCCAGATTCAGTTAGTTTTCGTCTCTCGCTCAGTGATGCAGTGGACTTCTGAAGGCTCTCTCTTGACTTTTCAAGACTTTCTTTCTCGGCTTTCTCATTACATATTACCTTTTCAATACTTTCACTGGAATTTTGTGATTTATCTGTGAGCAAACTGAGACGCTCTTTTCCATCACCTTCTTCAATTTGTACAAAAGGTTGTACAGCACTTGCCTTGGTGGGATATGAAGGACTTTCATGAACATTCAGAGAAAGTGCTTGCTGAGATTTTCCTTTATCTCTGAAGCATGGTAAAATAATTGCCCACAGCAATAGCCAAAGAAACGAAACAAAGAGCCAATAATAATGATACCACCCTTCTCCGTGTGCTATTTGTACTGTCAAATCCCCATGTACCATTACAGGCAGCAATATAAAAATATACAATGCAAAAAATGAAGATACAAACACTGGGTATATGACACCGAGAAGCAACACCACCAGAAGGCGGAAATCATTCCTGGTCCACTTCTTTGAATTTATTATTGGCTTAGACATTGTAATGCAGTGGATTCAAACGAGTCCTTGAAAAAAAACAGATTTTTTTTAACATCAACCTTTACTTCATATTTTATATGAGAAGTAATCAATAAAAGTGATTTTTATGTATTACATTTATAAAGATACTGGACACACACTTCTGACCAGTTATGTTATATTAACTTTTCTACCACAATGAATTTATAATTGAACCAGAATAAGCAGCCATTTATATCCAACCACACAACTTATAATGCACACAATGATGAGTATATGCTTGACTATGCACTAACACAACCAAGTTTGAGTGAATTCTAACCGTCAGTGGTGTTACATCCTGTCCAGATGTGTGATAATACTGGGCTCGTGAAGCTGTACAGGAAGCTAATGTGATAAGCTGTGGCTACACCCTTAACACAATAGTATATACAACTCAGTGGAGAATTAACCTGTAGTTTTATAAAGAAGAATAGGGATATATAAATCTTATTTATACGCATACGATGAACAAGATTTACAACTTTTATTTAAAATTATATATTCTATATACCTATACTGTATATGAATCAATGCAAATCAATTTTTGTTAAGCATTTAAAGTGCAGAGGATGCTAGTAAACAATATTTTACAACATTTAATGTCAAACAAGTGAATACAAGTAATATTTTTGTCAGGCTCATCAGCAAGAACAAATGCAAACTAATACTGTATTAATCATTAAGATTCTGAACATTTTCTTGGAAAGAAAATGTTCAAAGCACACATCATTAATAAGAAGCAACAATTTTACAAATATTTTGAAGCTTTTCAGAAGCAACAAATATATAATGTTAATGAAATGTGAAAATCAAATTAGGATAATGATTTTTTGGGGTTTGTTCACTAATCATAAGTTTATCTTTAATCTTATCTTTATCTTTCTTTTTCTTTCTTATCTTTAATCTTTAATCTTCTGAAGAATGGCTTCATCAACGCCAGAATCTTTGAGTATGTTGGTAATGTCAGAAAATTTCTGTTGAATATACACTTGTTTCTCAAGAGATGACATGTAAGGCAATGCTTGGGGAACTGACTTTTTATCTTCTACCTGCACTTTCTCTGAAGTAGTGCTATTGATTGACGAAGATGAATTATCCCTTACAAGTTTATTATGAGATGATTTCCATCCAGCATTGCGATACTGGGAACCTTTCCTATTGAATTTGCTTTGGATGTATGAGTCTGGAAGCTCTCCCTGCTCTGTGTTACTCTCAACTTCTGATGTATTTTCTTGCTGTATATTGCTGGATCTTCTGCTGCTTTCTAATGAAGCTCTTTTGAGACTTTCAACTGAGGGTCTTCGGAGACTCTCTACCGAGGTTCTCCTTGAATTATCTGATGATTTCCGAGATGCGTCAAAAGATTCAGCCATTGTTAAGCAAAAACTTTGATTGTGAATGAGCCTTGTATTAGATATTGTATTTTTTACACAAATTCCAATTACTTTTTCATAAATTGTTATTTATTTTTTCTTTTTCTTCTTCTTCTTCTTCTTCTATCTTGTCAATTTTTTCTCTATCTTCATCCTCTTCTTCAATGCTCTCCCAGTTCTTTGTTTCTTCTAAACTGCAAGATTCAAGACTAGTAGTTGAGTCCACTCTCACTAGTGTTAGGTATTTATCAAAGGCTTTAAAAGGAGGAAGACCTAGAAATGAATCTTGCTTGGATAACTGTCTTTCTAGGGGATGTGTTTTGTTATTTATTTCTGTTTCTGGGTTAGGTAATGACAATGGAGTTGACTGAGGCTTGCCATGTAATTCTTCCCGTATTTCCTCAAATGTTTGCACAGAAGCTTGAGTACTGGAAACTGAAGCATTTACACTTGGAGATTTTGCCTCTGTAAAAGCAGGAAAAGAATCTTCCTTGCTTGTATCTTCATCAAACTCCAAACCAAAATTGTCAATGTGGTAGCCGTCTTCATCCACAGAGCTCAATAGGTGTGAGCGACTTAATGAACCATAGTTTTGAGGCTGAACTACTTGAGTTTTCTCAAATTCATTAGACCTTTTAATTGGATGATACAAGTTTGCATTTTCGATACTATCCGTTAAGTCTGTGCAATTGACTTGTGATGATACAGCTACAGTTTTCAATGGTGGATACGGAAGTGTTACCAGAGAAAGATGCTTTTCTGAATCTTTCTTGGAGATCCCTCTGATAGAGTCCTTACCATTATGTCTTTCCTCAGGTAATTTATTTTTATTATAACTATGATGTGTCAATTGGTATTCTTCATTTCCAGCAACAATTGTTGATTTTCTAGAGACCGGTTCATCTCCAACAATGTACCCTTGAGATTTTCTGGACCAAACGCACACCACAACGATAATCACAATCAAAACCACAAATAACCCACAAGCTAAGACGAGCCCTACAATGAACAGTATTCTGCTACTAGTTTCTGGTGAACTGTAGTCCATCTGCTCCCGGTTTTCTATCTTCTTATCACTTATCTCGTGGGTTGCTGTCTCTGAATCATCATCCACCTTAACTACTCCTCTGCTTGAATTGGGAATGATTATTAGTGTGATTATCAGAGTGCACATTGTAACTGACAGTAAGACAATCAAAGAAAGCGCCAGAAAAGCACTGATTTGTCTATTTAACATTTCTAATAAATTGTCGTAATTCAAATGACAATGTTTCACACTAGCGAGGGTGCTCCTCTGACATACGAATACAAAACAACAGAGGATGTTAAGAAAATTACCACTTATACACTTGTAAATTTTTCTTTTTGCTCATGCTGTCTAATTTTCTATCAATTATTAAAGAATTATCCATGAAATTTAAAATAAATCCAAATCATTGTAATTGTTTTTAGCATATGCAAAGCCGTTATATATGCTACAACCAGGTATATTTATTTAGAACAAGTAACTGTGGAGATAGGAAATAAGCCAGATAATGAGGTTACGCAGCTAACTGGAATCCCCGAGTGCATCCTGTATGCTCCCTCTTACTACATTCGACTCTACTCAAACATTCAATTGCACCATTGTGATTAGCATTACACAATACTTGGTAATCACAATAACAATACAATGCTTTAAACATCACTAACCAAGAGGTAACCCTGAATATAAGCAGTGATAAAAAATAAAATTGCCTTAAATTAAATAAATGAAAATATAAATATAATTATTATTTATACTATATATATATATATATATATATATATATATATATATATATATATATAAAATACACACACACACACACGTGTATGTATGTGTGTATGTATGTTGTTGTTAAAGATTCTCTACCTGGAACAAAAAGTTCCAAGTAACACGGGCTATGGCGAGTCCGTAGTGCCTTTGTATGTATGTATGTATGTATGTATGTATGTATGTATGTATGTATGTATGTATGTATGTATGTATGTATGTATGTGTGTGTGTATGTGTGTATGTATTTATCACTTAAGAACTCCATGACCCTACCAGGATTCAAACCCGTTACCTGGGACCACCCCTCCCTTGGCATACAGGGCACTGTAACCACCTCGATGATTTGTTTTAGCATCAACTGAACACCAAAATATTACGAGAGAATTGTGGGCAGAGTCAGATGCCTTAGAGAATATTCCTTAACTCCATTCATGTCCTTGAGAAAAGATTTTGCTTTAAGATTAACTGTGGTAGGAATATATGTTAGCCTGTAAAACATAACTTCGGTTCATACTCTTGTACCCTCCAGGCCTAGCGTGTTAAAAAAAAAAATCTTAATTAACAACTCACCTAAGGGGCACACATAACTACACATAAAGGGCATAACTGGCCGACCCCTCACAGTGTTCAAGAGAGAACTGGATAAGCACCTCCAAAGGATACCTGATCAACCAGGCTGTGACTCATACGTCAGGCTGCGAGCAGCCGCGTCCAACAGCCTGGTTGATCAGTCCGGCAACCAGGAGGCCTGGTCGACGACCGGGCCGCGGGGACGCTAAGCCCCGGAAGCACCTCAAGGTAACCTCAAGGTAAGGTAACCACCTATTACACACAGAAATCACAATTGCGTAATGCATCAAATGAACAAATCCACAAGGGCCGTGCCGAGGATTCGAACCTGCGTGTAAAACCCTGGTTTGTGCCTCGGAGAGGCTGCAGGGATCCAGTAAGTTCAGTAGAACTTCAGTTTCAACTCCTTTTGACCACGTCGTAGCTCAGTCGATTAAGGCAGTATCTGGGATGCTCTCGGACGCAGGTTCGAATCCTCGTCACGGCCCTTGTGGATTTGTTCTTTTAACTCACCTATTAAACTTGAGTCTGGCTCTGCAGGAAGAATCTGTGCCAATCTGGTCAAAATCTTATAGATCTGTGCCCAAACATCAACAGACTGTGTCTTGTGGAACATCCGTGGCAAAACCAATTTATTCTGACGGTGCCATAATCGTGCCACAAAAATCAGCTCTCGAAGGCTCTGCACTATTTTGGGATCTCGTGCTAGCTCAAACTGCAATTTATTGCAATAATAATAAACACGCTGTAAATAGTTTCTACTAAAAATTGTGTTTAGGCATAATAAAAACTTTTGTTCAGTCTGCCTAGCTACTAACTCTTTATTATGTACACTCTTTTACAATCAATCTGAAATACATTTTAAATAGGATTTATAATTAAGAATAGTCATCATATGTTTGCAGATACAGCACTAAATGTCATCAACCAGCAAACCACAAAGCTTTATGCTAATGTTCAAAAAGAGGCCACAGTAAAGAATATAATGTCAACACGGAGAAGCAAATTGAATGGTTAGATAACATTGATGTGAAGGAGATAAACTTACCTTACTATTCTGGGCCAGCATAAAGAGGATAAAGAGTGCAAGATCTGCTGAAAACTGCAATAATGGCTGAAGGTTCTGCAACTGTCCTGGATCAACTTGACAGTCTTTGATATTTACAGAACTGCACAAATGATCCAATGACTTTTCAATATCCAGAAATTCAAGAGAAGAGCGACTTTCTAAGTATGCTGAAAAACAATGAGAAAATATTTCTGTCAATAAATTGATAATGTATTTAATGTACAGTATATGATTTCTATCAAGAGTTAATAATTTCTGATTGAAAAACAACTGACACGAGTTTAAAGCGTTTCACGAGTGTCATTACTATTCTTTACACTACAGGAAATCTCTCTCATATTCAATGCAAACCAGAGTCCAATGGACTAAACTATAGAAATAGCAACCTATCCTCCGAATTGACAGTACAATTTAGTACTAAGTGTAATTACATTTCCTTACTGTCATACATATTACATAACTGCACTTACGGGGCTGTTACATTTACCTCTCCATTTATTCTCCTCGTTTTCTGTTAAGACACTCAGAATTTTAGGATGAAGTTTTCAAATTCAATTTGCTATACACAAGTTTTAAATATCAGGAATTTCTCTTTCAGTTTTATTAAACAAAAGAGATTTTATACAAACTTTGAAAATATTCTGAGTTACTTTACAATTAATTGATATATTTTAGTTTTGTTTTATTAGTTTTATAAAACTAATATCAATATAGCTATAGGTTAAGTACTAATTGTAATTAGGAAGCAATAAAATGCTTATCTTCAAACACTAAGAAGGTTACGTTAGGTTAGGTTGTGGTTTTCAATTCAGGCTTTCAGGTAAACTCAAATATTCACAATATATTTGACAGTACAGTTTAATACCAAGTGAAAATAAGTACAATTCCCGATTGCTATGAATAGTACATAATTGCACTTGTGCTGTTACATTTACCTCCCCATTTTTGGAGGACGGGCTGAGAAATAGCCACATGGAAAAAGGAACAAGAATTCTAAGCTTTTTCACATGCAGAATTAATATATATATACACCAAATAAAATGGGCAAAAGGAAAATAAATTTTTACTATGGCCTAACATGAGACTAAAGAGTTGGGCCCTGAACTCTTGAATCAGTTGGGTCACCTACCAAATCATATTAGACCTTACCAAATACTGTGCTCGAGACAAAGATACAATAGATTATAGAGGATTACAAAGCACTGTACTAGCCACATACAGTATCTGACTATGTAATTACAGTATAAAAAGCAATTCCCAAAGGCCAATCACTAATGATTACTGTCTTTGATGCAAATCATGCAACACAATGACCAGAAGCTAATGCAAATTAGAAGGCTATCTTATGAGTATAATTCTCAAGTGACAAATGTGCAGGGACAAGTTATCCAGCACATCGTCTAGAGAACAAAGAGGGTTCAGAGGATGATGAGCAATCCAATGATGAAACAATGCTTGACCAAATTTGAGGAAGAGATATGAAAATCCAGAGAAGAGGCTACATCAATACCAATAGATAGACAGTAAGGAGGAAAGTGGGCTAAACGAGCTCGTGGTGGTTCTGAGAGAGCTCAACCGTTTGTTTACACGATTGGGCGGAATTGTTCTAGCAAGTTTCAAGTCTTTGTTTCTATTGTAGCCAGGAGCAGTTAGTTTTGACTCGCTGACTTTCTGGTTGCTTTCCTTGGCAAGGTGGCAAAAATAAATGTAACCGCTTCCTGCGCCTCTGCTTGATGACGTTCTGGGATTTCTTCTGCTCCCCAAGCCCGGCCCGGGGCCAGGCTCGAATTGTGAGAGCTTGGTCCAACAGGTTGTTGCTTGGAGCAGCCCACAGGCCCACATATCCACCACAGCCCGGTTGGTCCATCCCTTCATGAAGAAAATTATCTAGTTTTCTCTTGAAGATGTCCACGGTTGATCCAGAAATATTTCTTATACTCACTGGGAGGATGTTTAACAACCTTTGGTCCTCCCTCTGTGAGGGAGGACCAATTCTGGGAGGCTTATACAGTTTGGCAGCTAAAGCAACCTTGTATATGATACCATATCAGTACTGTACCATCGGGAAGCCACAAGGGGACTCCTCCCCCCACCCCCCACAGAAAGTGTATCTAATCATTCATACAGTATCTACAAGTCTACATATCCACATATAAAAACCATCAAGTTACAAGAAAATGTTCAACAATGGATTCAAATTGGAAGGATACTGGTAAATACAGTAATGTTAGCAAACCAAGGAAATCTCACAAACCCAGTTCTTTACCTTTTCATATACAATATTTTATTAAACAAATATAAATGCTTACCTTGGACAGATGCACTTATATTTTTATCTGCCGAGGCAACATCACATGTAACAGGACGAAAAGATCTAAAAAGTTGTTGTGTTGCCGTTAGTTGAGCTTGTAGTCGAGATTCTATTGCCTTTTGTTGCTGACTTCCAAGCAGTCTGTTAAAAATAAAGCAACACTGAGGTTCTTCAAAAGAAAGATATCCTCTACCTCTTTGTACACAAATCAAACTGATTGAGGTATTAACTACATTTATAGTCGGAAAAATTTTAATTAAAACCTAATCAACGATAAAATTTAATGCACATAGAGAGGAGCGTGTTGCAATGGTTTAAGTCATCGGCTCATAACCAAGGAGCGCGGGTTTAATTCCTGTGGCAGGATGGATAGATTTAGGCATTGCGATGTCTCTGTTCACCTACCAGTAAATAGGTACCTGGGAAGTTAGACAGCTAGAATGGGTTGTATCCTGAGAATGGTCAGTAGGTGCATAAGGCTAGAGGAGATACCGTGGTAATCATCAGAAAAGGGTGCTATCACTTCACTCAATGTTCTATTTTTTCATTTATAAAAATTAATATATTTGCCATTATGAATATAACCTTTATATAAATTACTGAACAGGATATAAATAAAACACCACAATTATATGGATCATAAAATATTGCACCTACTCTTCAATCTACAATGCAGGGCTAGTGCCAAAAACTTACCTTAACATAGAAGTTTTCATAACAAGAAATCGCGTGTGGAGATGCTGAATGATGGGGGCAGAATGCTGGTGAAAGGTTTCAGAAAGTTTTTCTGTTAAGGTTGGTACAGATGTAGGAGGTGTGGATACCAGTAAATCCCACCAATCACTGCCACTAACCAAAGCAAATTCCAATAACAGAATCACCGATATTGCCCACTGTGGACCTGTTGATCAAATACATTTAAAAAATATTTTTGTCTGTGATAATGAGGTATTATATTGTTCATATATATTTTACATAATAATAAGAAAAGGAAGTCTGCAAAACTTCCCTTAACTTAAATTAATGAGAAATTAATTACCCCAAGAGACCCAAGGGGCCATATTAATGAAAAATTAATGAGATCCCTTGGGAAATCTGAAGGCTCTTTTGGAAAGATTTAACTCTTAATAATTAACCCATATTGAACTGTACTGAATATGGGTACAACCCATACTGAACTGTACTGAGGAAAATCAGAACCAAAATGCTTTGCACTAAAGTGTAAAAGCTTTACATTTCACAACTAAAAACTCAATTTTGTTATTTAACCAAACAAGACTAGATTGGATCCATAGAAAATGTTTGGAAACTGAAAATGATGTTGTAGAATATTATTGTGGTATTGAGGAGTGTAGGACGAACTCACCTAATTGTACTTGCAAGGGGTTGAACTTCGGCACTTTGGTCCTACCTCTCAACTGTCAATCAACTGGTTCACAGATTCCCTGAGCCTATTAGGTTCTATCATATCTACATTTGAAACCATGAGTAGAGACTGCCTCCACCACACCTCTGCTTAATGCATTCCATTTATTTGCTACTCTGACACTGAAAAAGTTCTTTCTAATGTCTCTGTGGCTCATTTGGGTACTCAGCTTCCACCTGTGTCCTCTTGTGCGTGTACCACCTGTGTTAAACAATCCATCCTTGTCTACCCTGTCAATTCCCCTGAGAATTTTGTATGTGGTGATCATGTCTCACCGCTCTCTTCTGTCTTCCAACGATGTGAGATGCAGTTTACACAGCCTGTCCTCATAACTCATTCCTCTTAGTTCCAGGACTAGCCTAGTGGCATACATCTGAACTTTTTCCAGCTACGTCTTGTACTCAACTAGGGCTCCATGCTGGGGCTGCATACTCCAGGATTGGCCTTACATATGTGGTATACAAAGTTCTGAGGGATTCCTTACACAGGTTTCTGAAAGCAGTTCTGATGTTAGCCAGCCTTGCATAGGGCGATGATGTTATTCTTTTGATGTGGGCTTCAGGAGACAGATTTGGCGTGATATCAACTCCTAGATCTTTCTCTCTGTCCATTTCGTGAAGGACGTCATCTCCCATTCGGTATCCAGTGTCTGGCCTCCTAGTTTCATTACCTTACATTTACTTAGGTTGAACTTTAGTAGCCATTTGTTGGACCATTCCTTCAGTTTGTCTAGGTCATCTTGTAGCCTCATACTATCTTCTTCTGTCTTGATCCTCCTCATAATTTTTGCATCATCAGCAAACATTGAGAGGAACGAGTCAATTCCTTCTGGGAGATCATTTATGTATATCAGAAACAGTATAGGTCCAAGAACTGAGCCCTGCGGGACTCCACTGGTGACTCCCCACCACTCCGAGACCTCACCCCTCACAGTGACTCACTGTGTCCTGTTACTTACGTACTCCCTTATCCAGTGGAGACCCTTCCCTTTCACACCTGCCTGCATCTCCAATTTGTGCACTAGTCTCCTATGTAGTACTGCATCAAAGGCTTTCTGGCAGTCCAGAAAGCTATCCAGCTATCCAGAAAGTGTGTAGCTATCTCCGTGTTAGCTACAGTTACCCACCATTCAGCCCCTCCAGAATGCACTATTTGAATAAGTAAATGTGTTTATTTATTGAATTTGCACAAACTCTGGCCCCAACATGACAGGATACGAATGAGTTTACCTTATTTAAAAAATTAATTCAGGTGGAGGCCATCAAAATTTTGTTTACAGTATTACTGTCTGTTGTCCAGCATCTCCATATAAGTATGAATACAGTTTATTAAATTCAATAACGAATACAAGTGCTAAACTAATGAAACCCAAATTCATACCAAGTGTCCAAGTCCCACTAAATATTTGCTTTAGAAACAACTGATTGCTTATACTCACCTACATCAGAAGGTCTCATAAGTGTAATGAAGTGAAGACTGCCTGAGGTATCCATTGCTAGGACAGAAAAGCCACTCCAAGTGTGTGCAAGGGAGACAAGACGACGGTCAATAGACATGCGTTTACTGACTGGAGCCTCGTCACCACTACCTCGAATATTCAGTAAACTGTGACTGCTCATCTGTGAATATGAAAATATGATTATAAGCCAAAAATACAAAATGCTTCCAATCATTTTAATGCTCTAAACTTAAATTCATGATCAGACTTCCTAAATGAACCAGTATCTTTCTTAACCACTGGACTGCGCCAGCCGAGAAAACTCGGTCAGTGGGAACTGTGTGAGTCGAGAAAACACCTTTTTAATATTTTGTACCCATTTAAAACGCGTGCGCGGTAGGTTGTGTACAAAATGGACTCTTGGGACATCTAATGAGAGGCAGCCATCTTCGGAAAAATTCCCAGAATGCCCTAGGGCTGATGGCTGGCTTAGTTCTGAGTGAGCAACCATGGGTGGTGCACGTGCCTCTGGCTCCCAAACACCTGTCCAATGCAGTGTTGAAAGATTGCTCTCTGTCAGTGAAATTCAGACCTTATTGTTTGAAGAACATAAGGGTCATGATAGTGATGAAGCCAGGCACAATAAGAGCCTAACACAAGGGTCGGATGGAAGTGATACAGCGCCGATGAGGACGATACAGCGAGCATATCCAGTAATAGCTGAGTGCCACCCACGCTCACCCGTGTTATCTCCAATTTTTATAGATGATACATAGATGAATCATTTTCTAGGTTCAATGATGATGCAGCTGATACAAGTAGCATAGATGAATAGTTCCAGTGGTCATAGTTTTATTAGTTTTATTATATTTATTAGTTTTAGTTTTATTAGTGGGAAATATGAATATCATATAGGTATCTACAGTACTTTGTAAGAGAAAGTTATAACAATTATTAACAGATATGAATTATGTCCTACCTGTTGCATGGTATCTCTGTTGATAGAATAGATGAAGGCATCAGCAGTGGCAGCAGTGATAATGAAAGGGAGCTGAGCACCTAGTGGACCTGGCAACAGGTGCCGAGGGGCAGTTCCTAGTGCGACCACATGGCTGTTGCAAACCCATTCTCCAACACATGTCCACTCCTGAAAGGCCATGGATAAACTAAGTAAAAGTTATGTAGAAATTATATTTTGTTCAGTCTCGCATTCATTGCTAAATTTCACTCTGAATTATTGTATTTTCCATTCACTAGGGTGGCAGTCCTGGATTTGCTAGTTAAAGAACCTAAACAAATTCAAAATACAGCATGGCAATTGTTGATGATAAACATTTAATTAAGCAGGTAAATTAACTAACTCATCCTAACTGGCAACCAAATAATAACAAAATATTTGTCTTAAATTTCTTATTAACTCTTAGGCTGCAAAAGCATTTCTTGACCCTATCCCAACAGTGTTGAAATACTGTACCACTCAAAACTAATTTTTTTAATTTGCATTTTTTTATTACACATATAGCTTATAAGAAAAGTATTTGCTCTTTCCAGCTGTTTCATTAATTTCTGTTTAAATTGTTGGTGACAACAATGATAAGCCACTTCCAAAATAAACATGAAATGAGCAAGTATGTTGGTCCCACCAGTCACCTACTGGAGACCAGAACCATGATCTGGGTCACAGTACAAGGTGATAGGCAACACCACTTTGTTAAATATGTGCACCAGCAGGAGAGCTCTGCCAATGGTGCAACTGGACATATATCAGACAAGTAAACGGAGGATGAGGAGGTGGAGGCAGGTGACCAGGACCTGGGTGATCTGGGTCATTGGGTCACCATCTGGTGATGGCTGGGCATATCACAGTTTGAGCAGCATTCCCCACTGCAACACTCTTTTTGCCTTCTTTAGCTCCCAGTTGCTAGTTTTTTCCTCAAGCAGTTGCTTATTTTGTTGCACTTAAATTTTCTGATTGTCTTTTTTTGGTTTTCTGTAGATCTCTTATCTCCATTCTTACCTCATCTCACTGAATGGTCATTATTCTGCTTACTTATCAGTGACTATTGGGGTTCAAGATCTAACACTTTATGCCCTGCCTCCTAGCTATTTACACTTGTGTGTTATTTTCCATTAAAGTTTCCCTAATATTATATCTTAAAAGTTGTGGATAAATTGGCTTCAACAACCTCTTCCTTGAATGTATTCCACTTGCAGACTACCTGTACAGAAAACAAAAATTTCCATACATCGTTATGACTCAATTGCAGGGAGGCAGGAGTGAGCACTGGCCAAGCCTTGGCCAACCTTCATCATTTGACACTCATTTCAAATTTCAATGGTTTTCATTTTCAACCTAGTTACACTGCTATACCGCTTAGCACAAGTAGTGAACAGCTGTCCAAGACTTCTTATCAACTCCACTCACATAATTACTCGATTAAGACTCACAGACAACCGTAATATGCTTTGGGGTAACAAAATCTTTCAAAGGGTGCTGAAGCAGAAAAGGTTATTTTTTCAGTGAGTTAATAGATTGAGTAAAGCAATAACAGTAGCACTTTGACTGTGCACACACAACAGATTAATTTGATAAAAACTACTGATTAAGTCAGGACCCAGGTGAGTCCAAACTATGTTTGGCCACATCCCCATGTACCTCCCAAGGCCCAGAATTTTTATTTTACAGTACAGTATTAAAATTTATGTACTGCATTTATCTTTATCCCATGTCACTTTTCCATCCATATTACTCAAGATGCAGAAAATCCTTAACAAGTTCAATTGACACCCTTCACCAACACATTTTGTTTTCAACTCTGCATTGCAGGTAACTTTACTACCTTACCTATATATTAACCAAAGCAACACTCATATGTTGGTAGTTAATAATTCATGGATGTGTGGAAAAATATTTTGGAAAAGTATAACATATATAACGACTGAGTGTGTTCTTAAATACCTTAATTGAAATGCCTGCTACATCAGATTTTGGTTTGAAGAGCTTGAGCAGAGGGCGCACCTGGTCCTGCAGTTGATACCTCTGAACAACATGAGAAACTCTGCCTGGGCTACATGTGTTATTTGGCTGCAAAAGACACAGAGTAAAGCAATTTATATGTAAAAAATAGTACATACAGTACATCTAAGATAAAGCAAAATGTACAGTATTAATTTTGTGTAATTTTAATGTACATATGAACAGTTTTTGGGAAGGTCAGCCAAAAGATTCAAATAAGAGTAATGCATATATGTAGCATTTAATAAATATCTGAATACTGTACCTTAATGCCTAATCTTGTGGAAATTTCAGAGGCTGTAGAAATTTTTAGAAATTCAGCTAAATTAATTATCTGCAAGTCCCACTTTTCAAATGTATGTAACTAATTGATTTTCCTTCTTTGGCGATGTAAGTGTTTCCTTATTAATTACGGTGTAAACAATATAGGATGATAAACTAATGATCATAAATCTCTCCAGTCCATCAGCAAGCAACACATGTATAGAGGAGGAGCTGGATGACAAAGGAGAGGGCCTCATAATGATCACAATATAAAATGATAGTAGAGCAGAAAAAGATAAATCATGATTGTTGATACTTGGTGATTAAAATTTTAAATTAATAGACTGGGTGGCCTATGAAGCAAGAAACCTATAAAACAGAACCAGGCCTACTCTATAAACTCATTAAAAGCAAATTGCAGGCAAAGGATAAAATTCAGAGGTAGAAAATGAGGAATAGATATGTGGAGAATGAAAAGGAAATACTTATGTGAAACACTAAACAAACAGTTAAATTTAATTTCTGCAAAATAAAGTTTTCAGAGAACTGGACACAACACGAATTTCAGAGGATAAAGAGAACATAGAGGTGTCTCGAGGAGAAGTAGAAAAAATGTTCAAGGATCTAAGTAGGAACGAAGCAGTTGGCCCGGTTTCATCTTTTCATCGGTTTCTAGTTGGTTTCATCGTAGATTATGAGAGAATGCACATTCGAGTTAAGCATTCCACTTTAACTGATTTTAGAGTCATTTTTGTGTACAGAAGTCTTGGCAGATATATGAAAAAAGGCTAAAATAGTTCCATTCTACAAAAAATGGTAGCAGGGAAGGCCCTCTGTCGCTGACAAGCATAGTAATCAAAACATTGAAAAACAATAATTAAAACCAAATGGGTAGAATTCAGGAGTAGAAATATAATAACAGACAGAATGGTTTATGATCAGAAACCTCCTGTTCAACAAATCTTAGTTTCTATGATAGAGCCACAGAAATTTTACAGGAAAGAGATGGTTGGCTTGACTGCATTTATCTGAACCTTAAAAAGGCTTTCAACAGAGTCCCATATAAGAGGTTGTTCTGGAAATGAACATATTGGAGGAGTGACAGTGAGATCTCTGACACGAATGAAAAATGTTGACAGAAAAATGAGGGCAGTAATCAGAGGCAATGTATCACACTGGAGAAGTGTTATGAGTGGAGTACCACAGGGTTCAGTTCTAGCACCAGTAATGTTCATCGACTACTGAATAAATGCCACATTATGGAATTTGGAAAAGTAGAAAATAGACCACACACAACCATCAAATTATGATAAAAACTTTAAAGAATTCTGATAGAGAGAGAGATCTAGGGGTGGTTCTGGATGAAAAAATGACACCCGAGGATCACAGAAAGAACATTGTACGAAGAGTGTATCTTATACTTTCCAAATTTAAGATCACTTTTAAATACATGGATGAATCATTAAAGAAATCGTTCCCGATGTTTGCGAGACCAGTCGGAACATGCAGTACTGTACTGTAGTTGTATGGTGCCCATATCTCAAGAAACACATCATTAAACTAGGAAAGGTGAAAAGACATTCAACTAAATGGCTTCCAGAACTGATAAACAAAAGCTATGAGGAGAGGTTAGAGTGGTTGTAACAAAGCTAGAAGACAGAAAAAAGGTGATATGATAACTATGTACAAAATAGTAACATAAATTGACAAAATTGGCAAAGAAGACTTTTCGAACACTGCAAGAACAAGAGGACTTTGGTTCAAAGGAAACTAAGCTGCCAAAAAAACATTACTGTAAAAAGTTTACTTTTGCTAACAGAGTGGCAGAGGTTGGAACAAGTTAAGTGAGGTGGTGGAGGCCAAAACTTTATAATTTCAAAGTGTTACGTGACAAAGAGTACAGGGAAAACAGGACACCACAAGCACAGCTCTCATCCCTTGGTGCAAACAAAAGGTTCCAGAGGGTGCTACAGTGAAAAGCTCAAATATATCAAACAGCACAAGGGTAAGGAATAAAAACAGAAAATATATTATGCATTTTTTTTTTACCTGTTGTGTTGGAGACACCTCAGTTGGTTTCTCTACAGTGAGAGAGACCAGCAAACTATTTGGATCTTCTAATTCTGTATATCTTAAACAGGTCACTTGTACTAGCCCTTCACTTTCTGAAAAATAAATAACCAGTAATAAAAAAGATCTACTATGTTGCTACTGACAAATCTAACAAATTAATTTGATTGGGGAAAATTTATTTTTGTCAGTGCCTTTAACATCTCAGTGTGGTATCAAAGTGTTAACTATCCCACCTCGCTGTGGCTTTGTTATTATACCAATTGTACTCAACTAGTTGTGCTTGCAGGGGTTGAGCTTTGGCTCTTTGGTCTCGCCTCTCAACCGTCACTCTACTGGTGTACAGATTCCAGAGCTTCTTAAACTTAATCATATCTACATTTGGAACCATGTATGGGGAGGGGAGGGGCATTTTTTTTAAGATTTTTTCCTCCTCCTCTATTTATAATCAGATTTTGTTGCAGTTTCTACATCTTGGGGAATGCATTCCAGTCTTTATGTATGTAAAGGGTGAACAAAATTGGTTAACAAGTTAATCAGTTACAGGCGGCAGAAATTGAATTTTTTTTTTTTTACGAAAACTTTACAGATTTCAAACTACTGTACTCTCTTAGTCTCTTTAGGTTGTATTGAAGAATGGGTACCAGATGCAGGCCTCATCACTTATTTAAAGTATACTTATTATCTTTATTAACCCATTATCCTTATCCCTATATATTTTTTTTTTAGGGGATTAATTTTTCTTGACTATTTCAACACACCTTGACCTACAACTTTCATATATTCGAGTATGAATGCCAAGCAATATTGATTAAAACTTACAAGATATGACAAATTCGAACTACTACGTATATTTATTGTCGAGAAGTTTACCTTCATTGTTCTCCATGAAGAAGATTTTCAACTTTGAAACAAGCTGTTGAATTCAGTTTCTGAGCAATTCTCACCATTTCTACATACAGTATTATGTGCAAAGTTCTTAGTTCTAGGGTTTCTTTAATTGCATTTATTCATAAACCAATAACTTTGGGAGTTATAAATTTTTGCGTCTAAATTTTGCACACATTTTGAAGGCCAAACTCTCAAACTCAATTTTAAATTGAGGAAAATGAACGTTATATGCCATTCTGGGCCCATAATGAATAAAATAAAAATGTGTGAAATATTAAATTTGTCAGTTTAATTTGAAATTGTGAAATTTTAATTCTTTTCTCTTGTTCATGTTATGATATTGAACCATTATTAAAAGTTAGAGCATTTACCATGTAGATTATGCGCAAAGAGTTTGAGCGTGTTTGAGGAAGGTTGAGAAATCAGTCTCCCGGCCCCCTTAAGGTTCATATAACAAAGTGAGGCATAAATATATGCACATAAAAGCAAATATTAGAATTGGAACAAACACAAACTAATGGTCCCAGCAAGACAAAGTCCAAATGATGGCCAACACTTATCTGGAAAACTGGGACCAAAGGAGCAAAAGTGACACCAGGAGCACATGCAAACATTGTTGCACCAGACGAATAACTGGTGGGTTGCATCAGTCATTCCTGCAGCACCCAATACTGCCATCTGGCAGTGGGGAGATGGCCCTAGCGAGTGAATGCCCCAAGTACTGTGTATTGTGTCTTCAGTTCAGCTTTACCTTGATATTGACTGTTATGTTTCACTCTACCTTTCTGGTGACTATTTTCTCTATTAGGGTGACCTAGCAAACCCTGCTGTCTAGTATCTATGAGTGCACCGGGTCTTGACTTCTGGTATTCAGTAGGCTTTGCGTAACTCACAAGAGCCTGGTATGATATAATGTGTGGAACTACCTAAACAGCCAGCAACAAGAAGCCACCGAGGGAGCCATCCCAAACAAAGAGATACACATCAGTGTTATTTCCTTCATTCAATTATTATACACATTTAAACCTTTACTTATGTTGACTAAAACACATACTAGAAGATAAAGAGACGATGACGTTTCGGTTTGTCCTGGACCATTATCAAGTCGATTGTGATGGAAGCGAGGGGAGGCATGGGCATAAGTGAGGCGAGGAGCAGGTAAGAGGAAGTAATAGCAAGGCAAATGGTAAGAACAAGAGTTTTTACTTATATTAATATTATTAGCAGGTTAGCTTTTAGAAACTCAATTCATTTACAGTACTACAAAGGGCAAATGTTTCTTTCACCCTAATGCCCCTGTTCAACTAGTGGTAAATAGCTACATGGGAATTAGACAGCTGCTACGGGCTGCTTCCTGGGAGAGTATAACAAAAAAGAGGCCTGGTCGAGGACCGGGCCGCAGGGACGCTAAGCTCCAAAATCATCTCAAGATAACCTCAAGAAGATACTGCATGTGATAGTTAACACGAACATAAAAATACTGTAATTAAAAGCCAAAAGCAAACTTACTTTTAGAACTATGCCAGGTAGTCCCAGATCGTGATGGACAGAAAGACTGAGCAGCTCCGATAGTTATATTAAGGTCACCCTTCCCTCCACCACTGTCCTGGTCTACCATCTTGAGTTCTGCACGCCAGCACTTTATCATTTCAGGCTTCCAGGTGGCTATATGGATGTGTCCACCTGCAAGAAGTAAATAGTTACCACTGTATTACAATATTATGGTTATTGGACAGACCAACGTTGGATGATGAAGCACACTAAAATGATTAACCAATTCACAATACTAGTAATACATTTGTTGTAAGTATTATTGACACAAGAGACAGGAAGACAAGCTCATAGATAAACAAAATTATAAAACATGAAAATAAACCATTGAATGTAATGAAACTCGCTTTTCTGGTGGGGCCCTTAGAAGCCCCCCGAGCCAAGTGCTAGTCCAGCCCAGCACTAGAGAGATACCCCAGGCCTCTGAGACCCACCCTTGCCTAATGGGAGTCAGGACCAGGATTTGGCTCTCTCTCTCTCTCTGAGGTGAGCAGAGCCTGGGGATCAGAGATGAACCCATAGCTGAGAGAAAGCACTAGAGCAACATTTGAACATATGAACACTTAAGAGAGCACCAGGGACATGTGTATCTCAGTTTGAGAACTACTATGCAACAGCAAATAATTACTGGAATCTTAAACCAAAAATATGCTTTTCTCAGTTGGAAACATTTTTAGCCATTTTGTGGGATCATCTTTACTTGGCATTTTTCCCCCGTCTTCCAGCCTTGAAAAAACATTAGAAATTTACTACTACTACTACTACTAATAATAATAATGACTATTCTAAAACCTCTACTGAAATTTTTATTTCAGCAGACGCAGTTGAAAACAAAAGGACACACAATTGAGCCATAGAAATTCTTGTTCCCTGTATGAGCGATCAGCAAGTGAAATGCAGTGAAGGAAGAGGTTGCTAAAGCCAATGCCAACCACAACTTTAAATAAACAATACAATGAAAATGTTACTAGTGAGAGAGAGGTAATTAGTGTACCAAGTATAAAACAGCAAGGAGGTGGAGCATAAAGAGCTAGATCACGTTTCCCCATGGTCACTGATAGGTAAGCACTGTACTGTATACATAAAGTAAGGCATCATCTTTTCCTCATAGTTCTTCTCAAATATAGCAGCCATGACAAAAATACTCTAAGGCAGTCCTGCTAAGCATGATATTATTGCTTGTTGAATTTCCCTCATGCCATTATGGGACACAACTCTTGACTTTCCGTCACTAACCTTGTGTACTTTACTCCAGTCAATAAATCTAAATGTCAATCTTTCCTTTCATCCTCCTCATACTTTAGGGTATGTATATTAAAGTACAGTACTTCAATAGAAACAGGAAGCCTTTCTTGGTGGAGCCCCTCTAGCCTAGGTTAAAACCGAATTACTTAGTCACCCATCTAGTTACTTACCTTAACCTGATTGATCAGTACTTTTGGTATGGATACGTATTTTCACTTTCCTGCAGTCAATAAATATAAACAACACTTACTTGGTGATAATGAAGCAGCAGCAACAGTGAAATTGTCCCGGGTCTGACCCAAGACAATCTTCTTTTCTGCCATGACACTGCCCTCATGTGTCAACACACACACAAGCAATAGTCCTGGTAAAAGAAGATCATTTATTGTAAATTACAATATTTACTTACATTTTTAGCATATGCCATATAACAGTTTAAGATGATTTTTTTTTTTTTTTTTTTTTTTTTTTTTTTTACAATTTTCTCCTCATACTGTAATCTTGTTAAGAAAATATAAATTTAAACTAATTATTACTCGGCCACTTGTTTAAGACAAACTGAAAATTGTGTTAAAGTCATGTACTTACCTGAAGCAGACACAGCAAAGAAGCCATTTTTAGCACACTGGCCATGGTCTACAAGAGTAGGTTTATGCTGCTGTGCAACAAATTTTTCAGTGTAAAGGGAATGGACTTTTACATCATTGGCTTGAAGACTTGCCTATTAGGAGCAAAAATTAAATACAAACTAATCATATTATTGGCATCAAGTAATAATAATGTTACTGTAATAAATTTACATGAATTAAATATACTTACATTAACTAGAAACATACATATATACTAACAATTTTATATTTTACAATTCTCTGCTCTTATTTCAGGGAACTCAGTTTCAACCACAAAGAGAAGAAATGAGAGATATCACTATGTACTTACAAAATACAGTACTAAAGAAAATAGACAATGTGCACCAGGGCAGCCTATTTTAGCTGACAGCAGGTAGAACAAGAGGACATCAGTGGAAACTGGATACACAATTCAGTTAGAGATGAAAGGATATTCTCATACCCTGTGTAGGTGGTCAACAAGTAGAACATACTGGAGGAAGAACTAGTTTGTTGAAGCCACTTCCATCCACAATTTAAAAAAAAATTTGCTGAACTGTAATGCTCATCCATGTGTGTGCGCATACACGCATGAAACCAGAAAGATAAAATAGTACTCATCAGTGCCTACAATCCACTAACAGCATGTGAACAAAAGAACAAATAGTCAACAGAGGATCTTATAATGAATTTGGGTATTTGGGTAAGGCAAGGCAAAAAAAATTGCAATAAAGCATGAATGATGGTAGTTGAAGATTTTAACATGAAAAACAACAGCCTGTGATGTCTCTGATTCAAAGACAGAAGATTTCTGGACCCACAGATTCATGAACCTCTTCCTGGAGTCATTCCTCTATCAGTATACAGTATTAAACAACCAATGAGAATGAGAGAAGGGAACATTCCATCGGTAATAGATCTAATATTTACCATGAATGAGGAAGAGATCTTTGATTTACAATACTGCCTCCAATAGGTAAGTGTGACTATGTATTTTAGAAGTAACTTCTACAATGTGATACAGTATAACATAGAAGATAATTGAGAAAGTAAGACAAAAGAGAAACTCAACTTTGACTGGACCAGTTTTTTCTTAAGGAAATAAAGATATGTATGCCAGTTTTGCGAGATGTATAAGAAAGGCACCCAAACATTTATACCTAAACAGAGAAACAAATACAGAAAACAAGCAAACAAGTGTCGGAGAGCAAAAGACAAAAAATGGAATCCAGTGCTACAAACAAGCAAAAAATAATTGCACAGCAACATGAAGAGTCAAAAAACTCTAAGAAGGGGATAGCAGGCAAATGAAAGGCAGAACCAGGCCTGTTATAAAAATTAATAAGAAGCAAATTGCAAGTGAAAGACAAAATCCAAAGATTACTAATAAGAATATGCAGCAGTAGTATGGTATCTATATCTCAATAAACACGTACAGTAATTAGAAAGGGTGCATAGACATGCTACTAAATGGTGCCTAGAACTTTAGAACATATGGTATGAAGAGAAGCTGGAGCCATTAAACATGCCAAAGCTAGAAGACAGGCGGTAAAGAGGCATTATGATCACGATGTAGAAAATAGTTACAGGAATCGACAAAGTAGACAAGGAGGAATTTTTGAAACCTGGAGCTTCATGAACAAGTGGTCGTATACTCAAGCTAAGAAACAAAGATGCCAAAATATATAAGAAAGTTATATTTTGCAAACAGAGTGGCAGACGGTTGGAACAAGTTAAGTGAGAGGATGATGGACACCAAAACCATCTGTGTTTCAAAGCAATATACAATAAATAGTACCGAGAAGACAGGACACCATGAGTGTAGCTCTCATCTTGTAATTACATTTAGGCATGAGCCTACCAGATCTTATTAAAAAATATTAATAGTAAATCTAAATTTAATATCAAATATTGCAGACAAGCAAATGATACAAACCCTAATTCCTCCATGGAAGAAGTTTATATGGAGAATATCTTCACCATCCCAATCACATGTGCAAGTGGACTTCCACTCATGTAGACTTGAACCTTTGGTGTAAAGATGTACTGTTCCCAAACTTAGCACCACAAGGAGTTGAGAGCCTTCACTATTGAACACCAGGGAGATTACCGTGTTCGCAGACTCTAAAATTCTGTTATAAAAGATTTGTAAACATAACAGGAATTTCATAATTCACTGTGTCACAAATTAATGCCTCTTAATACTGCATATCTTTTTATTATTACAGGTATTTATATCAAGAGTAAACAATGTAGAACCTTTATGAGATTATGTCTTTATTATATACAGCTTTCTTATTACAATGTTACATTACCAACTACTGTACTAATGTTTCCGATTGAAAACCATCTTGATCATAACTACACTTACACATGTGGTTCATACGGACAATTAAGATCCATAACACACACATTACAGACTGGTATGCGGTGTCTGTAAGCATCTTGCCTTGTTGTCATGCGTGTGAAAGCAACTATATTCTTTGAAGAAACTGTGCAGACTCCTCCTCCATTGTATAACCTGAAAATTTGCACAGAACCATGAGTAAAATCATATCAGGTCATAATAAAAACAAACTTTTCTAGAAAAAATTGAGCACAGTACAGTGTAATCTCCAAAACCCAGCCTACTTCATTCTGTATTCAATCTGGATGTACAAATAATCCATCAATCTGAATATGTGACTATTTCTGGCTTTATCACAAAATGTTTGGGAGTTATCTTATAATAAATGATAGCATTTCAACAAATAAACACTGCAACCTCACATATAATGTTATATAAGAAAAAATTCAGTGAATATGCTGAAATAACAAAGGGTAAAACCATTTTTACATCCACCCATCCATCTCTCCATTGATCTACTCATCTGTATCTATCCATCTCTCCATCCATGTACAGTATACCTGGTTGATACCTGGTTGATGGGGTTCTGGGAGTTCTTCTACTTCCCAAGCCCGGCCTGAGGCCAGGCTTGACTTGTGAGAGTTTGGTCCACTAGGCTGTTGCTTGGAGCGGCCAGCAGGCCCACATACCCACCACAGCCCGGTTGGTCCGGCACTCCTTGGAGGAATAAATCTAGTTTCCTCTTGAAGATGTCCACGGTTGTTCCGGCAATATTTCTTATGCTTGCTGGGAGGACGTTGAACTACCGCGGACCTCTGATGTTTATACAGTGTTCTCTGATTGTGCCTATGGCACCTATGCTCTTCACTGGTTCTATTCTGCATTTTCTTCCATATCGTTCACTCCAGTACGTTGTTATTTTACTGTGTAGATTTGGTACTTGGCCCTCCAGTATCTTCCAGGTGTATATTATTTTATATCTCTCTCGTCTTCTTTCTAGCGAGTACATTTGTAAGGCTTTGAGATGATCCCAATAATTTAGGTGCTTTATTGCGTCTATGCGTGCCGTATATGTTCTCTGTATTCCCTCTATTTCAGCAATCTCTCCTGCTCTGAAGGGGGAAGTGAGTACTGAGCAGTACTCAAGACGGGACAACACAAGTGACTTGAAGAGTACAACCATTGTGATGGGATCCCTGGATTTGAAAGTTCTTGTAATCCATCCTATCATTTTTCTGGCTGTCGCAATATTTGCTTGGTTATGCTCCTTAAACGTTAGGTCGTCAGACATTATTATTCCCAAATCCTTTACATGTTGTTTTCTTACTATGGGTACATTTGATTGTGTTTTGTACTCTGTATTATGTTTAAGGTCCTCATTTTTACCATACCTGAGTACCTGGAATTTATCACTGTTAAACATCATGTTATTTTCCCAGTCGAAAACTTTATTAATATCAGCTTGAAGTTTTTCAATGTCTTCAGCCGAGATAATTTTCATCATACCAGTACTAATTTTTGTGTCATCTGCAAAGGATGATACGAAGCTGTGACTTGTATTTTTGTCTATATCTGATATGAGAATAAGGAAAAGCAGCGGTGCAAGGACTGTACCCTGAGGTACAGAGCTTTTAACTGCACTTGGACTAGATTTTATATGGTTGACCGTTACTCGCCGAGTCCTGTTTGACAGAAAACTGAGTATCCAGCGTCCTACTTTACTGGTATCTATCTATCCATCCACCTACTCATCTTCCTATTAATCCACCTCCTCATCTTCCTATCCATCCATCTATTCATCCATGTACTCATCTGTTTATCCACCTAACCATCTACCTAGCTATTCTGTGTCTCGGTCTCTCTCGGTCTCGGTCTCTCTCTCTCTCTCGGTCTCTCTCTCTCGGTCTATCTCTCATAAAATATGTAATTGTCTAATGTGACGTATACGGCATTGTCATCTCAAAGCTCTCCAAATGTACTCACTTGAAAGGAGACGAGAGAGATACCAAATAATATACACATGGAAAATACCAGAGGGCCAGGTCCTAAATCTACACAGTAAAATGACAACATACTGGAGTGAATAATATGGAAGAAAATGCAGAATAGAACCAGTAAAGAGCAGGGGTGCCATAAGCACAATCAGAGAACACTGTATAAACATCAGAGGTCCACGGTTGTTCAAAACCCTCCCAGCGAGCATAAGAAATATTGCCAGAACAACCGTGGACATCTTTAAGAGGAAACAAGACTTTTCTAAAAAAAAAGTGCCGGACCAACCAGGCTGTGATGGGTATGTGACCCTGCGGGCCGCTTCAAGCAACAGCCTGGTGGACCAAACTCTCCCAAGTCAAGTCTGGCCGGGCTTGGGGAGTCGAAGAACTCCCAGAACCCCTTCAACCAGGTATCAAGCAGGTTTTTTTTTTTTTTTTGCAGGGATATTCCTGTGTGGGCCCTAAGCCTCTGGCTGGCCCACTAAATGTTGCTTGTTTCTGTTTTACTTGGGCAGAGTATGAGTATTTATGACTCGTATGGTTGCTCCAGTAAGATTTTGCCCCATGTGTTTAACACCTTCTTCTGCTCTGTTGAATCTAAGCTGAAATCTTATTGGGTTTATAACTGTGCACTGTGTTAGATAATGTTCCAGTGGTCTGTCGGGCATTTCTCCACAGTGCTGACATTTCTAGCAGGTTGGTGGTCACCAATGAGAGGAGCTTAGTGGTGTGAAATACTGAAAAAGTAAAAAAGTTACCTTTTACTATGCCTGTCTTATGCGAGTACAAGTAAATTATTGACAGCAGGAAATTCCTGATAATTTTCCCCAAGACTAGTGAATAATAGTGCATATGACTAAGAATATTTTTTTCAAGTTTGTTTTGATAATATTTAGCGGTGTAGCTGGCGGGCGGTGCCAAAAACCGTGGGGTCTGTGGCCCTGACATGCTGTTCCGTTTTCAATTCTAGCGACCCCGGCCAGCCTATGTTCATCCCATACCCCAGACCATTCCCTTTGCATACTTGGTCCCAGGTGAGCCTCCAACTTTGTCCAAACTGATAGACATGCTCACTCTCTTATAGTATGTATGTATATATACATGCATATACACATACACACACACTTTAGGCTTGTATTGAGGGGTCCCCCAATGTTGAACTTCTGATCCTCCCCAAGATTACAACCCAGAAACAGTTGCCCAACTCCTGGGTACCTAGTTGACCAGACCACACACTAGAAGGTGAAGGGATGACGACGTTTCGGTCCGTCCTGGACCATTCTCAAGTCGATTGACACAATCGACCATTCCCTTTCGAGTCAAGTCGATTGACACAATCGACTTGAGAATGGTCCAGGACGGACCGAAACGTCGTCGTCCCTTTACCTTCTAGTGTGTGGTCTGGTCAACTTACTTTAGCCACGTTATTGTGACTCATCGCCTGCTCCTGGGTACCTATTTACTGCTAAGTGAACAGAGGCATTAGGGAAACGGAAACGTGCCCAACCATTTCTGTTCCAGCCAGGATGATCGAGACGAGTATGAAACCAAGTGTGCTACAAACCCCAACAAATATTAAACGTTTAGAAGTCAAATTATCCGAGTATCCTAGATTAGAAAATATACACAGCAGGTGGATATATAGAGAGTACTCTCGACTTCATATGTACCAAAAATTTGGATTTGATTACTTACGAGGGTAAGTGAGAGTCGTCAGTCGAACGTTTCTCAGATACAATGTACACCAGTTCCATGCTTCTTTATGCAGGTATATATATTCTTCCACTACATCAGCAGCTTCTTTTATTATGTGTGTAGTTTCTTCTTCAGTTTAGTAAATTGTCCACAGAGGAGAGACTAGAGGAGCGGGAGCCCTGCGCTCCCAGTGTGCTTCACTTGCAACTTGTTTACACTCGCTTGCCACAGCCTAAAATATAATATCATTTAATGTTACTATGTTATTAATATTTTTTATGTTCATAGATAATGATAGATTTTAAATATTTGTACGCGTATATATATAGTTATTAAACTAATTTATAAATTACATTTAGGCTTCCTAGCGTAACTATTTTTTTAGAGCGTGTGAAATTCGTTCATTCCTAATAAGTTAGGTTACATTGGTTAAGTTATGTACAATGTCTATGTGCGTTTTAACTAAAAAAAATCCAAATCATATATATATACATTGCTGTGTATACTGTACCTAATTTTTGTTAATTATAAAAAAATCTATGAAAAAAAAGGTTTGAGAAAAATAATATTTCAGGAAAATTGGGCCGCGGAAAAGATGATCGCACACTATTTAGGTCAGCGAGGCCTCCTTACTTAAAGATTCCGGTACTATTGGTACCAGCTGTTTACGTTCTCCCGTCATCATGACGTCTATAGTTATTACTTGGTCACCCACTTGAACAGAATGCTTCAGATAAGACAAGGTCCCAACTGGGAAAGGGTACCAAAACCCCCGCCTGGAAGAGGGTAACTCGATTCACTTTTAAACCTTGGTAGGAGGAGTCGGTTGGTGGCTTTAGGATGTTAAAAGTTTATCGTGACAGCTCCCAGCAGACACATGCAGGGGTCAGGTCAACTCGCTCCAATTTACAGTTTTCTCATTTGGCTAATGTTTTCTAAATTTTTGTCCATAACTAGTTTGATTCTTGCTGTCTGCTGACATACCTCCGGAGGCAACCCGCAACAGTTGCCAGGTTGCGGTTACCTGTTTTACTGCTAGGTTAAGTTATTGTCTAAGATTCGCTACTTGGAACGTAAGTTCCTAGTAGCACGGGCTATGGTGAGCCCGTAGTGGACTTACCTGGCACAGGAGCGGGCCTGTAACTTGTTAATTGTCGTAACTACAAAGTGTAGTTTCAGGACGAGAGCTATGCTCGTGGTGTCCTGTCTTCCCAGTACTCTTTCATATAACATGTTGAAACTACTGATATTGGCTTCCTCCACCTTCTCATGACTGTGTCCACCACTGTTTATGAAAGGGATTTTTCTTGAATTGAACAAGTTTCTTGTAGATCTTGTAGTTTTCTATATTTCGACAGCTTTTAGTTAGCTAGATCTATAGCCTCTTGTTTTCAAAAATTCTAGGTTTTTGGAATAATACCTTACTAATGTCAATTCCCACTATGTAAAATATTCATTGTCCCAAGTCGCTCCATCGATAGATCTGTGTGGGACCGGAGCTCGGCAATTATAAAGTGTACGTATCGTCGCTTTACATTTAAAGTACACCCATGGTAAGGTATTTAAAATGAAGCTTATATTTCTATCTTGCGACATATAAAACTAGTTTATTAACAAATATGTATGAAATCATTGTTCAAAGATGAATATTGCAGATTAAGAACTCTACACATAATGGATAAATGCAGCTTTTACAACTACAGTACATATATCTTTGGTTTTAAAATATTTTTGGTACATAATCTTGGTCTAATAAATGTTTTCAACAATATTATTTAGGTGTTGGTCTATTCAAACATGGTTGCACATTTTGGAAATCGGATACATGGATTGACCCATCTGATACTTGGGTGAACCTCCAGTATGGTTAGAAACATAATTACCATCCATGTATTTAAAATAACTGAAATTAAGTATAGCATACGCTCCTTAAACAAAGTTCTTTGTAGGCTTTGGGTGAGTTTTATACTTAGACTACCTCTAGATGGTTTTTCTCTTCCTTTAGTGTAAAAAAACATTTGTCTTGGCCAGGAATTGATCCTGGGTGCTTGGTTGTAAGTTTAATTTTTTTTTATATAAGAGGCACAAGTTTCAAACTTTTAGATTTGAGCCAGTTTTTTGTAGTTTCCTTTGGCTAACCAGATCTCCTGGGTGGTCAAAGGTAAAGCCCTTCTATACTGTCTCATTGTTTTGTGGATTGATACTTTCTCCAGAGGTTAACTTTTTAATTTTTAAATTTGTTAATCATGACTCCCAAATGTGTTGTTGGTCAACTTTACAATTTAAATACAAAGTCAGTATCTGGCAACTATTAACTAGCTTCAAAACCCTAAATAGTTTCAGCATTAAACGGCATCTTCAAATCTTTCGAACATTTCAAATACCTATCTAGTTTTAAAGTGGTTTTGAGTCTATAGTTTATATCCCCACTCTATAATTTTTTCTGCAAATTTCCAAATATTGCTGCTTGATCCCTTTTTAAATTGTTTATATACAGAATGTTTGGTAAACAGAGGTCTGCTTGATACCTGCTTGATGGGGTTCTAAGAGTTCTTCTACTCCCCAAGGCCAGGCTTGACTTGTGAGAGCCTGGTCCACCAGGCTGTTGCTTGAAGTGGCCTGCAAGCCCACATACCCACCACAGCCCAGTTGGTCCAGCACTTTTTTTTAGAAAATCTAGTTTTCTCTTGAAGATGGCCACGGTTGTTCCGGCAATATTTCTAATAGTCGCTGGGAGGACGTTGAACAACCGTGGACCTCTGATGTTTATAGTGTTCTCTGATTGTGCTTATGGCACCTCTGCTCTTCACTGGTTCTATTCTGCATTTTCTTGCATATCGTTCACTCCAAAATGTTATATCCCAATCCTATATAGCACTAGAATCTTAAATACCATCATTGGTTTGGCATTTCTTGTTTGAAGGATTCCTGTTATCCAGGCTCTCCTTTTATTTGCAATTGTGAAAGTAACTTTATTGTGTTCTTTAAAGGTGGTGAAGGAAATGTTTACCCTTACAGTGGACTGCAGGTCCAGCTCTTTATACCCAAACTACTAGCCTTGTAGTATATGTTGCATTATAATTTAACATAGTGAATGAGGTTCAGCCCTTTTTGCCCTTATCTTGAGATGATTTTGGGGCTTAGCGTCCCCACGGCCCGGTCCTGGACCAGACCTTCTTTGTTACACACGCCCAGGAAGCAGCCCATAGCAGCTGTCTAACTCCCAGGTACCTATTTCATCAGGGTGAAAGAGAGTGCCCATTTGTTTCTGCCTCCACCAGGGATCGAACCCGGAACCTTAGTACTGTACTACGAATCCCAAGCGCCGTCCACTCAGCTGTCATACCCTAACTACTAATCTTGTAGTACCTGTTGCATTATAATTTAACATACCTGAATTATATGAGGAGTAGATTTTGGAAGTTTCCTACTCCAGGCCTGGTTTGGGCCAAGGCTTGATTTGTAATAACTTGGTTCAAAAGACTGATGGTTGGAGTGGCATGCAGGACCCCATATCAACTACAACTGGTTGGTCTGGCACTCCTTGCAGGAACATGTAATTTTTCTCCAGTAGACCACCTTTGTTCCAGCAATATTTATTATTATTGCTGGGAGGGTACTGAATAAGATTTCTCATTGATACATGTTAATGTAACCTCATTGTGCATGGGTATCAAATAGCCATGGATCATGTTCAGATAGATAGATAGATAGTGTCACATGAATCCCTTCCATAGCAGTGGAACTGCCTTTTCCCTTCACCTTCAATGCCTCTGCACTGGAAGTCTACACCTACACCAGCCCAGGTGAGTCATCAGTCCTGCCACCTCTCAGTACCCCCAGGGCCTGGCACGGCCTGGTACAACTCAGAGGCAAGCTGGGCGCCTCTGCTAACCAGTAGTTTGCCCCCACAAACAAGCAGTTAGCAGCCTTCAACTGGCAGTGGTACAGCTCAACACAAAGGCACCGCCAGCCACAAACGAGCAGTTTGCTAGTTGACCAGAGGTCCACCTCGCGTTGACACTGGATGAGTCATCACCGCCGGACTATATAAAGGGCGCTGCTTCCCTGGAGAGCCAGTCTCTCCCTTAGTGCTCTTGGAACACCTTCGTGTCTCTCACCCTTCGTCTGACTTCAGCCAATGCCAGGACACCCTTGGGACACCCTTGGGACACCCTTGGGACACCCTTGGGACACCCTTGGGACACCCTTGGGACACCCTTGGGACACCCTTGGGACACCCTTGGGACACCCTTGGGACCTCTTGTTACCTCTTGTTACAACAGTTTTGCACTTGACTTGGAGACTTGACTCCATTTATAGGAATTACCAGGGTACCTCAGTTTGAGTTTAATCTGTTCCTGAAGACGGCTCGTAACCCGAAAACTTGTAAACCGAAGCTAATTTCCCCATCAGAAATAATGGGAAATGAATTAATCCGTTCCTGACTACCCAATAACTTCACTTCAAACTAAATTTTATACCTAATTTGTCCAAATCTACACTACAAAAGTATGTTAGTTATTACCCTTGCTGATGACTCCTGCTGGTGTTTGGAAGATTGTGGAGGAGGAGAGGTGTTACTGTTTGGAAGGAGAGTCCCCTTCCATTATAACATCAGGCAGTAAAGATTTTGCCAGAGTGCACTCTGGCACATCTTGCCTGCATACCACTAGGACCTGCTTGTGGCTTACTGCTTGCTTGTTTTACTAAGAATCTGTTTAAAGACCCTTGTTTTACCATACATTTTAACACTTGTCTGTAGTAAGATATCAGTCATTTAAAAGGTCAATGCTATAGTAGTTAGACAAATTATCAAAATTGTACATTAAAGGATTTCATAATGTCCTGTATATACTGTATTGTCTTAAAATGCTTTTAAATATAAATAAAATTTGTCTTGACTAATTTGTACAGGCATTACACGCTATACAGTACCAAAAATGGACTTTCGATCAACTGAAAAATTGGTACCATGCCCCTACGATCCATCCCATACAGTCCAGCCTCATCGCCTTGCAATTCATATTGTTAAATGTAAAAGGGTAAGTTGCTTGGTTTGGTATAGGATATTGGAGGGCCTGATAATTAACTCTCAGCTTTATCAAATTAAGTTGCTTTAATCATGAATGTTTGAATACTTGGTGTAGTTTCCAGATTTACAATAAATTTTTACTTTATCATAACTGTAATTACCAGTATATATTGTATACTTCAGATTTCGACCCATTCTTCAGTTTAGACATGTTACCGTAGTCATAAATTCGTACGTACTTAACTTTTGGTTAATATGTTGATTAGTAAGAAATTCTTTTAAAATAACAAGCTAAAAAGCATTTAAATATTTGCTATTCTAGGCCTACATGTACTAAATTAGGCCTGATAGTGTATTAGAATTAGGAAGGTTGGGTTAGTTTTTTGTCAAACCAACAAGAGTAAAAAAAAAAAAAAAAAAAAAAACTTTCCAGTTTGTCCATCTTGATAGTTCAGATTTCTTTGTTATACATCAGTATATAATAGTAAACTATGGTCCTCATTACTAAAAGCACTACCAAAATGGGAGGATGGGCTGCAAGTTTTAGAATAAAAAATACCCATCAGATTTAAAAATTAGTTGTCAAATTGTTCAGGAACTGTTCATAACAGCTTACACAAGTTATTACAGCTAAGTAGTTGTATGAACTAAATGGTTGTATAGTATTAGTCCAAATCTCTTTTTTTTCCTCTAAGAGTAACACTTGGCTTGCAATTTGAAAGGTGAAATGTATGTGTAGTTTACCATTATAGTAGAGATTTAGGTATAATGCACTGTAGATTGCAAAATTAGGACAAGACAATTGGGGGATTGATTATTGTATGTATAAACTTGTGATCAGTCTTGCAAGAAATTGACTAAGTATGGTAAATTTTCTGGATCCATCTGATAAGTTTGACTATATAGTACCATACACAGAAAAACCAAAATTGGGTTCATGGTCTATGGCATTTCATATTTTTTTTTTTGTCTTCAATTCTAGATTAGTTTCTTTGCAAGTGGTCAAACTCTAGTTTCCTGTTGCAGCTTTAACTTCATAAAATTATTTGTGGGCTTGGTTTCTCCTGAGACTGGGCCCTCTTCCCTCTTCTCTGGTGGTGAGATGCCTGTGATTGCCCAGCCTTCCTGCTCTGCTTTGGGTAGCCCTGTAGGGCCTTGTTTAAATATTCTTCATTCATGTAATGAAGACTAATAATAATTGCATTCATTTTAACAGAATCATCCTGATATGGATATGGTACCGTGTCACTATAATGCGACGCATGTACTGCCGTCTTCAAAGATAAAGGCACACGAGTTAGAATGTGCAGAGAAACACAAAAATGAAGTGGAATTTTATCAAAGTAAGTTGTATACGTGATTTTAAGAAGGTAAGATGGAAGGTATTTTAAAAGGATTACCATTATAATTTTACAAAATTTAGTATGTACTGTACAGTAATTAGTGCTTACCCATTTCAATCTTCATTTAACCCTTGGCCTGTGCCACTGTTTGAGATGAAGCCCTCGTCCTCTCATGGGTAGAGTTGCTACGAAGATATTTAAAATGTTTTAATGTCGCTGATCTCTCTTGGTTGGTTTTTTAAGCAACTTGATTGCAGGTCTTTGCACTTCTTCCTATTTTATTGATGTGCTTCTTGAGAGGGGCACCATAAGTACTGCATACTCAAATTTTGGCGTTATGGAGGTCATGAATAATTTAAATTTTTCCCTCCGTGTATTTAATTATGAAGCTGAAACACATGGTGTGGGCTTCTCACGCAATGTTCTTTATGATATTCAGGTGACAAGTTCTTCCACCTTCCCCCCCCCCCCCCTCCCCCAGAGTTTACCAGGGTTCCAAAGTCCCCACTGGGATATAAATTCCTCCTAGGTATAGGTTTACATATGCAAATTGTTTACCAAGGTAACTAACAATTCCCACCAGAGATGACACCTAAGTGTGCCAAAGTCAGTTGGCCCACCCAATCACACCTGCGACTTCCAATGTGTTGAGGGAAGATGCTCTGGCATGCCTCCCTACCTAGTGACCCCTCCCTTATCCCTCCTGCTTGACCACGCCTTGAACTGCACCTGCCTACCTGGATCACCAATTTGACTAGCGTTTGCAAGCTAGAAACTGTTGGAAAGCTCTGGAAAATTAAACCCTAGTTTCAGATTCCTGGTCTTGGGGTTCAGAATAACAGCCTATCCTTCATAAGGGAATCGGTCTAGCTGATCCTGATTGGCCTGAGGTAGTCTCATACCACGCATCTAATCTAGAAAAGTTGGGCAAGGCTAGCACCTAGTGTCTGGCCTCCAACTTGAGCCAGACATTGTTTACTAGATATCAAAGTTGATATTGATGGGGCACTGTCAGTGTTGATTTATATCATTACATGATATAAATTATGTAATGGTTTCATGAACACTAACCAAATAATGTTACCCATTTTGTTAACTCGGATATTTTTATACCGTGTTTAATTTTATTAATTTTTAAGAGAGGGAGACTTGTAGACGGTTACAGTCGGAGCAGCATGTGATAGACTCCAGAAATCGGGTTTTGGTACCTCCAGTTATTAATCAAGGGGACTTGGAGGAAGACTGGGATAACGACCTTGTCGAATCGTCTTATGATCCTACAAAATCAATGCTGCTGAAGAAAATAGCCAGGTATGTTATCACAATATATTAACTACTGTAGATAGTAAATTCTTATTTGAATTTTTCTTTGCATCCAGTGCAGTTTGGATAATGGCTTATTTTGCCTACTTTTTTCCATGGAAACTGTTTTTACTACAGTCGGATTAAAAAAAAATCCTCCATTGCATTATAATGTAAATAAATTATAAAGTCTCGTACTACAACTGATAACAGGTACTTACCGAAAGGCTGAACTTGTACTTGGCATGTTCTATACTCGACACCATAACACTTAAGGAACGTAACAAAGCAAACTTGGTATTGGCTATGTAAATGATCAAGGAGCTTTATTAAAACATTCAAAACAAGGATACCACCCTAATACTTCACTCGCTTGTGCTATTCTGCCTATAGTACTTTATAACAAGGCCATTTCCCTTTTAAAGGCTGGAGAGACGTATAATTTAAGGTATGCAGAGAACATGCTGTGTTCATACTGTAACATTTAAATTAGTGGGAGCACCCCAATGTTCTCTACTCGGCAACAAAAGAAATGCCATACAATTGAACCAGTGAACCATAAAATACCTAGAGCACTCTTGAACAGAGGTCTGGAATTTTGCAATAATTTCTCGGAAGATGCAAGTACTGTACAGTAATACAAGGTTTACCTTTTTAAACTTTGACTGAAGGTGTTCACCAGCTGAGCCAGTAGCTCCCAGGTGGAGCAACCTGGTGGGAGGCAGTTGCTACTAGAGGACCTAAATACTGTGTAGATAGTTTTCAATTTGTTTAAATCTGCCTTGCTAGTGTCCATTTTGCTTCCTAACTTTAGTGGTTATTCCTTTATCACAAAAGTATCCACCCTTGCTCTTTATACTTCTGTGAAGGAGGCAGGTTTAAAAAATTTATAATTTTTTAGACAAAAGGCCCTGCCCCTCTGTGGTACAAAACTTGTATCTTTGAATTGGGGTTGAGCTACTGTCTTGCCATTTGGATTAGGGTTACAGGTAGTGCCTATTTTGGCATCACAATTGACACTTGTCCAGGGCTGGGTGGGCACTAACACTGCCTCTAGGCCCTTACTTTGGAGGTTTTGGGAAATTCTCTTGTAAAAGTTCGTTCTTTAATTGTTGCTTTGCTCTAGGCTTCCTTTCTTGTTTCACAGTGGATTTTGTCTGCATCTGGCTATAACTCTATGGCTTGATAGTTTTGAGCCATGTTAATATTTCTGGCAGCTATTGTAATTTTTTTTTTCCTACACCTGTGGATTGAATGTCTCGGCCTTTTGCCATTTTGGCTTAAGGGTGGACAGTTTATTTCACTGGTACATTTCCCTTGCAGGCTGAGTTTTTAAGCGAATGTGCTGGACATAATTTTAATAAATCTGAGCTTCCTAGAAACTCTTGGCTGTTCTCCTACTCGCCCTCTGATGCTCGGTTACCAGTCGTGTGCTCTTCAATAGATACTAGTGCTGCTCCATTGCCAAATTTTTTTTTGTATGCCTTTTTTTTTACAATGTCAATAGCAGCAGTAATCAACTGGGGTGTTAACCTCCTAAATGCAGCTAATTTTTTGTTAATCGGCATCCAGGAAGCACAAACGTTTCTACCTATTGTGCTTTGTGTTGTAGCCCAGAGAAGTTTCTACTTTTAAAAATATATATGGAGGTTTCATGGTAATGACTCGTGTTTTCATTTTCTGTTTTTGATGCTTGCATGTTGCATTGGTGTAAATAGTGATATTCACTGTTAAAGGGTTCTTAATATGGCCACCTAGAATGTTCAGTCCATTGATGTGCCAGACATGGTTTATCTTTTTACCAAGGCCCGGGAAGAAAACAGACTGGAGTTTTTCCAAATATGGCAAATGGTCAATAAAGGACTGTCAAATGCTCCTTGAGAATGCATGGGGCTTTGAATAAGATGTGGTACCAAAAATTGTCAGTCTTGGGCTTAAGGGGAAAAGTTAAGCTATTCATTGAAGATAAGCTAGAAGGGTTTTGAACTGTGCAAATGGCTGCTCTGCTGCAAGTGTCGCAAATGATTTTAGTATAAGAGTAAAATGTATGATGTAAGGAAACACAAAGCTCATGGACACCTGTTTTAGTACAGTAATTACAGTAATGTGATGTATCAATAAAGCCTTGGGACTCCTCTTGGGTTCAGTTGACCCTAGGTTGCAATTCTCATGACCATGTCGTAGCCTAGTTGTCTAAAGCGTGTCTGGGAATACCCAGCACATAGGTTAGAATCCTCATTGTGGCTCCTGTGGATTTTCTTGCCAATATTACTGTTTACCTTATGTTTATCTGGCAAGCTGACTCTGATAAGGTTAGGTGAAAATTTGTCTGAAATAAGTGCTGTATGCATTACGAAAATCCTCGCTAACTATGCAAATTTTATTGAATGTGGAAATTACAATATTATTGGTTTTGGTATAAATGTTAATTTTTTTGGAAATTTCTGGTAAGAATTCCTGCTAATCTGGATGTCTGGTTAACTTGTAGGTGGTGTGCCCCATATAATCCAGATTAGCAAGATTAGGCCGTGTATAATTTAGTTTTGTATTTCCAGAAAGCCGCCTGCAGGTCTAAGTAGAAGTGGTAAACTTGATTGGCGCACAAATGAAATTGAACGGGTGCAGGCATTAGAGAATCGGTAAGTGCTCGGCAAAATACTGTAATAATTTAGAAATTATTTGTTAAAGTACTTTATCACCAGTTACATTAGATACATTTTCTTTGGTTTATCTTTAATGTGGTTCCATTTACCTTGAATATCCCTTTTTTTTTTTTTTTTTTTTGCGCCATGGCACTCGTCCTACCTCTCAAAGGAAAGATGAAAGGGGGGTGGGGGAATAAAATTGTAAATTAGAAAAATTTTGAAGTAGAGTACCATAATCACAGATGGTCATCCATTCACTCATTCCACCCCCTCCCAGTCAATCAGAACTGGCCAATTAGTCATTGGCTTGTAGGAGCACCATATCTTCTAAGGATTATTTGTATTTGTCATGGTATACAGTAAATTGTCTGCCAAATTATATTCCTAGATTGTGGATTTGCCATTTATATTAATTGTTTGAGCAGAAAGTTTTTTGGAAAGATAAATTTATGGTCTATTTAGACTAAATGTTAATTACTTTGCTTTATTTATTAAATAAGTTTGTTTTTCCATTGATCAGAATGATGCACTTCATATATAATCAATGTTGTATTTATAGTGTAATTCTGTTGACCTGAATGATCCACTGTCCCTTAAGGATCATGGCAATTAAGTGACATTAACATTGGTACTTCTAAAACAGCCTAAAAAGTTCTTTGGTCATAGTGTCATCTCTCATTAAATGCCTAGGCTAATTTTGCCCTAGACCAGGTTTCTTGGCCCAGTGTATAATCTTTGGTTCTGTAGCTTCTGCCTCCTCACTGAAAAGTCCAGTGTTTCCTTCGATTAGCTTCAGGGAGCCACCACGGGTCCCCCCCCCCCCTCCCCTCCCTAGAAATGCAGTTGTTAATGTAATGAAACGGCTTTTTCTGTTTTCCCCAGTATCTTCCCGACTTCCCTTCTCTCCATACTGGGTACGTAAATTTGTGGTCTCTGCCCTGGACAGAGTGGCTACCTGCTATTAAACTGGGAGCTCCAGAATGCCACCTGATGATGGCAGCTTGGGTACTGGTGGGGGGTGTTTCTTGCTGTTTAATGATTCAACTTCTTTAGTCACTCTTGTGGTGTGTTGACTGTTTTGGTGCAGTCTTGAGTTCTGTATTGTCTATACTTTCTGGTTGCTTTCCCAGTGAGGATCATCGTAATAATCCCGTGCTTCTTGTCTCAAGGGGGCCAGGTTCTGGCTCCTATTTGTTAGGCCAACAGAATACTTGTGACTTGTGAATGGGAAGAAATCACAGTAACAGCTTCAAGCTGCCACAAAGGTGGCTTCCCCCTCCATAGAGAAATGCATCTTGCAAATGCTTCTTGAAGGCATCAGATTGCAATGAATTGTGGTTTGTCCTATATAGTTAGCCAAATCTACATTGCCTTCTACTGTACATGGAATGGGCTCTACCTGTAGGATAGGGTTGTAGGTGACAAAATTTAGCCTGCCTATAAGAGCTAAGGCAAACTGTTAACCATTGCACTATATTTCTCTGTACCAAAGTTGTAGCTAGAGGACAGAGGAATCGGATTGATAAAACTTTGCAGAACATGGCGAACGTTGGATTGGTAGTAGTCTTGACAAGAATTGAGCCCCTTCAAAATGTAATCTTTTGGTGAGATACAGCATTTGGGTGTAACAAATACATAGCAAACCCCACAGATAACATTAGTATGATGCAAGAGGGATGTTTGGAAAGTTCCCTGTTGTGCTAGTGAAGAATGTTCCTTTCCTGACCTTTCTGTTAATGTCCAGTGGTCTTTTGTAGCATCACTGTCTTGCTTGGTAAGGAGCTTTTCATATATACTGACTAATTTGTATACAGGTGCATAAAAGATATAACTGCTGCTGCCAGTGGAGAGAATCATGCTGAACATGTTTACGAATCCTATGATGCTGAGGGCGGAATTAATATAAGCGGTAAGGTCCTTTTATCAGTTTTGAAGAAAATAGTTTTGCAAAGTTACTGCAAGGGGGTAGTCTGGTATGAGAAGCCAGGTATACTGTACGGTTATTTTTTTTAACCAGACTTTGATAATTTAAACGATATAAAGAATATAATTTTTTTAACGGGTGTTTTGAAGAAACCTGAATTATCATTCCCTGATAATTATCTAGGCCTTTTAAAAAATAATAATCCCTTTATCATATTTGATAAAACTTCCCCCTTTGTATTCCTCGTACTCTTTAGCCCCCCCCCCCCCCCCCCCCAAAAAAAAAAAATTGATCCCCCAAGCTGCCTTCACTCTAGTCAATCTGATCTTGGTTCCCAGTAGTTGATGGGTTGGTCTCTAGAGCCTATGCAATGTTCAAAGGCTTGACAGTCCTAGTGCTAAAGCTTTGAAAGCTACTAAGGCCCACCAATAAAGGACATTTCATTGCTTGATTTTTAGTTGGACTGAATTAATTCTTTTTAACCTTTAATACTAGATGTCTAAGTATAGCTTGAAAATATTTTTTTGATGTGGCTGAAAAAGTTGTCCTTCCTGAATGCATTTTATATTCCTCAAAGCCTGCTACCCAAATGTTCATATGTGCATAAATAGTAGTAAAATTTTCAGATGAGGCAGCAGGACACTACATAGAAATGCAGCAAGCTGATGTTCCACTGCATCACTTGGAGGTTGAACCCCATTCTCATAATGCCATGACATTAACTGGCAGTGTCAATGGTGCAAGTGATCAGAGTGGTAACAATTTTGAGCAGGTATGAAAATTAATGTTCTTAATTTTTTTAGTTTAGTTTAAGTTTGTTCTTAGTCTCTTAATAGATTCTTAATAAAATGATCTGTACATACTAACAATTAGGTTTAACCCCCCCCCCTGTCTCCTGCTGTTGATACATTAAGGTTTTCATAAATTTGTTAAAAGCTGAACTGTGTACAGTACTGTACTCTACACATTTTCCTTGTGGGGCTTGAGCTTCAGCTCCCTAGTTCCATTTCTCCACCTTCAGTGAGCTGGTGTGCAAGTAAGTTCCCAAGCACATTGGACTATGCCTACTTTTGAAGCGGTATTTTTGCCCGTCACTAACTACAGGGAAAGAGAAATCTATCTCTTATGCTCTACCTCCTAGCCCTATACTGGATGTACTAATTTTTATTATAATATAATAAATTTTATAAAATTGGCTTCGACCTTCTCCTCTGATGTATTCCACTTGCTAACCACTCGTACAGAACAAGAACCTCCTTGGATCAGTCTAGTGTACAGCTTCCACCGATGTAGTCTTGCCCTACCTCTAAATTAGACTTCCTTTTTCCACTTTCTTTTCCCCTCGGGATCTTGCATGTCGTGGTCATGTCCCCTCTACTTTAAGGATGCAAGTTTCCTTAACCTGTCCACATTGCTTGGGGCCCTAATTTGGGTACTAATCTTGTTGCAAACCTTTGAACTCTCAAGTTTATTTTTTGAGAAGGCAATCCTTGTTGCTCATTTGGGTACCTAGTTTACATGTCCTTGTTCGTGTACTACACATGCCAAATAATTGGCCCTTTACCCTGTAAATTTTCATTTTTATATTTTTGTAATGTATCCTGACCGTCACTTAAGATTAATATTCCTTCAGTCTTGCTTCATAACTCTTCCCTCTGGGAAGAAAAGGGCAGTGGTTGATGATCCTTAGAAGGCGATTAGATTGTTCCATGGGACAACTAATAGGATAAGGCTTAAGATAACCTGTAGGAGGAAGTGGCCCAGGCCTGATAACAATTTGGAAGTAAAAGTATTTGCAGCATTAGCTGATATTTTACCATTATCAGCACTGCAAAAAAAGGGTGTACCTCCAATACATTGTGAATCTTAGTCTTCTGGTGTTTGATAACAAGCATACTGTTGATATATTCCTGCTTGCTCTCTACATTCATGCTATCACTTTCTCTCCATTAGTCTACATTCTGATTGTTAAAGCCATGCACTCCTCTATATATGGTGACTTTGGATTAGCAATGCTTCTGGGAACCAATGCATTCCTGTACATTAATGCTTGTGTATAAATGCATGGTGTGGCAGCTTGTCTAGTCACGAGGCACTGGAAGTGGAGCCATGCTACCCTGTAGGGCTGCTTTAAGCTCCATCAACCCTTGCCATTTTCTTTAAATTGGTCTGCATCAAACTAGATGCAATATTAAGGAAGCAATACTTAGAAATTTGAAGTTCATTTGCACAAATCTTCTTACTTGGGTCAGTTTGAAATTTTTGAAACTTTTGAAATAAAGGTCAATGTCACTTCATTGCAGTTGCATTACCCCTTACCCCTCCCCCCTTAAGAGGAGCCTGTAATTACCATGTTTAAACTCGTATGCTTTGCATTCATTACAGCACTGTTATACTCGCCTATAGATGCCTTTCTCAATTGCCCTCGTTTCAAGTACTGTCTAGTTGGCAATGAAAGTTTTTTGCATTTTGAAAAGAATGGGGGCAGGGGAATGGTAAAGGTTTGCCAGATAAAATTGGCATAGCCATATGATTTTCATAAATTCATATGGTGTTTAGTTCATTTTCTTTAATCTCTACTATTTTCCTTCAATTTTTTAAAGCTTGAATTTTACCATACTTGTGTGAGCATTTTATTCCAAAATATAATTACTGCACTGTAATTATATTAGTCAATAAATGAGTACAGTATTATAGTAAATGGTGTATTTACATTAAAACTATTTATTCATGCACAGTAACTCTTTTTTTACCAGACCCAGTCACTTGACATAGACGAGTACAAAAGACGATGTATCAACAAGAAGCTCAAGTTGACGAAAAAGTTGCTCCAAATTAACAAATTAGAGCAAAAGAGAGACGCTGGCATTCTGTTGCTCCAGCAGGAGCAAGCAAAAATAGCTAAAAAGCAAGAGTTTGAAACTGAGCTTTCTGAGGTACTGAAAAATTTAAAAATGTTCTAGTCATAAAGAAAAATAAAAAAAATTAAACGGGTTACCGTATGAGATGTATGGCTTGTAACTAGTCATTTATTACTTTTATTGTATTTTATGGCTTTTAATTTTTATGCTGTGGGCTTTTTAACTTTTAAGTGATAGAGGGAACAAACACAATTGAGGGGTTGTTGAAAGAAATGTATGGAATGTCTACTGCCAATTTAATGTAGTTACAAAGATGTACTGTACTATGCTTTTTAATATTAAGAAATTTCGAGTGGGGAAAATATCTACAGGCTAACAGTTGCAGCATGGAACAGCAGTTTTAAACTGCAAGTTGGTTTGCTTTAACCTACTTCACTGTAAAGGTGTACAACATTAAATTTGCACATAAATTTCTAGTAGGGTGTTTAAAATATAAACAAAATTTATAATGTCCTAAATAACACATTACTTGCTGCCAAAGATGCAGAGAAGTTACACTAAAGATGTAATGCTGCACATTTTAATTGAGGAATGAATGTTTATATAGGATATGCTGTTTGGTTCACTAAATGCATGACCCTTGGTGCACGTTTAATGAATCTAGTTCAGCATGGAATTTTTAAATTTTATTTTATTGCATCTATTTTGTCATTCATTAAAATTTCTTTAGAGCAAATAGTGAAGTTTCAAAATGGTTTTAATGCATTTTATTTTTGGCACGACTATTTTTAACTGTTTTGCATGTAATGTACCTATATTGAATTGCTGGCATACTGTAATAGACAAATAAATTGTTAAAGTACAGAAAATATTTATATATCCATATTTATTATTGTAAATTTTTTCATTAGTGAAACTATTTAATGCAAGATATTTTGAATCTAAGTATGGTGTAACCTCCAAAACCCAGAATAATCTACACTGGCAGCTTGCCGATTCATCCCTCGATAAACCGAATCTCGGGCATCTCTACCAAATTCATGAGGTATGCCATCATTTTATTAGAATGGAATCCAGACACAAGAATTGGTGGCTGAGCTTGCAAGTACTCTGCAAACATGTACAAGAAAATAGCCCCTGGGGATGTAGAGCCCAAAAATAATCGTAAGGTAAACATTGTTGCAATCATCTAGAACTGTTTGCAAAACCAAAACTTTTGGATTTTTTTTCTGCCCCTTTGATGCTTTTTTTTTTAATTTTTTTTTCTTTTTTTTTTTTTTTAATCCCTTTAGTATATAGCAGAAAAGTAAATACTGTATTCTACAGTAAATGCCTTGTTACATGTGGACACTATACAACAGCCACATCCTCCAATTTGGATTAACTAATGTCGAATGATTTTCTCGTTTTCCAGGTATTTGTGACTTTGCAGTTTTTGTAGGCTCCTCTAATGGCTTTGATGTAGGTCTCCAGTGACAGTTTACTATTCAGAGCCATTACTAGATTTTTGCCTAAGGTCTTTTTTTGTCTTCACAGAACTTGCAGGATACTTTTCCTTCATTTTTCTTGTTCCACATTTCATTAACTTTTTTTTTTTTTCCTAACTCTACTGCTGCATTCCCCGTCATCATTTTGAAGAGCATGACAAGTCATCAAAGTCTTTAACTCTCCCTAGTACTGTAATTTGACCTTTTATTTATATACAAGGTACATTGGGTTTGTGAGGATACATAGCATGGTATTTACATTCTTGTAAAACCACTAGTACGGGCAGCATTTTGGGTAGGTCCTTAATCTAACGGATAATTAAAGTAGGTAAATTCGCGCAGAATTTATAAAATGGAAACGGGTACATTGCAAGAAAAAATTAGCGGGTACCTGTATATTAAAGCACATCGGTAGCTGTGATAGCATTGACAGTTTCATTGGTAATTTAACAATGATTAATAGGCACAATACAGCATATTGATGGCTCATAAGATGGCAATGATCACAATGGTAAAGTTATTTGGAATAGGTACATTAAGATTTGGAGATTGGGTAGCACTAGATAGTGCAATTTTAAAGCGCATGGTAGGAAACTATGAAGATGAAATTGGGTACTTTTAAGTTTCGTTTTTGAATGAGACAAAAGTTGGACAGCTTTAAGATTCATTAGGGAACAAGTTCCATAGACTAGGTCCCTTTATTTGCATAGTGTTTACACAGATTAAGTTTGACTCTGGGGATATCGGATATATTTATTTCTGTGGTGATAATGGGTCCTATTACATCTGTCCAGGGAGTGTTTTGGAGTAGGATTTGCATTTAAGAACAGGGTTTTGTAAATATAATTGACACAAGAATGTGTGGAGTGAGCAAGCATAATATGCAAACAGATTCATTTGACTGACTCTGTGGTTTCTGTACAGTGAACATTCAGCCTATCATAAACAAAGGTCCAAGCTAGTTAATCCAGCCACCAAACCCCCTGTTTATGAAGAATTAGATTTACACGACTCGTAACTAATGACCTTCAAACTGTTCCGGAACAAGTATTGTACTTCACTAATTTTGTTCGAATCGCAACTGTAAATGCTTCACACTTACTACAAATAATTGCCAACAGAACTTACACCTATGCCTATATATGCACAATATGCTAATATATTATAATAATTTATATTTGAGAAAGTCCCTCCTTGAATGAACATCACGTTAATTTTAAATTTGTTAGCATTTGTGGCTCGGGTGGCCTCAATATGAGGCGATTTGATAAAATGTCCCCCAAATTGAGCACAGTGCGCTGTCGGGGATTGGGTTAAGGGTCTAAAGACTTCCAATTCTTTTGAACTGTGGTCTAGTGGGTTAAGTACTGGATATGCCAAGGTGCATGAAACCCTGGCTGTGTTTTTTCATGTATCTTAATACTGTACGTTTGTTTCTCTCTTTCGAGCTTTGCAGTAGCTTGTGTACAAAGTATAGGTCAAGAATTGAATGCAAATTTATTAGTTTAAAATTTTTAAACAATTTTATTTTTTAATTGACAGTTGCTAAGAGCTGGTATTAAGTACGTCTTATTTGCTAATGTTGATTGTCGTAAACATTCCATATATCTATACAGTATATAGAATATACATTGGTGACCCTTGACAAGCCGCCAACTTCCTGTCCTCGTCGAGGCCACTAGTGTTAATATCCCTCGGGTAACTGTTATGAGTGGCTGACTTTTTAATCGTAAATGAGAAATATATACAGTACTGTAATGGTAGAATTAACTGATTTTACAAAATAGTGTAGGTCATTTGTTATGCGCCAGAGGGAGGGGGGGGAGCAATAAAGGTCAGAGTGCGACCACCGAGGTCACCAGTGTTGCCACACTCCGCTACAAGTAGCGAATTGGGCTACTTTTGAGAGCCCGGTCGCTACTTTCAACTTTTTGGCCTATTCGTATTAGTAAAGTAGTAAAGAAAATTTTATGCAGGAAAGTACATATAGTTGATTTACAAACATAATGTTGGATTTATAAATAGGGCTAATACATACAATACCTAAAGCCACTTGTACGCATAGCGTTTTGGCCATTAACATAAGCTGGAGCCACTTTAAAAAGCATATATATATATATATTTGTTTAGGGATTTATATGTCTTGGGATACGTTTATTACAAACTTAGCGGGTATTGATGGTTGAGTTGGGTAGTGTGAGGAGCGGAGCACTGGGGGCGACTCCGTCGTCTGCATCAGTCGTCGCCATGGAGCTCTCGGGCCAAGGACAGCCGCCGGGATCACAAACTATAACCTTGATGAAAATTGGTCATTACCAGATTGGTAATACCCTGGGAGCTGGCACATTTGGCAAGGTTAAATGTGAGTTGCCCCGATTTGAACTTTATACACTTGGGTGTTTTAATGGGTATTACTATTTTTTGTGTATTTTTTTTTTTGGCATTTCTGTGGTTTTCTTGCCAGTGGTCTGCATGGTAGAGGCCCGTTATCAATATTTGTTCCAAGCAGCCCAAACATTTCTTTAGTTATGCTTGGGAAGTAACAAGAGGCAATATTTGATTTATATAGGCAAGAAAAGATATATAGGCTAGGCTAGGCTAAGCTAGGTGTTGGAGACCTCATAGTGTGGCAGACATTTGGCCAATAGTCCTTCAGATAATGGTATATCACTATTTCCAATATTGAACTTTGCTACTATTACAGGAGCCTGACCCATCCTGGAATGTGGAGGTGTAAAGTGGTCTTAAGAGTGCGTAATTACCAACTGGCGGAAATAAGGGGGGCACATATTAGATTCCGTGTAACACCTCGTGCTGTGTCGAGTTGGTCTTCACTCGGGGGAAGTTATTCGACGACGGTTTGGGAGGGGGGGGGGAAAACCCCGCTTTACTCTTTTTGAGAGATCATTTGAGTAGCGTCTGATGAAACAGCTATGCCTAACTGTGAAGATAATGGGCGTTGATGTGGTGTTTGCTTCCAGGAAAATAATAACTGCTTTGCTTGTGCAATCTGTGGTATACTGGAGTCTTATTCTACATAGTTGTTATCCACAGACTACATAGACACGTCTGTAGATACTGTATTTACGTATGTATTATATTACAGTATATATTAAAGTATTATGATACTGTATTTACGAGTATTACGATGTGGGCCGGCATCCAGGTCCTGTAGCACCGTCAGGTTAGTCCAGGTGGTTGTCAGCCTTAAGGTCCAGAGTTAGGTCCAGATATACAGGACCGAGACAGTTGGGCAAGTTTCCTTTTACCTTGATGCCTCGGTTCATTTACCAGGAAATAAGTACCAGTGAGGTAAGTGGCAGTTGTGGGTTGTGTCCTAGGGAAGGTCAGTAGTTGGGATTACTTTGATGAACCTAACCAGCTTCTTGACCCTGACAAGGTTGGGGGGTGAACCGTTTTGTGTCCATAATAAAAGTTAGATGTCACGAGATGAAATTCTTGATTTTGGAGTCAAGACGGCACAAGGTCACTAGAGACAAAGGATGTAGTTTTCTGTAAATCAAGAAAATGTTATGGTTACCACTTTAAGTAGCATGTATGACGTTTCTGTTGACCTAACCTATAATATTATACTGTAATGTTGACTAGGTAACGTACGGATAAATTTTTGATGTCTTGACATTTTCAATGACCAAGCAGAGGGGGGGGGGGGTCAATACAGTACAGCATTGTACCTATATTCTCTGTTAATTACATAGTGGTAACACACAATTTATAAGATAGGGACAGGCTATAGGAAGAGTCCTGTGTTGACTGCTCGGTGATGCTGCTTTACGGCATGGTGGTAAACGGAACATCTCCAAGAGGCAGTGAAAATCTAATGAATTTGTGTACAGAACAACTGCCTTGTAAACCAGTGGCCAAGATCTACAGTTAGTGGATTCGAGCTAATAAGTCAAAATCAGTGAGCTGTTAGTGCATGTTAAAAATATTTAGGTGAATTAACAAGGTGAACAAGAGCACTTTATTTTCATGATACATTTGGCAATTGAAAATATAAATATGCCAGAACAGAAAAAATAACTTGTATGAATTTATGGTAATCAACAATTGGAATGCATGGGAAAAAATCACAAACCGCCTCCATCGACAAGTGAGAGGTAAAACGGCACAGATCCAGTTCCACTAGTAAGTTGGAGCAGTGTGTGCCTCTGTACAGTATTATTGTATACCGTATATTTATACATACACAGTACAGTATATATAAACAGTATTAAGTATTAATATTTGAGAAGGTTTGATGTACCTTTTGGGCTCTGCAGTATTGTTTTACTGTACAGTATCTGTTTTAAATTTATTTTTCATTGTGTCGTACCAAATCAATTATATTAGGATTATGTAGTCTTCATATAAATATACTGTAAATGAATAGGCACTTTTTATTTATTGCTTTCAATATTGTTGAATATTTTGTCCATTACTGTACTGGGCTACTGTTCTTTGCAATTCACTTGAAGATTAAGTGTTTTAAAGTTTTGCTGATTTTAAGTATTTTTGTTTTGTTAGATGGTGAACACATTCTCACTGGTACTAAGGTTGCCATCAAGATTCTCAACCGCAAAACTATCAAGAATTTGGATATGGTCAGCAAGATAAAACGAGAAATAACAAATCTTAAATTGTTTCGTCATCCACATATCATTAAACTGTAAGTGTGAGGAGAGATGCATTATATATTAGAGTATTTAAGGTTTCTTGAATGTGAGTGAAGTTATTAGTGTTTTATTATTATTATTATTATTATTATTATTATTATTATTATTATTATTATTATTATTATTATAATAACTTGGTTGGGTCCCATGTTTTGTCACCAAAAGAACAAACATTAGCCAGGTCAAGTTATTAGTACAAAAATACACATGCAGTTCACTTCACATCCAGGGAAATTATTCCTTTATCAGGACTGTGATGGTTAAGAATATGCAATTGCAATTATCTGCAATAGGGGACAATCCTGGTGCTAGTATTTTGAACAAGAAAACTATTGAGGAAGCAAAGCATAAAGACTTAGTTGTTTACAAGTAGTTTCTAAAGAGATTGTTCTTTAGAGGCCAGACCACCAGGGTGGGGGGGGCCTTACCTCGGGATTGTCAGGGGTCTCTTTGCTCCTCTGTCTAGACAAGCATTTCTGAACCAGGGTTCAGCCGAACCCCAAGGTAATCAGGGCTGCAAGATATAGTAATAAATAGGCTAATTCTAATCATGTGCAAATATATTTTTGAGTCATTTTTGTGTTTAATCTTTCTTCATTTAACCAGTATCAACAGCAAAGACAGAAATCATCTCCATTCAAGTTTACAGTGACATGTGTGTGTTTAGATAAAGTATGACCCACAATTATTTCAAGGGTACAAAGGTTGAAAAATGCTGGTCTAGACCCTTGGTTGGGGATGAATGTTTTGGCTGGTTGGGGTTCTCTGAGGGCTCACACACTTGTTTTACACGGCACGCCAAGGTCAGTTATCCCAGCCGCGTTGGCTAGGCTGTGTTGGTTTATTTTTATAATTCCTGGCGAGTGTCCTCAGTGCCTAGGTGTCCTGGTTAGTCGGTCTTTTGGGCCCTGGTAATTCCTTGCAGGTTTCAGTGAGGTCTGTGGATATCTGATCCAAACCCACTCTTGCCCTGTGCAAGTTTGAGGGCTGTTTGTCGTCCATGCCACTGGGCGACAATTGTTCTTTCTGCCTCCACCATGCTGCCTGTTGGGTTGGTGACACCTATGACCCCGAGTCCTGTGGGGCTTGTTTTCCCCATGTGGCTCTTCTTGCTGACCCTCTGAATGAAGTGCATGCTGCCTTGTGGGTTCATTTTGCCTGCCTTCAGTTTTTGCCGGCTTGTGCTTAGTTGCATGGCCTGGTGTTGGACCCTCTTGTTCTTAGGGATCTGGAGGTGTTGAATTCCACCTTGGTTTCTAGATTTTTTTTAGTGAACAAAGGAAATTGTCATATGTTGATCCCTAGGGTAATATAGTTATGATTTTAGTTATTATACCCTAGTTTTACACAAATGATATGAATATTGTATGGTTATAATACATCTATATGGATGTTATGGACTTGGCAGAATTTGTTCATGGTCTTGTGTTATTGTTTTGAATTTCTTATTGTGTAATAAAGTTATCAAGTGCCTATGGCCTTCGATTAACCATCAAATCAGAATTTGGCCTTTCCTGCCAGTGGTTGAATCTATTTCTGGAAGACTTTCTAATACGGAATAAGGAGTGGGTTGCAAGATATTTCCTTCAAGCTGAGCTGGAAACAGATTTCTGAGCAATTTACGTGCACACATTTCATTGTAGGTCTATATACAGTACTCACTGCTTTTGTCAATTGTGTACATAAATTGAGTCATTCCACACATTCCACCCTTTCAGTGCTACCACAAATGGTGTTATAACAAGGCCACCACAAGAATGCAGAATGAAACTTACCTTATGTAATGGGGTACCCCACACAGAGGCACCAATGATCTTATGACAAAAAACTTAACTGCATATGTAGCTTTTCCAGTAGCAAAGTTGTAGGCTCTCTAAATTAAAAAAAAAAAAAAAAATTTTAATTCTTGAACTTGACTCTTTAATAACAGCCTTTTCTCTTTAATAAGGCTTTTTTAAAATTTACAATGTTCATTAGAAAGGTTTAATGTTTGTTTTGTATAATGCTCGACAAATAATTCTCTGAAAATATTGTTTTTCCTTCATGTCAGTTTCAGATGTACGGTACTGTACAATAATAAGACAAAATGTAAAACTGATTTTATGGATGAGAGCACAAGGTGCTGAGGGAAACTCTACAGAAACACTAAGATGAGAGTTAACTCAACTTACTGACATAGTGCCTGACAGCTGGGTGGACAGCGCTTCGGATTCGTAGTCCTGAGGTTCCGGGTTCGATTCCCGGTGGAGACGGAGACAAATGAGCAAAATGTTTCTTTCACTCTGATGCCCCTGTTACCTAGCAGTAAATAGGTACCTGGGAGTTACAGCTGCTACGGGCTGCTTCCTGGGGGTGGAGGCCTGGTCGAGGACCGGGCCGCTGGGACACTAAGCCCCGAAATCATCTCAAGATAACCTCAAGAAGATAACTGTTTCTCTGTGTGAAATATCCCTTGACAAGCATTGGTACTTATTTATATTGCTGAAATGTCTCAGAATTTGTTACTTTTGTGATGTGATCTGAAAAATTGCTGTAATGCAGTACAGTTTAGGGTCAAATTGACTTTTTAAGATAAAATTCTTTTTACATTTTTGGATAATAATTGGTTATATTTGTATAGGTACCAGGTGATCAGCACACCTACAGATATCTTTATGGTGATGGAATATGCTTCAGGAGGAGAGCTTTTTGACTATATTAAGAAAAAAGGAAAGGTAAGTGTTAATAATTCTCTCCTTAACTTCTTACCATTTTGGCATTTGACTGTCAGTGACTAGGGCAGTCAGATCTAGCTGTTTATGCCCCGTCTCCTACCAGTTTGTACCTGGCCTGCTAATTATCCCCCTCAATATTAACATTTTCATCATAATTTTTGTTTTAATTTGTGAATGGAATTGGTATCAACAACCTTTTCCTTCAATGCAATGCACTTTCCTACTACCCATACAGGGGCCCAAAACCTTCCTTACACCTTCAACTTGATTGCTTTCTTGATTTTCACTTCTTATTTTCTCCCAGCAATTTATAGTACTGTAAGGTCTTAAGTGGATCAGATGGTTTTTGGGCCTTTTATCAGAGTAAAATTTCAATTGCTACTGTATATTAATTTTTTATTTATTTATTTATCTTTTTATTTAATTAAATGATGCAACATTTGTACATACTATTGACACACAGATCACATCAACACATCATCATCACAACAAGCACATCAACTAGAAAAGATGCAAAAATACACAACTAAATGGCTCCCAGAATTGAAGGACAGGTGCTATGAGAAGAGGTTAGAGGCATTAAGTATGCCAAAACTAGAAGATAGGAGAAAAAAGGTGATATGATCACTACATACAAAATTGTAACAGGAATCGATAAAATTGATAGGGAGGAATTTCTGAAACCTGGAACTTCAAGAAAAAAGAGGTCATAGATTTAAACTTAACAAAGCTACCGAAGAAATATAAGAAAATTCACTTTTGCAAACAGTGTGGTAGGTGGTTGGAACAAGTTAGGTAAGAAAGTGGTGGAGGCTAAAACTCTCAGTAATTTCAAAGCGTCATATGACAGAGTGCTGGGAAGACAGGATCCCACATGCGTAGCGCTCACCCTGTAACTACACTTGGGTAATTACAGATCACATGGAAAGTCGATTTCTGAGCAGTGTCCCCTTAGGCACTTTCAAACTAGAGCCATAATTGTTCACCAGGATATCCCTACACTAGGCTCCTGTGATGTTGGCCTTAACCCCTGACAAGGATGCAGTATTGGCAAATGGGTAAGGGAGATAGGAGACCTTTATATAACTACTCTATAAGGGGAAAGGCAATTACAAGAAACATTAAGAGAAAAGACATGGGAATAGACATAGTCTAAACACTAATACCAGAAGCTTACAGGAAGAGGATAATATCAGCAACATGTGGGAACTTGGCAAACATGAGAATAAACAGGGTGGCTTTGATGTTCATACACACTGCCTATGTGAGACCATTGCTTGAGTATGCAGCTCAACAAGGTGTGGATTGCATGGAACCCACACCTTGTGAAATATAAACAGAAACTTGTAAAAAGTTCAGAGACTTGCAACTAGATTAGTACCAAAATTGAGAGGCCTCAACTGTGAGGTTAGGTTGAGAGAACTCAGCATTACAACTTTAGAGGACAGAAGAACTAGTGGAGGTATGATAATTACGTACAAGAGCTTGAGGAGAATAAATGTATAAATAAGCATATTCAAATTAGAGAGAGGTAGGTAAGAAAAGTGGACATCGGTAGAAGCTGCACACGCAATAGTTGAAGAGCTGAAAGGAAATTCTCATTCCCATTACGGGTGATAGGGAAGTGGAATGCACTGAAGGAAGAGGTTGCTGAAGCCAATTTCATCCATGACTTTAAAAAGAAATATGATGAAAATATTAATGTTGAGAGGTAACACCAGGTATGAATGGTGGGGCATAAAGAGCTGGATCTCGCTCCCCATAGTCACAGGTAGGCAAGTAGCCTGGCATCATTCTGCAGTTTAAGGAGCGTTAATGTACCTGAAAAATTAGATCTTTATAGATCAGTTAACATGTTTGGTTTTCAAGTACAGTATTGTAATCCATTATAGTGCAGGTTATAAATATTTTTGAAAGAATATTAGTTTATAAATTAAATTGCAAGTCTGTACAATGTTTTCTAATAATTGTTTTGCGATTTGTTTTCAGCTGAAGGAATCTGAAGCTCGCAGGTTCTTCCAGCAGATCATATCTGGTGTGGATTATTGTCATCGTCACATGGTGGTGCACAGGGATCTGAAGCCTGAAAATCTTCTTTTGGATCACAATCTTCATGTGAAAATAGCAGACTTTGGTGAGTTTTCATTAATTTGTTTATAATAAAAATATATGCATTTGTATATGCAACCTTGACCCACCACTACTGCACAACTTCTATACCTAGCAGTAATTGGGAACATGGTTGTTAACTAAGTTATGGCTTGTGTTGCAGGGAAATCTAGTCAGTCGTCTGCTCCTGTATCCACCGTTCAAGTGGTTGGACACCATTCCTTTTCCCCGTCCCATCCCAAATCCTTACCCTGACCCCTTCCCAGGGCTATATAGTTGTAATGGCTCTGTGCTTTCTCCTGATAGTTCCCTTCCTCCCCCCCTTCCTTTTTCCACATGTGTGTTAAAAATAAAAAACCTGCTACTGCCAGGTTTTCAAAAATTAGGGCTAATGGAAAGTACAATACAACCTCACTAGAGAATCTCTAGTTCCAATGCACACTTTGCAAGCTGGATTTACTCACCCATTTTGCTGATGTGCAGATTTGTTTGGGATGCAGGGTCAGAGTTGACAGACCTGTGGGAAAGTTGATGGGCCTGACTAATAAGATAAGGTTTGAGGGGCAGGATCCTGAGCAATACTTTGTGAGAGATGCATCTCTCTACTGTCTGGTACTCCTGGTAGTTGTCCATCATATAAATTTTACTGTAAAATTTCCCCTTAGAGCATGGCAAATATTAGGGTATGAATGGTTACTCCTTTAACCATTAAAGTTCAGTTCTTGGCACATGTTTATGCCCATCTTCACCCCTCTCCCTCAGTCCTCTTTCCCACCAACTCCAGCCCTCGTCTGTCTTGTACCCTCCTGTATCTGTCTTGTACTCACTCAATTATACTTGCTAGGATTGAGCTCCAGGTTTATGGTGTAGCCTCTCAATCAAGTTTTTAAAAAGTTTTAAGTAGGATATCTTAAATGTGCTATCATATTTTGTACACTAGACAAATTTTATACCTCCTTGTAGAGTGCACTCATAGCTCTACTTAAATTCATAAAATCAATAAGGGATAAATATAAGACATCTTGCTAGGACTCGCTCCAAGACCGTGTTAACTTGTGCAACTCTGTGTGTCCGTACAATAAAATCAGTCTAAAGGTGAATCGGTGAACTTGGTAATGATTCTTTGTGTAAATATTGCAAGGAAGACAAAAGATTGGTTCTTAGATTACTCTCCAATAGTAAACTATATCTAATTTGCATATTCATATTTTCATATGGTTACTACAGGGCTTTCTAACATCATGGTGGATGGAGAATTCCTTCGCACTAGCTGTGGGTCTCCAAATTATGCTGCCCCTGAAGTGATCTCTGGAAAACTTTATGCTGGGCCTGAGGTGAGAACATTAGATACCACAGTGCTAAGGTTACAGTATTCTCTCTATTTGCACATTTTACTGTGGCTTTTCTTTCAAATATTACAATATTTAAAGATTTCAAAATAAAATTAATATTTTTCATATTAAAATAGTTTGAAGTACAAAATTATTTGACAGAATCAAGTCATTAACCCCCTGGACTGTGCAAGGGTTAAATGAGCCAATATCTGTAAGCACATCGAAAAATAGTATTGAAAACAAGATTTTTGACTACAATATTATTAAAAACTGTTCCTATGCTCAGGGCATAATGTTCCAAAAATTTTACTTTTCAAGAATGTAGATGATTACCAGAGGCTTCAAATGTTCAATTTGAATACTGGGTCCCAGCAGGACTTTCAAATGTTGCAAAGTACTGTACCTAAAATATATCGTAATGGTATGTACATTTCAAGACTTAAGATGGGCAAATAGGAGCCTTCGATCTTCATTACTCGATTCAATATTACCTCTAATAATCCTCATGAGCCAAGATCACATCAACGACTGTTTTATGAGCCTCAACACAGCTCGGTCATAACATGGGAGTACCTGTGCCACTGTGCAAGCAAAGACACATGCCAAGAAGAGCAGTCACAAATCAAGCTCTACTTGGTGATAGGAGGATAGAATTTATTGGTCGCAAAAGTAAAGACATGATCAGAAAGTTGTAAATTTTGTTTTCTTTTATTATGTTGAGCTTAAGAAACTTTAGTCTAATAATCCATTTGGTTACAACGATTGCCACCATTTCTGCATTGCTGAAGTGTTCATTATATTTTTATGGACATGTTGCTTGATTTCCCACATACAAATTGTAACATTTTCTTATTCAGTAGATAGATTATTTCACATTATTGCATGATTAATTGTGCTTTTATCCTAGGTGGATGTTTGGTCATGTGGCATCATCCTGTATGCTCTTCTCTGTGGCACACTGCCTTTTGACGACGAGCATGTGCCAACACTATTCCGCAAAATCAAGTGTAAGTAGCATCCTAAGAGCAAAACATTTTTCCTGTTTTCTATATGAATGAATCAGGATTAAAATTATTCAATACTGAACAGATGTTCTTAGGAAAAATAATAACAATTTATTTACAGCGGGTGTGTTCCAAATACCAGATTACCTAAATCAGAGTGTGGTGCGCTTACTTTTGCACATGCTAATGGTGGATCCCATGAGGCGGGCAAATATTGAAGACATCAAGTAAGCTGTTATGTTATTTTTCACATGCATGCACTTTCACTCATTCATTTAGTCTTTTTTATATGTGGCTAGTAACCTCTGTATTGATTTTGTTATAACTAATGGTCCCTAACCCCTTGAAGTGCCCAATTCTGTCTTGGTTTCCTACTCTATGCAGTTCTTAATATGCAGACGAGTTAAAAATATAAAGAAAAAAATAAAGTTAATGTACAGTATTTTCTTGGCTATATGGAATTTCATATTAAATTTTGATATTGATATCAGTTACTGAAATGTATACCCTTAATTTAAAATTTTCTTGTTGGCTTCAGGGAAAACAAATTTAAAACCAAGAAAAGCAAAAATGGTCTAGAACTTAATATTTTTAATAAATTTTTTAGGTGGGATTGATACCATATGCTTTAAAACTTTTCTAATTAGGGTAATAAATTTTTATTTATAAGATTTATCATTTTATAAGGTATTAATAGCCAAGTTTGGCAAATCTTGGTAATTCTAGACATTTATAAACTGGTTCTAATTTGCTTAAAGTTCTTTAGCAAAAAAAATCATAATGTAAGCTGCACTTTCCTTGAGAAAATCCCCCAAAATCTTAATGACATCATCCTTATCAAAGGGGTAATTTGTCACATGTTCATATAACATCATTTGTTTTAAATAACAAATGTCAGGTAAAGTGATATAATGAAATTTTTAACTTTGTAATGAGGCATCTCACAAATAACTGTAAAAAACTGACCTCTTTATTCAATGTCAAGAAGCTTCTTTACTGTGAAGACCTTAGTTCAGGTTTGAAATTAAGTTTATTAAATAATTTTTTAATCAGTATTATCAGTACATTTATCACTGTACCATTCACTATAGTTGATAAGGGAATTGAAAAGAACTAATAGTAATTAAATAACAGTTACTGGGCTCGACGGTAGAGCAATAGTCTCGCTTCATGCAAGTCGGGGTTCAGTCCCTGACAATCCAAGTGGTTGGGCACCATTCCTTCCTCCCGTCCCGTCCCAAATTCTTATCCTTATTCCTTCTCAGTGCTATATACAGCTATATACATCCTACCGCATTATATATATACAGTATATATTTTTTTTTTAAGATTAACACAAGAGTTGCCTGCATATGTTTATTCAGTGATGTCCTCTGTTGTAAGATTATGTACATAATATTCCACAGTGTGTTCACTGATTTCGTATAATCAATCTTTCCTGCTAATTATAATTTTTCACATATTGGCACACACATGTTTCTACCAAAGTGGCAGTGGATGAAACAAGATACTGATAGCCAGCAGTGTACAGTATAGGTATATGCTGTACAAGGCCAAGTATCTCCGAACGTTTTTAACTTTACGACATTTTTAATAATAAGTATTTGTGAGTTAAATGCACACTAAGAGCAGTTAATTCTTTTAGAAAATAAATTTTTAAATTATAGTTGAAACAGTCATTAGGCACCAAAAAAATTATCTTTGTACATTTTCTAGGAGTGACCATTGAGAGCAGCTAAGTACTCGCTATGCATACCATGATATATGTTTACAGATAATACTTTTTACCCTTCTGTGTTCTGATTTATTTTGATTGCCTAGAATTAGTGCGTTGAGCAGGTAACCTGGTTGTAACCCCGTGATGGCTGCTGCATCCAACGGTGTGCATCCTGCTTTTAAAATTTTGTTATTTTCAGTAATTAAAATGTTCCTTGACTGTCACATTTCATAAGCAGGAAATATTTTACTGGTTAATAGCAAGTGTGTGTATTTAAAGAACATTTATGTTATGATTTACACAGTGCTGTACCTGTCTGTAATATTACAATACTAGTAACACATTCTATTATGTAATCACGTTCTTTATCAAGGTACATCACGAATGATTTAACCCATTTAAAACACTTGCTGGTAAAGTGTCTTTAAATTCTCCTGATGCTAGATTGTAAAATATGTACTTCATACAGTACTTGATGTTTTCTACATACTATAGTTCTGTTGAAGATCTAAAATAATTTTATATTTCAGAAAGCATGAATGGTTCCAGAAAGACCTTCCAGCATATCTCTTCCCACCACCATATGATCATGATAGCTCGGTTATAGACCAGGATGCCATAGCTGAAGTCTGTGAGGTGTGTTATTTATTAATAATAAGAGACTTGTGTAATGTCCACATTGTTTAGGCAGATAAAGGGAAAAGTACCAGAAATGGTATGAAATTAGTGTTAGAGAAAAACTACATTTCATATGTGATGTAATCAGATGATGCAGTCCTTTTAGCAGACCAAATGAAGAAAACTGGTTGTGTATTAGGGGAAGATTTTGTTGGTGAATGAGAGAGAAGACTGATACAGATGAATGGAAGGTTTTTGAAGGAGAAAGAAGGCAACATTGTGAACATAAGTGTAAATAAAGGTGTCCTATAAGTGACTGAGCAGATTTAATCCTGGTACTTTAGGTTTGTAATTGGAAAAGTGAAATGTGTACAGAAGTTGGATCAGGTAAGTGTTGGAAGGAAAATATGGTGCAATGGAAGCCCCAATTAGGAAAAATAAGATACGATGAAATACACCTTAGAACTGCATGAAGGAGTAGTGTATGTCACTGTTGTGACGTGATCAGGAAAATCAACAGTTAAAGCAGCATAAAAATGATCAGATATGCATGTGTGGTGTTAAGACAGTGAATGGAATTAAAATTTTGTTGAAAAATAGGTAGTGGAAGTCATTAAATTGCAAGATTCTATAGAATATACTGAGATGGTTTGGACATACTAAACAAAAAAATGGTGAAAAGATTTTTCAATCCATAATATTTGAAGAAGACCAATATGTTGATAGACAAACATAGTGTGTGAGTGAGCGAGGAACTGTATATAGCACACTAGTAGTAGTAGGGCAGAGGACTACTTGGAATCAATTGTAACCCTAGTGCTTCATCCAGCCCAAGTTGTGTTACAAGTCAAGGTAGGTGTACAGTACAGTATTCTATTTCTAGATGGCCTTGCAGAATATTTGCCATATTGAAAAAGAAATTCTGAAGGTTCTTGTTTCCTTCCTGGGCCTTGGTAAAAAGATTCCCACTGTACTCGCCTAGTTGTAGCCTGGGCGCTGAGTTTTGGCTGTGTCGAAAGATGTACTGTGTCCAGTACATCTTTTGATTATGTATGTGTGCAATGCCTAAGTGCAAGCAAATTACAATATGTTGTAAGAGTTGGTATTTTTTAGGGATGACTATTTTAACTAGTAAATTGTAATATACATCAGATTTATTTGTAATCATAAGCAACTTTTTTTTTTTTTTTACCCCAGAAATTTCAAGTTGAAACAGCTGAAGTACAGAGTGCCATTGTATCAGAAGATCCTCACAATCAGCTGAAGATTGCTTATAATTTGATTGTTGACAACAAAAGATTTGCAGATGCAAATGCTCTGTACAGGTAAGATTTAATGTTGTTATACCTATAACTTACTTTTTATTACATTTGATCAGGAGACAGACATGATATGAGGGTGATGCTGATTGTTAAATATTTGCTGAATGGTGTCCCCATTCCCTCCCTTCCCCAGTCACCTCTCCCCTCCTCCCTCCCCTCTTGATTCAAGATGATTATAAAAATAAGTAATTCTTGTAAAAAACAATTTTTTTCTTTTAATCAAATAGATTCAAAAGGCTTCAGTAATAATGCTTGCTCATCAGGCCCTGTGCTGTTCAAATCTGGAAAAAGGAAATGAAATGTCTTGCTTGAATTGGAGGAATGAGAAGTCTTGCGTACTAATTTCAGTGTTAAGTAAGATCTCGCTGCATTGTTTTATATAGTGATTAATTGGCAATACCTAGAGTATATCTGGAGTGGGGTTCTGGGGAGCATTTTTTCTCTCCAACTGTGCCTGGGGCCAGGCTTGGTTTGTAATACCTTGAAAATGGAGCTCTCTCCAACAGTCTTGTGTGTTTCATTACATTATTGAGAGATCATCTTTGTCTTTGCAAAGGCATCTTTGCCTCTTCTGTATACAAATTTAGATAAGCTATACCCATGTAACAGCTTTATATAGATGACTTCTGTTTTTCTGTAACATAATGTCTGGCTCTTTAATCTTTAATGAAGTGGTCATCATTTATTCATCTCCTGAGCCACTGTTGTCAGTCATTTGCCGATTTTCACTATTTCAGTATTGTATTTCTCGACTTGTATACTAGTGATGTTAATTCCACGATACCTTGCATTGTGTCATTGAAAACTCGGAATTCAGTTATGTGCTAATTCTCTTTACTCCCAAAGTTGTAATAAGATGAAATAAATTCACAAATAAGCATTGGTGCAACAAGTGTCGGCAGCAGGCAGGTTGCTATTGTTGTTTTCCGTGGTGTCACTTTGTTATGGTGTCTCAAAATTTGTATGTTTTACACCTTGCACCAAGATTTTGTTGAATTGCAGTGAGTCACAGTCAGTACAGTATTTGTGACTGATGAGAAGTGGGGGGTATTTAATTATTGATGTTTAGGTTGTGTTGTATATAGAGGGAATGGAAGCAAGCAGATGCTGGGAGATCTCTAAATAATTTTCCACTTTTATCTTTATGGAGTTAAATTTTTTATGTGAATTTATTATGCACAAGGCTTTTCAAGACTGCATTCCTTGTGCAGATCAAGGGTCAACTGTACCTGGCATTTTAATGTCAGTATTATAAGAGAATATGGGCAGTAGTGTTGCTACTGTATAGTATAAACCATATTTAACCAAAGTGAATTGGGTAGCAAAACCTTTGAATACTGTATACAGTAACAAAAAAATGATTATTTGACATTTTGTTTCCTATATGTTAGCTTCAACAAATGCAAACCATAAGAAAGATTTTGTGTATAGTACTATACTGATTAGAAGGCAAACTGCATAGGTAAAAAATTGTGATTCACTATTGTTATAATAGTTACTCGAGTTCATCTTGTTAATTTCAGCATCTCTGCATTTTACACTGGTGGATCTCCACCCCCTGCTCCTCCAACCCCTACCTTTAGCCCATCTGACCCCAATCCAAGCCCATTCAAGCCACATCCAGAGAGGATTGCACGTGAGTTTTAGTTTTTATTTTGCACTTTATTATTCTACAGTACAGTGTAATGTAATACTATACACTACCTAAATTGCTTTCTATTTGTTAGTATATACCCTTTTTTATTTACCCAAATGAATGTTTACAATATAATAATTTACTTTACCCAAATGAATGTTTACAATATAATAATTTACTTTACCCAAGTGAATGTTTACAATATAATAATTTACTTTTTGCACTGATAAATTTTTATATTCATTGATCTCTAATTTTGATTATAAAAGTTTTTGACTTTGTGTGACATATAATTAACTAACTGGTATAACTCTGATCACAATGATCAGCATTATCCAGGCTGGACTCGAGACCCAAATTTGTGTAGCGGGTAGTTGATATTGATGGCACGAGTCATGTTTTGTAAAATGGTGTCATCTGCATCATTTTATTAATTTAGTTTAGTTTAGCCTAACTAGAACCTTTTACTGACAAATCTCTTTGAATTGGTTACCAATGCAGAATTTGCATTTCTATTAGGAAATTCAAATTGTTGTACAGCAGGTATCCTTTTCAGAATGAATTTTCTCAAAGTTTTCTTCTATATTTTATCCATGTTTCGACAGCTCATCTTGGCAAGATTCAAGCTGAGTTACGAGCATGTGAGTTTTTCATAAATATGTGGAGCTCTTCCAGTAAAGATAATGGTAACTCGTAAAAAATGTTGAACAAATTTCTATGGAATAAAATTCAAGCAACACGTGCATTAATTTATTGTGTACATGCAGAGGGGCGCAGATTTTTTAATGGGGTTTAAATTATTCCATTTTGAATGACATTCATAGATACTTCTTTTAGTGGCAGCCAATAGTATTTATTACCCACCTTCCAAACAACCCCTTGGAGTGTATGAATTTGTATGTGCATACATTGATTAAAATCTAATGAATATGTAGATTCATATAATGTAAGTTAACAGCATTTTTATCAGGGTTACCTTGGTCTTTGGTTGATGAGAAAACTGCATATTTAGTGTGACATTAACAAGTGTGTTGTCTGCGCTTTAAAGAATGTTGGTTTAATTTTAAAATTTTTAGCTGTTACTTCTCAGAAATATATTACATATTAATGACATTAGGGCATGTGTATTGGGTACCTGGATTGCTTAATTTGCTAGCATTCTGACTGTTTTTCCTCTCCTACTGTAGTTCGAAATTGACTCCTTTTAAGCTTCATTTTCTTGTTCATTCAAGGTTTAAATTTCCTTCTATTCTGCAGGTTCCTGTAGTCTCTCCTCCCTCTCTTGCAGGGTCCATGTGATTTGCTTCAGTTTTAACTGTGTTGAAGACCACACTTCAGAGTTTGCCCTAGATTCATCCTGGATGATGGATATTCAATTATTTGGGATAAATGGTGCTCTAGTGTTAGTCTCATAATTTGGAGTGAAGAGCATTTCTCCATTTTTATTAATTTGTGGGGGTGCTTCTGTTTGAGTCATCCATTCTTTGTGTGTGTGATGTTGATGGTGATATGGGAGCATGGTTGTTCGTTGTCCTGGCTACAAAAGTTGCATGCCACTTTTGGTTCTGTGAACCTTGTGACATGAACACTCGTTAAGATTGTCCTCAACGTGCTTACAGCTTGGCAACATTTTCTCATGCAGTTGCAGTTAAAGCTCGTTCTCCTTCAGTAGATTACAATCCAATTTAGGTTGCAGATGCAGGAATATTTCTATATTGGTTGAACATTTCAATTTTCTGATGTGTGGTGTATTTGTTGTCTGAGCTTGCTTGCAGTCTGATGATCGTTCTGTAATTTCTTTTTAGTAGTCAGTTGGGGAGTCATAAGCTTCTTGGGGCTTATAGCTTTGATATTGCAGTATCCCACCTCCCATTTCCCTCTACTATCAGGCATCTGAAACTTTCTCAGCCTAGCAGGACTAGAATTAGGCTACCTCAAAATGTATAGAAACATCAAAACTTATATTTGAAATGTAACTTTTTTTTTTAACATTATACAGTGCAATCTTGATGAGCTGTCTTACAGTTTGATTGTCTTGGCTGTTGGATTATAAGCAAATTAAAATGTCAGTATAGTTGCATCATTTTTTAAATTGGTATTTTTTTTTTTTTTTTTTTTTTTAACATAAGAGTATTTGTTTATGCTTTACTGGGTTGGTTCATCCAAATCATGAGTTTCAAGGGAAGTCAGTTGGTAAAATAGTCCAGTTTACATAAATTAAACATTCTGAGGTTTTTAAGTTGGGGAGAAGAGTGCACATTTAAGCTGTTTGTTGGAAACAATATTGAGTATATATAAAAATATTTGTATTTTCTTTTACACAACTTGATAATGGTCCAGAATGGACCATAGTCTTTCATGGATACAGAATATAATGAAAGTTAAAATTTAATTATTGTTCTCTAATTTTTATTTCACAGATTTTTTGTTAACATTCACATACCTATACTGTACTGTTACTGTGTTTCAGCTCCTTTGCCAGTACATGTCTTGTTATGCTAAGTGTACATATATAGAATATTACAGTACTGTACATGTATTATACTTGCCCTGAAGATATGCAGTTTGATATTTAGTATTTGTGGTTTTTATTGTTCTTTGTCATGCTCGCAAACCTTGGTAATGTAGTTGAATGTGGTCTAGAATTTGTGCTGTGTAACTCTGTATATGTTTTTGTCCAACTATATACAAATATTGCAACCACAGTTGCTTGAATTACCAAGTTCAGTAATTAGAAGGTATCTACTGCTCTGTAAATGGTGCACATCAATCATACAAATAGCATAAATTAAAGTTTAGCTTGTACAGTCATTTGTAGTGCATATTGTAATGCTTAATTCTCTAATTAAATAGTTTTTCCTTAACACATTTCAAAAGTTATTAGATGGAAGACATAATTATTGGTCAATCTGTATTTTAAGATGTAAAGCATGTTATTAGAGCTTTACTGTATAATTAAATTAAAATGAAGGTCATTCATATAGTGAACACACAAATTGATCTTTGTTATAGAGAACAAATGATGATGTAGAAGCAAGTGTTGGTAGACACCTTTACTTAGTACAAGCTATGAGATGTTCTGTATGTTACATATAGTTTCTAATGTTATCTCTTCCTTCAGCCCTGAGGGAACGGGCTTTGAGTGGTGACCGAGGAGTACCTAAAGGAACACCAGGAAAACGTGCAAAGTGGCATTTAGGTAAGTCGCGTGTATGATGGTAATTTTTAGTGTTCAAAACAAGTTGTATATTTTCTTTATATACATGACACGATTAGTGATGATAAAGTAATAATCAGTATTGGACAATGCTTGCTACAGGAATGCTTCAAGATTTTCTTCTGTAATACCTAATTATTTATATGTAAAATGTGTACTTTAAATTTTACTACTGGTATGTTTAACAAATATAATCTGCATATGATTCTGTGAAATAAGGTGATTTGGATATTCTGTATAGTGCAATGCCACTGAACCCAATTTCATTATTCTGAATGCCTGGTATATCTGACTGAAATACAGAATATTAAAGTTAATAAAACTAAACTTCCTTGAGGCCACAAGTCGAGCCTGCAGGCCGGGCTCGAGGCTGAGCCTGGGCTCAGGGGTCAGTTAACCCGAGTTAATATGTTTAAGTCACTTAACAATATTAGATTTTCTGGTGCATCATGTTTCTATACAAAAAAATATTTGAATTGTTAAAAGTTGTTTATTTGCTGAACAGGTATTCGCTCCCAAAGTAAGCCCCTGGACATCATGAGTGAAGTTTACAAGGCTATGAAAGTTCTTGGCTTCGTAAGTATACCAAGAAAAGCATTGTATACAACCAAAATGTATTTATAAGGTCTTATAGTAAATTTGCTCAAGCTTGTATTTCTATTGTCATTGATGTTTTCATTAATCTGGTCTTATTATAGCTACAGTATTGTTGATAATATGGCTTAATGATTTATGTTGATTAGTCAAAATTTAAAAATGCATTACAGTGCCTGCTCAGTTTCCAAAATCATTTGGCGTTGGATCCGGTTCATGACTTAGAGGCTTGTTATACATACAGGTCAAGGAGTGCCTGTCACTTAAAACAAAATTGGCAAATGATGAATCATGATTACGGTAAATAATGACATTGAAGCTAGTTTTTAAGTATTTTATATATAAGAATTGTGTAGCTTTCACTTTTTTTTTTTCCCCATGCATCAGAGTAAGAATTTTTTTTATTAGCAGCTATTATTGTCTATGAAACAATGATGTGGTGCAAACTTGAAAAATTAGGGAATACAGCAACAAAAATAATCAGAATGTGTGCTGTTAGGAGACTGGATAAAGTAAGGAATGAAAATGCCATGGAGAGATGTGAATTTCAACAGTCAATAATTTGCAAGATTGACGAGTACTCTACGTATCAAGAACTCGTTGAACAAATGCACAAAGATAAACTGGTGGAGAATGTATTCGGTTGAACTTGAAGGTAGGCCTGGGAACCTACCCAGCCTTTGAGGGTAGAAAGAGAAGGCCTGGAAGATATTTGACCAACCAGGCAAGTGTGTGTGTGTGTGTAAGAGACATTGGGAATTGTATGTGAAAAACTTACAAAGCGTTCAGGACCAAGACTGGGTGGAAGCGTATTAAGAGAAGGAAGTGGGTGTATTTGTTTGTGTTGTATATGACATTTCACAAAGAATGGTGTACACCAGGTCTTGTGGAGGAGGAGTGTATAACTGTTGATAATTGATGGTAGTTTGTTGTGGTACTATATACTGTATACAGTATAATGAATGATATACAGTAATGAATAGACAAGTAATTTTTTTTTTAATCTGTAGCCTTCTTTCACTATTACCTTTTTCCAAGCAAATGCCTCCTAACCCGATTAAACAGGGAAATTGGATAATGATGTACAGTTTGTATATTTTGCTACTAAGATAATAGCAAAAGTTATCTTTCTCAAGTTTACTTGTTACCTAAAACTTTAGTTTAACTGTTAAGTAACTTTTCCTATGTAAAGTAACTTTTTAAGTTTGTAGTAAGAAAGTGTGATTAATTATGGTTGATAAATAATGATAATTTAATTTTGAAAAATGTGAAAACTTGCTATGTTATTAATTAGCAATTCAAATAACTTCTGATAATGTTTAATTAGTTGCTTTTATGTTTTAATAGCAAATAAAGTAGTAATATATTTGTTGTAATTTTTTAATGTAGAAATAAATTAGGCCATGTTTTGGTTTGGCCAAATCTAAGGCTCAAGGAATCGGAGGTGATCAAATCAAGAAGGCGCTGTACGGTTTTGTTTAAACATTTGTTCAGGCTAAGTCTAGTTTAATTTAAAGTTGCTTTGTTTATAGAACACAATTACTATCAATCTTGGTGAAAAAACAATATTTTAGTGATACAGTAGTCATTTCATAACCATGAAATAATGCCATTCATGTTTATCATGCAGGAATGGAAGGTAGTTAATCCTTTCTATGTGCGTGTCCGCCGGAAGAATCCTGTGACCAGCAACTACGTGCACATGGCGCTTCAGTTGTATCAGGTTGATTACAGATCACATCTTCTCGACTTCAAAATCATATGCAATGAACCTAACGAGATCACTATATCTGAAAAGAAAGGTTGGTGTTGATTTTTAAACGTTGGGTATTTTCCAGTATTGTGGTCATTTGTGTTGCCATTCCTTGTGATAACTGGAGATACTAATAATTAAACTCACTCACTGTGGAGCAGAGGTTACTAGGCCTCAGAACCCTAACCCAGTTGTACAGGTGGACAATGTGAAGTCTTAGTTGCAAACCATTTTAAACATCCTAGCTTGAGTATACTTTATTTTTTAACCTCGCAGTATGCTGCAGAAACAGATGTTACCGGTAGGTGGCCTTGGATATTTTTCCTGTGGAAAGAGTGTAAATATTTTGGCAATTAGAATTATGATGGTGTACCATGTCTATTAACTCGAACAGCCAGCACAAAATGACAAGGCTCGAGTTAATATTTAAAACTTCTGGCTTTAAAAATCTGGTATACAGACTACATAATCCACCTGTAAATACGTATAATTATGTACTTTTTTCTTTCTATAATGCCCTCTCAGTGGTTTCTTGATATAGTGAGGGGGATGGGGGGGGGGCTTTTGTATGCTGTTCATGGGTAGAAGGGGATGGTTTCTGCTCATGTGTGCTGTGATGGTGCACAATTGAAATACACTCCTGTGTGTTTGTCATACATGGAAGAGAACACACACACACACACACACACACACATGGATAGATATATGTACTGTATTTATTAATTATTAGTTACAAACAAAAATTTAATAGTTTATAATTTTTCACGTGCTAAATACTGTTGATTGCCGTGTTTTTCCTGTAGGGTCACGCACACACGCGATTCAAATTTAAATAACCTATTTTTAAAACAAATATTTAATACTTTTAAATTATAATTTTAGTATGACAATTATCCTCATCCTCTTGTACTTCAGGTGATATGGAAGAAAGCATAAGTCGAGGGCATCATGTCATGGAGTTCTTTGAGATGTGTGCAGCACTAATCACAGAATTGGCACGATAAGACAGTTCATCGACAACTGCATCACGGAGACCTATTGTGCCTTCTGATCCATTGCGTTCGTTGATTGCGTCATTATGTAGCCTGTATGTATAGTAACTAATGTATAAAATAGAATATTATGCTTGCATAAAGAAAATCTGGACTACTGTATATTGTGATCAGTGCAAATCAACAAAGTATTAGATATATTGTTTAATTATTATAGATACAGGTACTGTATTTACATTCTGCTTAATTTGTGTAATTGTTGTTAAAAAATTCATTTTTTTGGTATAACATTGCTAAATTATTTTAACTATTCCATGTTTTAGCATGAATAAGTGATCATTGTATTTATTAAATGACTGAATTGAGTGTAGCAGTTAGTTACCATAATAATGTACCTTTATATCTATAATGCTTTGTTTCTGTTAAGATCTCAATTTCCTCACTAATATTTTGACATTTTTGTGGATAGCACTCGACATATGAAGTAAAACTAACAGTACAGAAAGCATGCATGTTGTGAAACCTGCTTTGTTGAGACACCAGCCTCATTAAAATTGCTCCAAGGCATCTCAACTGCCTCTCAAAATTCTAAAGACCTTTTTAAGGTGCACTTGAAACATCTAAAGGTTTTCACATGCTGGTTTTACTTCACATTAGTGAAGCAGTTGCCACTTTCTTTGTACAACTGGTGAGTATTTGTTTTAGATTCAGCTACTTGGAATAACAAGTTCCAAGTAGCATGGGCTGTGGTGAGCCCATAGTGGACTTAATGGGGAGTGGAAAAAGGATAATGTGATATGAAACACAACTGAAAATGATAAGCAGAGCTTGGTAAAATAGTCAGCATTTATTGACGGTATAATCCAAGTTGTACTGCATTTTAAGTTATTTTTAATAACTACCCTAGTTATTTTTGCTCTTGCACAATTTCATAAATTAGAAATTTGAATATCTCCCTATTATGCATATCATAATTGTTGTCCATTCCTGGAGCTTTTTTCTGCTTTTAATCTAGATAAAGTTGGTTTTATGTAAAATATAATATATTTTGTTAGGAATTTTTCAACCAGTTACATTAAGTGACAAGACAGTGATATTAAGACGACAGCTTCTTGAGTATACCTTTCATCGATTCATCGTCTCATAGTTATAAGGTGCTTTCACTTGATCAAATTCCTGTTATATTTACTGTTTTTGTCCATCCTGCTCCTTTTACTTTATTTTTTTATTTTCTTCTACAGTAATCAAATGGGTAATTTAATATAATCAAATTTTTAGTTATCCCACTTGGTTGCCCCCTAAGGTAACATTCTGCTGTCATGACATAGGGAGTCTTGCAGGGTAACCTTCCTGCAGGGGTCACACACATTGGTACTAGAGAGTACAGGATAAGATCATCCAGCTAAATTCACTCATAGAAGGTTCAATTTATACACATTCAAAGCCTTCAAGCATTTATACACATTCACCTCAAGCTTCAAAGAATACCTGGCGTGGGTTTCGGGAGTGTTTTTACTCCCCGAGCCCGGCATGGAGCCAGCACCAGTAATTAACTACTGGTGGGTTCATTTAGCTGCTTATCTATCCTGTAACCAGGTGACAACATCTTATCAACAATACACCATACCTCATTAATCCTAGTTATATTCCTGTAATTCAGAAATGTAAGGGGAAGTGGTGAACCTGATTAAAGATGGGTGTTTACGTCCATTGGAATTTTTGTGTAGGGGGCTCTTGCTTATAGATATTGCTTTCATGTGTTTGTGGGTAAAAGTCGTGGTGTGTTTCCCAGTTTGTTGCTTGTCTGTTCAGTCGGTGATGTATGGCAGTGGATTGAGTGTGCTATTATTTTACTGTGTTCTAGCTTGGCCTAGCAGGTAGGTGATTGGTGCCAAGTTTTGGATGCCCTCAATCTTGTGGGGGTGCAGATTATATAGTTTCCTACTATGTCCTCACCTTTTGTTGCAGAGTACAACATTAGGAAATGCCAGTAGCTGTTGCCTTGGCAGCAAGGCTTCTCTTCTAAATATAGTGAGTGGGGTGAACCTGGCTAAAATGTATTTCATTTGTGTATAAATATACAGTGGTACCTCAGTTTTCATATTTAATCCCTTCCCAGAAACGGTTCGAAAACCGAAAAATATGAAAACCAAAACGAGTTTTCCCATAAGAAATACTGTAAATTGACTTAATCCGTTTCACACCCCTAAATATATTAACTAAAATACATTTTATACAGAATAATACTCTTGGGAACCTTACTTTTATTGAGGATTCTTGGTGGTGTATGGAAGACAGGAAGTGGGGAGGAGGAGAGGTGTTAGTGTTTGGAAATGGAGTTCCTTTCCATTATAACAGCAGTGATGACATTTCTGGGGTACTCTCTCTCTTACGTTTTGCAGGCATACCTCTAGGACCTGGTTGTGGCTCACTACTTGCTTGTCTTAATAAGGATCTGTCTATAGGCACTTGTTTTTTCCCTATGTTTTAATACTTGTGAGACACATCACATTGTCTCTATGAATGATCTCTTGTTTTTCCTCTATCATCATCCTCGACTATTTTCATGGGTTGAACATTACCACTGACTTTCTTGGAATCCATGGCATGATATATAATAAGAACTTTTATGTTCAGAAACCAAAAAAGCACGAAAACAATGAAATTCTTCACAAAGAATTCAAACGCGATCATCACTAGGCGGGAGACACTGATAAACTGAAGTGCCAATGCTCGTTGGACCTGTATGTGTATAAATAAACTCTGAAAGCCAAGGAAAACAACGAGAACCAAATCTAATTTTTTTGAAGAAATTGAGCACGAGAACGGAAAAATACGAAAACAGAGGTTCCACTGTTTATTTAGGGGTTTATGCAGTACCGTATTATGAAGCACTTCAATTATCCACAATAAGGTGCAGAGTGAAGGGCTGAGCTGGATACTACGAGGTTTATGGTTATCCTCTTTTTTTTTTTCCATCTTGCATTTTCCATGTGTAACGTGTGGAGTTTGAGTGAATACTTGTTGGACCCTTCTTGGCACGCTACGTATGAAGCAGCTACAAAGTTGTGGACTCTTGAATGTGAGGATGTTACTCCCCCTTTGTCCCCAGAGGGTTAAGTATAGCGTGCTCAAACATCAACTAAACCTTTTTACTTTATTTCATTGGGAAGGAATAAGATTGGGGAATTTAGATGTCTCCCCCCGAGGTTTGTGATGTGTCTGTTGGTAGTCTCAATTTGCCTTCTCAGGAGAGTGGCTTAATGCAACTGTGTTGTTGGGTTTGGAGGTTGTTACTAATTTGTCTTTGGTTGGGATTACCTACCACAGGTGATGTAAGAGAACCTTGCTTGGTTCCTTCAACTCTTATTAGTCCTTAGTAAACAAGGGTTTATCATTGTGTCATAGGCATATTGTACCCTACTTCTCAATTTGGTTATGACATTTTCCTTCCTTAAGCCAGGTTCCTCCATCCTGCTACAGAAGGCAATTTTCAAACTAACTGTCAGTTTTTGCTGACTTGTTCCCTCCTGACACCTTTCTTTTTAAGAACCAAACCCATTTTTTTTTTTATAGTACTTCTGTCATTACTGGCTAGTATCAGATTCCTGCTTCATTCTGGCTTGCAAATAACTCATATTTGTGAAGAAATAGCAAATGTTTTTGTAAATTTGGCTATAGATTCTTAAGAATGTTTCCAGTTGTCAGTCTTTTTCACATCTTGGCCTTGTACATTACTATTTTGTCAAGATATTGTAAGATTTGGCCTTCCATCAGCTGCATATTCACATTACTCATTGACTACAACATTTTGTTGCTGCAAACTTGAAGGCATACGCTCTTCTTGTTGATGTCCTCAAACACCTGGCCTGTCAGCTCTTCTCTGCTAAACCTCAGTAGTAGTTTATTGGCTTAGTTGAGCTAAGGGAGATGTTGACTTTAATGTCTTTGTAGTAGCTGAGGCTATGCCCAAGTTGTTCATTCCAATCTTATGGAATTCAGGTAACAGGGGCATAGGGTGAAAGAAACTCTGCCCATTGTTTCTCGCCGACGCCCGGGATCGAAATGGGGACCACAGGATCACAAGTCCAGTGTGCCGTCCGCTCGGCCGACCGGCTCCCTTTCTATCTACCTACCTTTCAGCCTTTGCACCTGATGGTCAAGGTGAAAGCTGTATCTCTGATATTAACCCAAACACACCAAAGAGAATTTGTGCCCATGCACTCAGCCCTAATTAAATTGGAATTCTTGGAATTCCAATTTATAAAGGAATGTATAATATCAGTAGCATAGTGCTCATTCTAATATGAAGAAAAAGCTTTGATATAGGCGAGATGCCAAAAGCACTTAAATCAGAACTATCACATAAAATTATAGTGTTTGGAAATGATTAATAGTCAAATCTCCAGCTTTATGGAGGTTAATGAACTTATCGAAATAATCCAGGTCAACATTGATTTAGAGCAGGAAGAGCCTGCTTTTTGCAATTACTTAATTCGTGATAATACATAGCCTTCCCGGTTTGGTGCCTTCTTTTGATAATTACTTACTTACTTAATTCGTGATAAAGTCATGTATGCATTGCAAGAAAACAAAATGCAGATGTTCCATACATGTATTTTGGAAAAGCATTTGACAAATGTGATGTACAGTATTGGCATTGAGTGATATTTAGCACCTTTTGAATATCTAGCAACACAGCTGGTGCTAGACAGGTCTTTGTGGCTTGGCGCTTTCTTTTAGTAATTACTCGTGGGCCTACTTTTTGAAATGGTTTCCCTACAGAACAAACCATATTAATCTCTCATATTTTTTTCAATTAAAAATGGATTGAATATAGGTTTTCCCCTCTTAATTTAGTTTTGAATGGTGGAAAGATGTTCAAAGTTGATATAGTCTTAAATAATGTAGACAATTGTAGTAAATGTTTGTCAGGATAGGTGAAAATTGAACATGGTTGATTCTGAATAGAAGTGGAAGTTTATTTTTTGAGAGAAGTATAAGTGTGTGTGTTGAGATGTGATATTTGGCTTTATATTACATTGCTCTAGATAACATGCAGTGGTGTATGGGCTTTTTAATTCTTGCTTGCATTGTGGATCATTCAAGATGTAATAATAATAAGGTAATTGCTTCTTTTTTAACTCATTTTTGGTTTCCATGATTTGTGTTGCTTCTTAGGCATATTCAGTCTTCATTCAGATCATAACTTTTGTTGCACCTTCACGAGAATTTGCTGACTCTTGTATTGAGACAGCGTTCGTTATTTTCACCTACTTTTATTTCTTGGAGATGTGGTTTTCTTGCTTATAATTTTGTCTGTATACTAGTTTCAGTGATGGTTACTCCATAGTGTAGCTGTCAAGCCACTGTGCATAATTCATTGGCAGATATTTTATTTCTACACACTGTAAAAATAGTGTGATATAAATTATATCTGGATTCTTTTAAATCAGCCGTCGCCAACCGGTGGTCTGCGAGACAATTTTATTTGTATATTGTAACTATTTTCTTTAACTGTTATATTTAATGGCATCAAATAGTTTGACTTGAATAACTATCATTTCTTGTTTGGTGGGATCGCAGGATCTAAATTATGAGTTTGGTGATCAATGAGCTCCGAGAGGTTGGCGACCACTGCTTTAAACAACCTATTTTGATCACAGAAATTTAAATAAATCTGAAAGATTGTTGTATCACTTTCATTTTTACATTTAATAACTAATTTTTTATGAACATTTTACCACAGTAAAATGCTCATAAAAAATTTGTTACTTTCAAAGGTTCTATTTCCAAAGTACTGCTGTAATGTGTATCATGGTTTCCTTTAAGAAATGTCTTGACTAGTTGAAAGGGAACAAACTGTACTGTACAGTATATAGAAGGTAAAAGTTGCAAGTACACCATGCAGGTAAAGTTCAACATGTGTTTGTTGAATGACCTTTTCAAATACTCATTTCAAAATCTGCTTAGTATCAACATCAATAACTCTTTGGTTGCATTGAGATCAGCAAAGCACCTTTCTCTTGATTTATCTGCTATGTTTAACCTCCATTCATGTGCCTTGTAAAATGTTTCCAAGTCATGTAATGTTTGACTAGGCTCTTTAATCTTCTGGACCATCACCACTGAATAGACGCAGAAGAAACAGCAGTTTGGGAAGAAGGAAAACAGAGGATGTCTCCTTAAAAAAAAAAAAAAAAAAAAAAGCTGTGAGGATGGGGACGGAAGACTACCAAACTTAGAGAATGGTAGACATAACCCACAAGGCCACCCTTAAAAATGCTTGCGTAGGATCCTGTTGATACAAGCAGGCAGTCTGAAGTCGGGTAAAACCAGGCCCCCCACCCCAAAGGCCCTAGCAGAGCTAGCCCCAATAGTGAAGAAAATTATGCCAGCCATGGGAAAATGTCCCTCATCAAAAGCAAGAGGAGAGTGCCCAGCAGGAGTGACATGGGTCTTTGTGGAAATTCAGTTGCCACATGATCCCTGACATGTGGGGGCAGCCCTGTGGTGTCAGTACAGTAGAGTCCCATGAACAAACTACAATATTACACAATTATAAGTTATTATTTAAAAGGCAATTGCTAACAAAATAAAGCACTATTTATTATTATTTTCTAGTAAAGGCAGGACAATAAAAATATATAAATATGGGTTATTTCATTGGGCAAGTTTACCAAGAGTGCTTGACACCATAGTCTGACTTACTGAATGTCCATTAGGAAATACCTTCTGGTCCTCCTGAAGTTCCAGCCCACAATGACCCTCCCAGGTATATTTCAGGGTATGAAAAACTTGCACCAAATTGTATAGTATTGCACTGTATCACTGACCAGTTTCTGTAACTTTGAAAGCCTAGTTAAACTTTTTTTTTTTTTTTTTTTTTTAGGCCATTAACGATGTGAGATATAGCATGGATACACTTGTCCTTGGCTGTATACCAAAATTGCAATTGCTCTCCTCTCAATTACCATTAAGACTTATTCCCTGTTCAGTGCACCATATTGTACAGATTTCCCCAAGCAAGCATTTCTCTTTTCAAACCATGTCAGGTTTTAATTTTAGTTCTGAAATGTCCAAGATTTTAACATGGTTAATACCTTATATTTATACAACAGCATTTATTAAAATTATTTTATTTTTCAGGTTTATTTAATTTTCCTTTAGTAATTTGTAAGATTTGTTGTATATCAAGTGTGACACCTGGTGGCATACCATAGCCCTCTTTCAAACCTTGAGGATTTGAGGGAGTCACACAGTCGTGATGGGGTTCTTTTCGCAACACCTGATCTATATCGACACCACTGAAGAATGCAACCGATTGTGGCAGATCTTTAAAACCCAACCTGTTAAAATAGAACAGATGCCTGAACAGTTAGTGCAATGAAAACAACTTCAGAATGATTAAAATACAGGAAGCTGTGCATGATGCATTTACAAAAATGACTAATATGGGATTGGGCCCAATTACTACATTACTGGACTAAAAGTTGACACAATAGGAAAAAGACAGTATTAAGAGTGACACCTAACTTAATCCTCCACACATTAGCAGAGTGATATATGCCATCACAGTAAAATATCCACAACAATTTCTCGGCAATCAAAATATGATCTGCGTAAAAATATTACTGTATATCATTCATTACTCATAATTAATCTACTTTCCCTCAATTTTGTGCATTGTTCATAATTCTCATGATTTTCATAAATATCATTTAATCTTTCACTCCATCCCTTCAGCTCTCTTTAATGCAAATATGAAATAGTTGAGTCAATTTTCAATGTTATGAGGCACAAACTTTTTGTCTATCCTTTTACATTGCTACTATTGTACTGCTTGTTTGTCCTCCCCCTCCTAGTACCTTACACACCAATCGCACTGCCTCTAATGCTCTCATCTTTTTCCCTCATAAAACATCAGCACTTGACACCCATCTGTCAATAACTTTTTGTAGTTCTTCCTCACCTTATTGCACTTCCCACTTTCCTTTACTTACATTTTAATCTTTGCTTCCTTTGCAAATTCCTGATATACCTTACCTTGCAATGATTTCGGGGCTCATTGTCCCCATGACCCGGTCCTCAATTAGGCCACCTAAGGATATTCACATATCCTAGGTATTTATACTGTACTAATTAATTGATTTCAGTACTTCTTCATTTACTATTTCATATATAAATTAAACTTATTCTCTTCTGAACTATTTTAGTTGTACAAATATGAATTTGTGCTCGTCAAGATGAGTACAAGTGTGATACCAGAGCAGTGAGAGGAGTACTGGAGGATTCTCAGATCACATGTTGATGCTGTACAAGATAATCTAAAGTGATAGAGTGTGATCACATGTCACAATTATCTAAAAAGTGAAAGAAATATAAGTTGAACATTTGAGTATGAGATGACAACAAAGGAACAGTGTTGATAGTGATGTTAAGAGATCATGAGCAAATGAACCTTAGTAATATGAGGGATATGCTGAAGGAATGTTCAGTTAAGACTGCTAAATAAATGTGTGGAATTGCACACATTTGTGTTAGAAGAATGAGAGTAACTGTTTGATGGGATAAGGAAATGGCAAGAACAGTCCATTTTATGGAGACAATGAGGTTAGAATACATTGAGTGTTTATTATAACTACACTTTTGCATCAATTATACTAAGTTCCATCCATCTAAATCTCTGATGTCTTGTTCTCTGGAAAACTCTCCATTGCTGAAAATTAGAAGCAAGACACTAAATATTTGTGGTAATGAACTGCATTCTTAATTTTTTTAACAAAGAAATTTACTAACCTCAGTGCAAAGAGTGAGCGTGTGAGAAGGTTTGTAATCTGGAGAGCTAGAGCAGCTCGATAACAATCTTCTGATGATACCAAGTAGCGAACCTAAAATGGAGAATCTTTTTAAAATACTGTACATAAAAAAGTACTGAAGTGGGATACAATATAATACATATAATAAAGTTAAGAATTATAATAAGGTTTACAATCAAGCATTATAAAGGCCTATTATAGATAATGTTAAAACATTTCACATTCTTGCACATATTTTCTATTTCATTTCTGGTATAAGTTGTTCATAAAATTACTCATACTACCAGTACACAAATTCTGTAATCTTCCCGTGTGTATTCATTATTACCATGTACTGTAATATCTCTTCTACCTTTGAGTAAAATCTGCAACACAGAACTTTATTTCATTAACCTACCTCTTAACCAAATCTAACAACTATTTTTTAAAATAAAAGCCCTCTCTGGTGTAATGTACTCGTCATAGATAACCAGATGGACATTTTGTCCTTTCCATTGACTTCTCTCATAATGACTCTTCCCCTTTAGAATCTTCTGATCATAACTTCATCTTGTGTTGCTCTATTATGTGTACTCCTTCAAACTACAAATTCGCAAACACTGGCACACCTATTTTGCTGGCTGAATAAACTTTAGGAATTGACATCAAAGGTTTCCATGGGAGTACTTTTGGCCTTGGAGTAGTAATGGCCTTGTCTTTTAGGAAACAAGTGTGCTGATTGAAATAAAAAGATCATTATTGCTGTAGAATAGACTTGCATTCCATTTCTTTTACCTAATATTGTCCTTCACCTCTACATCATTGTTTGGCAGCTCATGTGCAAATGCCACTTGGCAATGGAACACTTCAAATCCTGATAATAGTCCCCCCTAGGTTAACCATTCTATATTTACTGTACACAATATGCTATTTCTGCAAGGAATCATAAAATCTAGTAGTGCAGAACACAACTTCCTTAAATTGAGTGAATTATTATCATTAATCAATTCCAAACTTTCCTTTAATTTCTTGCTAAAAATTAGGGTGCTATATTGATCTTTTTTTGTCAGTCTTTCTCTCCGTCTCTATTTAATTACAATGAATCTATAACTGCTTCAGAAAACCCCATTTCCTGCTGCCTTTCACCCTCTTTTTTTTCTTAACCACTTTAGACAATTTCAGTTTTTGTGGGTAATTTTGCCTTTGTTACAATTTAATTCTATATTTGTATAAAACTGACCATTACCTAAATATGCTGTATTATTTTATTAACATTTAATATGAACTGCTATTACCAACATAAAAATGCAATCTTACCTCATCATGAATGCTAATACATAAACGTCCTTTAATTTCATATTTTGTAAAGAGCCATCGCATGGAAACCAACATTATGTGAAGATAATCCACAGCTGAAAATTAATAATAAAATAATAATTTCTTTTTGACTATATAAAATACTGTATAATAGCCAGATTTACTGGTATGTCTCAAATTACAGTACATCTCACTATTAAAACTAGAGCATTGTATACAATAAGAGAGACATGTACTGTTTCTGAAGTCTATGAAGTGCAATTCTTGGAGGAATCTTTCAAGTTCTAATACTGAAGTGTAAAAGTGATAAGAAATATACGTTCCTGAAATTCAGCAGGTCAAATCAGAGTATGGCAGTGTACAGATACATAAAAAGTTATCAAATTTGAGTAATTAATATATAACTAACCTGAGCTTTGTACAACCCAGTTCACTCGACTTGTCATGAACTGGTTATCAACATAGTGTGGTTCAAGTGCTCGAGTTATTCTCCCACCAAGTACTGGTGTCTTCGGTGTCTCACACCTAGCAATAGCTTCCAGGCAGTTGAACATATGAGACTCTGAACCTCCAATCCAGACAAAAGGTTTTGCTACTACATCGTTAAAAGTGACCTCAATATTGTTCCGTCTGGCTTGCCACAACAGTTTGTTTATCTAAAAATTAAAATATTAGTTTGACAGTATTCACTGTATATAATAGTCAAAGTTATATCTCGCACAACTACAATTTACATGAAAAAAAACAAATCCACAAGGGCCGTGATGAGGATTCGAACCTACGTCCAAGAGGATCCCAGACGTTGCCTTAATCAACTGAGCTACGACATGGTTAAAAGAATTGCAACCGGGAAATCATCCTGATTTACCAACAGATCCTGCAGTCTCTCTGAGACACAAACCAGGGTTTTACGCAATTCCCCCATGCACTCGAGCTATGTCAATAGGCTGCTCTACCTCTTCCATGTTACAATTTATTGTATGTTACAATTTACATACCTCATTTAAACTCAATTTTTATCTAATACTATGTCACCCAATTGAAATAGTTAGTCAAATCCAGGAAGCAAACATTCAAACAACAACCTCACCTGCCACCTAGAGGCAAGCCCAGCATCTCAGGCCACCCTATGGAGAAGGAAGAAAAGGACAAGACTAGGGGGTACTGAGCCACATATCATTACATAGAGGCCTGTCATTACACTTAACACTTTCTGAGTAAACCCTCTCAATAGCTACTCTTGCTCAGTTCTACAGTATCTCACAGAGGGCACAATATTTTCCTTGAATTAAATTAGTACAGAACTGCAGAAACATAACTTAAGGAGAGCTTACCCATGGAAATGAGATATTTACTAAAGTCATAAAACAATTACTATGTAATTCAATCACATCCTTGAAGAAAGCAATACGAACCACATACAAAACACAGAGCTAGGTGTTATTTCAATATGTAGACAACGAACAGCTAACTCGCAAGAAAGCTCTACTCTCCATTAACAGACTTTTGTAGTGGAAAACAAGTTCCATGCACTTCCAAGAGGCAAGGAGACTTGAGGAGCCAGCTCGTGGAGAAGGGCAGGGAAATTCAAGCCAACCAGCCACAAAGGGAATGCTGGCATAAAGTTAGGTGTGGGCTGGCAAGAAACTCTGGATGGCCTGTGCTGTCATCTGATGGCACACTGGCACAACCGGATCATTATGCTTATATCACATCAGCAATCTTTTGACAAGTTATCTTTAAGTGCCTACTTTTCATCCTGCCGTTTTTAATTTTGTTGTGCCTATGCTTTCCGGTAGATTTACTTGGAGAAACTGTAAAGCTCTGATTCCCAGCTTCACTGCATCATCAAGGAAACAAGATTCTGGTGTTGGCTCCTGGTAGGTAAGGGCAGGTCTCAGAGGTTTGGTGCATTTCCCTAAAGCAAGGGAAATGCCTCGTAGAAACAAAATTATTGTATTTTCTCATGCACATCAATTTTCTAAAATCATGCTCTTTTTATGTCTAATAAGACTACTAATGCTCTTCTCATATTTACTACTAATCAATATTGCTCTCATAATTGTGACCAAGTTTTGAAGAGGAGGCATGAACATAACATACAATATTGTATATGGAGATAAATAAACAAAGTGGACAGGTACAACCTTCCTCAATTCTGAGAAAATAGAACAAAATGACATTAGCTAATTTGCAAATATAAATTTTGCTATAGAGTTGTTAGAAAAGACTCGAACACTGTGCATGACCAACAAATTAAATGCACTGAAAGACGTGGAAGTCACCTCCATTCATAGCTCGAAGAGCAAATACACTACAACAATGAAATGATGTCAAGAATATTAAAAAAGCACCTGGTACAAATAGCTAGGAGGGGATAGGACCCAAAGAGCTAGATACTCTTGCCCCAATGACACTAACAGGTAAATACAGTACTGATAGTTATGCACTGAACTTTGAGTGCTTTGAAATTTACCGAGCATCACAACACATTACAAAATGAATATTCTATGGCATAGGTATACAAAATCTGGTGTGACCTATCATAATAATGTCTAAGACAGAGACTCTCCCTTCTTTTATCATCAAATTGAAATCAATTTCTAAACAAGTTTTACAGTCTGTTAATACTTGCTATGCCTCCTTGTAGATACAATGGCAGCATATATACTGTACTGTATTTAATTACCTGTTTATGGCATAAAGCTTCTCCAGTGTAAGGATAATCCATTTCCATTGCTAACTCTTCTCCTTTTCCATTCAAGAACCAGCCTTTTTGTCCTTTTGTTGCAGCAAATAAATTTTCAGCCCGTGCATCAATTTCTTTTTCTGACAACTTTGGATTGAACTGCTTCAGCAGTCTCTTAATAAAACGGAGTCCTGCACCATAAATTCGCCCGTAGTTAATTATCTGAAAAAAAGTAAAATAAAATGAAAGTATATTTGTCTCTCCCTCCAAAGATCTCCTTACCAATAGGTGTCTCTAAACAATAGACAATTAACCAAAATGCAGTCCAGTAAAATTAAAACAAATATTGACTACTGTACTGTATTTTTTCTAAGTACAGTATTATATAGAGTATTTTGTAATTAATGTTTAAAAGTACAGTACAGGGGTACCTCGGTTTAAGAGTTTAATCCGTTCCTGGAGACAACTCGTATTCCGAAAAAATGTAAACCGAAGCTAATTTCCCCATAAGAAACAATGGGAAATGAATTAATCCGTTCCTGACTACCCCAAAAACCTCACTTCAAACTAAATTTTATACCTAATTCATCGAAATATACACTACCAAAGTATGTTAAAGTTATTATTTACCCTTGCTGATGACTGCTGTTGGTGTATGGAAGATGGTGAGGAGGAGAGGTGTTACTGTTTGGAAGGAAAGTCCCCTTCCATTATAACATCAGGCAATGAGGACCTCTCTGGAGTGCATTCTCTGGCATGTTTTGCCTGCATACCACTAGGTCCTGGTTGTGGCTCACTGCTCGATTTTCTCACAACAAAGCGGTCCATTGATGATTGTTTTTCCCTTCTTCACAAGATGTTTCTGTAGTGAGGCATCACATTGTCATTGAAAATATTAATGCAACGGCCTACTACAGCTTTCTCTGGGCAAGTCGTTTCAATAAAAGTTTGCATTTCTTCCCACATCTGACACCACTTCTTAATAGTTGCGGAAGGGACATTCGCTGCTGCCTCATCCTCTTCCACTGGAGAAACATCCTCAGCCGAGTCTACTTCTTGTTCCTTTTGAAGGGCTAGGAGTTCTTCGGTGGTCAGTTTTTCGTTGTGTTCTTCCACCAACTCCTCCACATCACCACCATCCAATTCCAAGCCCATTTGCCAGCCCAGAGTAACAATTTCCTCAACAATAGGCACATCATTTACAGGCTCAAACCCCTCAAAGTCTAGTTCTGTCACACACTCAGGCCACAATTTTCTCCAGCCAGAGATCAGGGTTCTTTGAGTCACTTCTTGCCAGGCTTTGTCAACGAGTTTTAAAGCACTACAAATGTTAAAATGGTGTTTCCAGAACTCTTTGAAGGTGAGCCTTATGGCTTCAGTCACTTCAAAACATTTCCGGAAAAGTGCCCTTTCATAGTTTCTTAAAATTCGCAATGATTTTCTGGTCCATAGGCTGAATTAGAGGAGTGGTGTTAGGAGGAAGGAACTTTACCGTGAGAAAATTACTGTATCTGTGCAACAATTCATCTTCCAAGCCTGGAGGATGAGCAGGAGCATTGCCGAGGAGAAGCAGCCTTGAGTGGCAAATGTTTCTCCTGCAGATATTTTTCTATGGCAGGGCACACCACTTCCTTCACCCACTCCAAAAAAAAAAAATTCCTAGTCACCCATGCTTTACTATTAGCCCTTCACATCACACACATTTGGTTTTCTGCACTTTATACTACTGTATTTGAAAACCCTTGGATTTTCAGAATGATACACAAGCAAGGGTTTAATTTTCAAATCGCCACTCACATTTGAACACAGCACAAGCGTAAACCTATCTTTCATAGGCTTGTGTCTGGGCAATGATTTTTCCTCCTTGGTAATGTAAGTCCTCTTAGGCAATCTTTTCCAGAACAGTCCTGTCTCGTCACAAACACTTGTTGCGGTAGGTATCCCTCAGCCTCTGCAAACTCTTTAAATTCTTCAATAAATCTTTCAGCCGCTGGTTTGTTTGAGCTGGCAGCCTCCCCATGCCTCACAACACTATGAATACCACTTTATTCTAAATTTTTCATACCATCCCCTGCTTGCCTTAAAGTCTATCATATCTGCACCGTTCCAGGGGTTTTCTTTACAAGGTCTTCGTGCAATACCCTGGCTTTCTCACAAATGATGGCCTCTAAAACACAATCACCCTTTAACTCCTTGTCGTGTATCCAAATTAATAACAACTTTTCCATTTCCTTAAGTATTTGTGGTCTTTGTTTCGTGATTGTTCTTACGCCTTTAGCCACTTTAGCACTCATAATGTCCTTTTTCTTGGCAAGTATAGTGCATATCGTTGACGTGGCTTTGTTGTACTGTCTACAAAGTTCAACAACACGTGTACCATTTTCATGCTTCCGAATGATCTCTTGTTTTTCCTCTATTATCATGCTCACATGCGCTTTCTTGCCTTGATCCTTACCACTGGCTTTCTTGAGACCCATGGTGAAATATATAACAACAACTTTTATGGTCAAATGGCCAAATATCCAACAAAACACTGTAAATCCTGGTGAAGAATTCAGGCGGGATAGTCACTGGACACGAGGCACTGGTAAACTGAAGGGCGATAGCCGTGTCACCACGCGCTAGGTCGGCCTGCACTTGTATCAATACCCTCGTCTTCCGAGGCAATGCTCGTATTCCGATGTAAATTTTCTGAGCAAATCCTGCTCGTATTCCGAGGTACCACGGTACTGTAGTGGCAAATAAAATAACAACAATTCTCTCAAGTATAAGAGTATAATGACACAACACCTATTTTGTTTTATAGACAAGCCTCACAAAACCATAATTTCCAATAATCTTATCCTGAATTTTATATTGTTAATACCGTAATTCCCTGATTTCTGCATTCATCCATGTTTCTGCAAGTGCAATAATATCTATTGATTCTGTGCATATAATAGTACTAAATTAATCTATTTTATTTCTAACACTCCTGCTGTTTGTGTACTACACCATTTGGGAGTTATGATTATGCATGTGTCCACTTGCATAAACATAACCTTGCATTCATTTTTTCCCAAATTTTTGTTTCCATTTTTGTGTTCTGTTCCCATAATGTATTGGGACAACTATTATTATTCACATTCACATCCAGACCTCTAATCTTTAAGTTTTAAGTTATGCTAACAGCTACTTCCAACAAGTTCACTAAAGTCTAAGGTCAACAACGTACAGTATTTCTAGATAGGTGCGCTACATCTCTCTCATACACAGTTCTTACCAATGAACAAGTCCCAGTTGTTGAATGACATTTCATTATCAAAACAATGCCTTTTAAGTCAGCAATTTATCAGACATCCACTTGTCACCAATACTGAACCTTGGACAAACTCCACATAAGGCAGAAATTTCCCTCCCTTTTTCCTAATCATATCTAGAGCTAATTTGAATCTACTGTATTATTAGTCCTTTACTTCAACTCAACATCATTTATTCCAACCAAGAAGCTCTTTCCCATTTCCAAACAAAATGTTGCATTTGTTGCATATTCATATTCTGTCCACTATGTCACCACTTATACCAGCCCCAGGAAAACACACACTCATCCTTTTATGTGCATTCTTCAAACAGGAAGTGCAGTCTACATCTCACCAACAACCAAGATTTCCCTTCCTTTCTTGTTGAAACACTTCATCACCCTAGTTGCCGGATCCTTGGTTATATTCTTCTGCAGCACAGGTTGAATGTTTCCATTGTCGGGTGCACTGCTACCACCCTCAAACGATTGTCCTCCAATGCAGTGAATGCAATGGAGGTCTTCTTTGCAGACACTAAGTCTTCTTCACAGCTTTCCTAAGCTTTTTACCATCTTGTTGTAATATACAATTTCTTAACTGCTTCACCTTGTGCCTCAATCTTTTCAAATCTGTCCACGGGGCAGCACACAGCTACACTAATTTATGCACTAAACTCATCTTCATCTTCAATAAGACAAGGCAAGTACAGCAGGTTAAAGTGAGGTAATAATTCCTAGTCAAGATCCGTCCTACTAGAGAGTGGGGGGGGGGACCATCAGGGAAAAGTGCCAAGCCATTACAACTATATAGCACTGGGAAGGGATAAGGATATGGGATGGGACATGGGGAAGGAATGATGCCCAACCACTTGCGACAGTCAAGGATTGAACTCCGACCTGCATGAAGCAAGACTGTCGCTCTACTGTCCAACCCAAGTGGTTGGGTTCTGTCCTACTAGATGAAGCCAAAGCAGCAACCTCCCTTTAAAATATGCCTCAATCATGAGGGAACACTTGCCGATACTGTACTAGCCTTGTTAGGTATATTTACCCAGAACTTCTGTACTTACTCAAGCCTTAAGGAGGAGGGATAGTCAGAAGCTAGACAACCAGCACCACCAAAAGCGGAGCCTTAACCTAACCTTGTCTTACCTCTCTGATGGAAAAAGGCTAGTGATCCCTCATGGGTTCATAATTCTACTGTTCCCATTCCAAAGCCGAAGAAGAGACAGAAGAATGAATGTTGAATAGAAACCTATTAGAAGAATGACAGAAGAAACAAAAACATGACTTAACCATAAGGTATTCAAGAATAAATACCTAATAAGGAACAATGATACTAACCTTGGCATGGTCTCTTGATATCCCTGCATTCTTTGCCGTGCGACTGTGCATGTCTGTCCCGTCACTTTTTTTGCCCTGTAATGTCATCCAGCCCAAAGCAGTAGCTCCATGCTCACCAGAAAAATATGCATCACCAAGTACGGCAGCAATCCATAACTCCTGAGAGTCTACATCAGCACCAACAAATTTATAACCTGCAATAAAAAGCAATTTGAATTTAATGGAACATCCTTTTATGTTGTACCCTCAGTAGCTCCTTGATCTTAGCTCTGATACCATCAAGCCTTAGCTAAACACACCAGGCCTCGGAGACCCATCTGTCACCTACCAGAAGTCAGGAGTAGATTCTGGCTTACTATGAGGCAATGGGGGGCTTAGGGACCAGAGATCATCCCAATACTGAGGAAAACCCAACAGAAAGTATAGATGCAACAAAACAAGAGACTGCTTGAAGGAAATAATATAAACAAGGCAAATGATCATTGTTGTAGGGGTAAATATCTTAATCGTGATGTGGCCAATCACAACTAGATGGCAGCTCAAGTCAACTGGGGTCTTGGCCAGTCTACCTCTTCATTCTGGAACCAGATCTGCAAAACCCAACAACCTACTGGGCTACTGGGATCCCAACAAAAATAGGTTGTTTCATTATACTCAATGCTCGATTCCTGGGAGGGATACAAGTCCCTGAACTTTCTCACATCCTTCCTGAGACAATTAATGTTCCACAAAAAATGGAGGGAGGGGGGGTGTCCTTTGACAAGATGCCAACTTCTTGTTCCTGTTAAAGCCACTAAAGATGATGACCCTCGGGTAAATTCAGGTAAAAAACAGGAAAAATAATTTAAGTGGCATAGAACTGGTGACCTTACCTTACCACTAGTATTTTGCTATTAATATTTTTGAAACAAAAAATTACAGGTAATTACCTGGAGGTGCTTCAATCATAGCCTTCAGTTCTGATCCAATGCGATCTGCATAAGCATTAGATGCAGTCATCCAAGTACGTTCCACTGCACGTCGAGTGATAGTTCCTGCAACCACCACCATTGGCAAAATAGCTCCATATTTGCCATCTTGTTTAAAACCATCTGCATCAAAACAACATAAAGATATATGAGATGAAATGTAATGGTACATATTAATAAAATATTTAGATTTTACTGTGTATACACAAAAAACCAGTGCTACTTTAATAACAAAAATCAGCAAATAACAATGACTGCAGTGGCTCAAAAGATTAACAAATGACAATGACCACATTCTGAGTTAAAATTTGTGATAAAAAGTATTTTTGTTTTGATTTGTTCATTAGCTAATTTTTTCTGACCCACCAAGGATTCCAGTCCAATTTGATCCATTTGAGTAAGGGTTCCACTTTATACCTTTGGGAGGAGCAAAACAGCAAGTCAGAATACACCATAACAAAACTATAAGGTATACCTAGGTTGACACTAGCCTACCAGAGATACTGTACCTAAAAAGCATTACAGTCCTTACAGAACTTCGTCTACATGTTAAACAAAATTTTTTTTAAGAACCCTTACCTGCTGAGGTAATAGATGGTGGCAAGGAAGAATGATCATTCCAAATAACCATTTGGGACAGTATACGGTCTCTATTATTCTTCCAGTAGGACAAAATTTTATTAGTCTTCAGAACAAGCTCTGCAATGTCTCCAAAGTGGCTACTTAATGTCTTGTCTTCAATTTTATTAAGAAAATCTTTAGCTAATGGATTTCCAACACGGTTTTTGGCACCATCTTTGTGTGGTAATGAAACAAAGCCAACACCAGGAATGCCAATGTCTATTAGATTCTCTTTTTGGACATTAATTTTTGTTACTGTTTTTGATTTATAGCTTTGAGGATTATTTTCTATAAAAAATAACTTCCAGTCCTCTTCAGTTTCTAGTAAATTGCACTTCTCTATTTCCTCCTGTTCAATGTTATTGTGAATTTCAGAATTTCTGTTAGAGTATATTTCATAAAAAGCCTTCACAGGGAATTCTATTGTACTGTCAGTAGTGCTATCAAGTGGAGGAATATCAGAGGCAGGTACTTCAGCAATATTTCTATACAAAGGTTTCAGATAACCCCATCCATATTGTCTTTCATAATGAAGAGGAAACCCATTCCAGGTGAGTCTTAGCAACTTTGGTACAATTTGTAGACTAGTGCTCATATTTTCTGGTTCTGGAGTGCCTTCTCTCTCACCAGTACGTGCACAGAGCTTCCTATACCAGTTTGGATATCCACATAGTTTTTTCACTCTTCCTTTAGGCACTGACCAGTCAAGGTTCCACAACCAGGGGTCCTCTTTATATTTCTTGTCCTCCATAAAACCTAGAGCTGCTTGAACTTGCTTCACTAGCTCCTCATTTAACATTCCTTCTATGTGGTGGAACTCTGTTTCTGCTGCTTTAATATATTTATTCCAATTTTCTGTAACTGGAAGGAAAGTTAATCCCATTTCTAACATTCCTGAAAGTGTAACAGGATGTGGGAATCTTTCAAAAAATATTGGTAATAGTTTAACTAGGACCATGTGAGTTGCTTTCACATCATTGGCACAATAATTCATGAGGCTTTGAAATTCACTGTAAACATCATTCAAGCTGCCTTTCACAAATACATCTCTAGTACTTTTTTTAAGATCTGCATTACAATAAAACTTGTAAACTTCAGCAAGACTATTCCGACATCCAGCAAGCATCCATGGTAACCTGACTTTTTTATCACTACTTATATTTTTCATCAATAATGCACGCTGCTCCGAGACTAACCCACTTGAAGATATGTGTAGTGACATCGTATCTACAAACCGCAAAGATGATCCTTCCAGCATATATTGTTCACGAACTCTGATACGATCATAACTCACATTATGTCCAACAACCACACGAGGAACATCTCTAGTCTTAAGATCCAGAGAACCCAAATTGCAAGATGACTCAAGTGGAATAAGGTCCTCTAAGCTAACATTATCACTGTGTGTACTGTGAGGATTCATTAAGCGATTGCTGCACCAAGAATACCAATATTTATCAGATGCAGCTGTGGCTAATACAGGGTGATTCCCTTCACGCACACAAACCTCCACATCAAAAACAATGGCACGACAGTCAGGGAAGTCTACGCGTGAATAGCTACCATCAGAATTGTAACGTGTCCAGCCTGGAGTCAACTGCCAAGTACTGGGTAAATGAGGAAGGTCTGTGCCTACCAAATGATTTAACAAATCTTTATATGGAGCACATTGCTCTTCTGCAACAATACGGAAATGTTGGTCTAAATCCTTATCTTCAAACATAGGCAATTCGAGGTCATAATCTGGAAGGTCAGATGGCTCACTGTTCCATAAACCATGAACTTGTAAATGATCTTTACTCCTCTGAAAATCTTCTTGAGCTTCCTGATGACCTTTAGGGGTGACTCCACTAAATATCTGATTAGCAAGGCAAACGGAGAGTGTCTGAACACCAAGTATATTCTTACAGTATGACAAAGAATGCTGTCTAGTAGGGAATTCATTTACAGGTAAAGTTTTACATCTCTCTACAGTATCAGCAGTTTCTTCAACTTTACAATTTTCTTTTAATGCCTCTGAAACTTTAAAGGAAATTTCACTTTCTTTGCTTGTTCCCGTTGCTTCTGCATCAAGCTCCAGTGACTTACTGCAATCATTTGAATTTGTCACAGGGAAATTTAACTTTTTACTAACTGAATATTTTTTTGCCTTAAGTATTACTTTGCAATCTTGTTTTCCACTTTTCAGAACAATAAGCTTCTTCTTATTTGTTAAATTATCATTTGAATAAGATTTGTTCCTGTTGAGAGTGATTTTATGTCTAGATTTATTTCCAAGAGATATTTCTTCTTTAACTCCATATAATTTTTCTTCAGATACAAATTTCATAGATTCATTGGGAAGAATATAATTAACCTTTTCTCTGCCAGTGTTATCGGTTGTGTATACTTCTTCACCTAAACTTTTTAGTACTTCCTTTACGGATGTAATTCCAATAACATGAGATTGCTCGTCTTTATTTGTATTCACAAACTCTGATGCTTGTTGCTTGACCAAACTACTATTAGAATTTAACAATTTGAGCTCTTCTGCATGTGATTTATGTACTGAATTTTCTCTATTAAACATTGTGGATTTACCAATATCTTTTGAATTAAAAGATAACTGACAATTATTTGTTTCTGAAAACTCGGAGGTATTAGTATCTTTATTTTCAGGATAATTTGTATTATCTGTGGGTTTCTTGCAAGTTGATCTATACCGATGTAAAATGTAGTTAAGGTTTACATAACTAAGACACTGCCAACCATTAGCTTGAATACCAGGTGAACACAGCACACAGCGCACACATGGAAATTTTCTGAGCTGCAGCACAGCAGCCATAATGTTCCTTCCCATTTTACCTGAAAAATAAAATGAATAAATAGAAATACTGTACTGTAATATAGTGATGAGCATAATGAAACCCCCTTTCTGAATGGTCTTCTGTAATTGAATGTAAACAAAATTCAGAATTTTTTTTTAATTTATATATACAAGAGTTCTTACATTCTTGTACAGCCACTAGCACACACAGCATTTTGAGCAAGTCCTTAATCCTAATTTTCCCTGGAATACAATCCGCCAAATCGTTTAACAACCAGGTACCCATTTTACTGTTGAGTAAACAGAGGCAACAATTAAGGATTGGTGCCCAGTAAATCCTCCCTGCCCAGGATACGAACCCAGGCCAAAGTGCTCGCGAAATGCCAGGTGAGTGTCGTTACTACTTCGCCACAGGGACTGCCATGGTGAAATATGTAACTGGCTCACCAGAGATGTAAACTGCTAAATTTAGAGAATTTTATGGTCCAGTTTTTTAACCAACTGTGCTATAACTGTTGATATATTATATATTATGCATATATATGTAATATTATATATATTATGACTCCTTCTGATGTCAGTACACACACACATTAAGCTATATAACTAGCTTGTCAAGATTGCATGTAACCCATTCCGTTGCATATTAGAGCTGAAGAAACTGTGGGAGGCCTAATGGCTCATGTGATTGATTAATTTGTTGATTTGTTCATTATGTACTCCATACCCATCCCGTGGGTGGTAGTGGACAGCCCGTTCTCGCACTTGCTTACTGTCAATATTGGCTTATTTAATAAGTGCATATGTGACATACTAATTGATTGTGAATATTTTAGTTTACCTTGAAAAGCTTCATAGAAAACACCGACCTCACCTAACCTTCTTAGTATGTTAAGATAAGCATCTTATTGCTTCTTATTTACAATTACTTAACCTATCAACGGTATAGGTTAAGTAATAATTGTAATTAAGAAGCAATAAGATGCTTATCTTAACATACTAAGAAGGTTAGGTGAGGTCGGTGTTTTCTATGAAGCTTTTCAAGGTAAACTAAAATATTCACAATCAATTAGTGAGTCGCATATGCACTTATTAAATAGGCCAATATTGACTAAAAGCAAGTGCGAGAACGGGTTGTCCACTACCACCCACGGGATGGATATGGAGTACATAATGAACAAATCAACAAATTAATCAATCACATGAGCCATTAGGCCTCCCACAGTTTCTTCAGCTCTATTATTTCTAACACTACACTAAACAGTACCTAACCTGACCAACCTGGAATATTAGTTTCGACCCAAGCTGTCACCACGTGGGTAAGGTTAGTGTTACTAGTCACGTACACCTATAGTTATATTGTGTGTGTCACTATATAACACTATATATCTCTCCCAAAGTGGTGGAGGACGAGGCTCACACTCACAACACTGCCCCCGGACGGAGGTGTTGTGGGGGGTTGGACTGGTCAAATCGTCTACTGCAGTTTCGTATACCGCACTAGAAACAACTTTGTTCACTGAGAAGTTTGTACATACAAACCCTTTCGTTCGTATAAGAACATAAGAAAATAGGCCCATACGAGGCAGCTCCTATTTATAGCCAAATATCCCCAGTTTGCTAACTGTAGGTAGTAACTGAGTGATTGTAACCTATCCACCGCTGCCCATTGGATGGGGGGCGGTGTGCAGGACAAACATATAAATTGTGACACTATAGCTCTCCACATATGTCAGTTGCTTAATTTAGAACCTGTACTTGAGGTCGATCTCGAACCCATTGTTGATGTGACGACTTATATTAAATTTTGTAACTAGCTCATCAAGATTGTAACTTGCTTAGCTAAATGAATTGTGGGGTTCAGTCCCTGAGCCCATTATGTGCCTCTGTAACCCTTTCCACTACCCCCCACGGAATGGGTATGGGGTGCATAATAAATGAACTAAACTAAAAAACTCCTATTTATAACCACCCAATCCCATTCATATGCATGTCCAACCCACGTTTAAAACAATCAAGTACCCACTTCCACCACGTTACGCGATAATTGGTTCCACAAATCAACCACCCTGTTACCGAACCAGTATTTACCCAAATCTTTCCTAAATCTAAACTTATCCAATTTATACCCATTGTTTCGTGTTCTATCTTGTGTTGATACTTTTAATACCCTATTAATATTCCCTTTGTTATGTCCATTCATCCACTTGTAAACCTCTATCATGTCACCCCTAACTCTTTGCCTTTAAAGTGAATGCAATTTAAGCTTTGTTAATCTTTCTTCATATGAAAGATTTCTAATTTGGGGAATTAACTTAGTCATCCTACGGCTGACACGTTCAAGTGAATTTATATCCATTCTATAGTACGGCGACCAAAACTTAACTGCATAATCTAAATGGGGCCTAACCAGAGCAAGATATATAGCTGAAGAACAACACCAGGTGTCTTGTTACTAACGCTTCGATTAATAAATTCCAGTGTCCTATTCGCCTTATTACGAACATTCATGCATTGATCCTTTGGTTTTAAATTCTTACTAATTATAACTCCCAGATCCCTTTCGCAATCTCAACACCATCTAGCTCGTATCTTGTAACTCTATCATCATTACCTAGCCTCAGAACTTTACATTTATCAACATTAATCTGCATCTTTTGACCATTTCAAAACCCTATTTAGATCAACTTGAAGTGATAGCGAGTCTTCTTCCATGTTAATTTCCCTACCGATTTTTGCATCATCGGCAAATTTGCAAATGTTGCTACTCAAACCTGAATCTAAATCATTTGTATATATTATAAACAACAGAGGTTCCAATACAGGGCCTTGAGGCACTCCACTTACAATATTTTTCCACTCTGACTTAACCCCATTTATACTAACTCTCTGTTTTCTTTAGTATAGCCATGCCCTAATCCATCTTAATATAGCACCCTCAATACCATGAGCCTCTTTTCAATCAGTCTTTCATGTGGCATTTTATCAAAAGCTTTGCTAAAGTCAAGGTACACAACATCGCAAACCTTACCACTATCAACTGCCTCAACTATGCTGGAATAAAAAGATAGCAAATTTGTTGCACATAAACGGTCATTTGTAAAACCATGTTGTGACTCGTTTATTAATTTATGTTTTTCAAGATCAAAACTAATGGTATTTGCAATTTCAAATTTTAGTTTTCAAAGATGTTATTCTCAAAAATACCTGTTCAACTAGGGAATTACTAATTGGTAAGCTGTATATTTTCAGCTTATAAACTTTGCGAGGCCAAGAGGTCAATCTTGGGTTCCCCGACAGCTTTCTTGACATATCCAAATCCCGCGCTGGCAACAAAAACTATGGCGTCATAGTGACGTCACACCTTGTGCAAATTATGGGCATACATTTAAACACAATATTGTATCTATTATTTTCATTACATTAGATCATATTCGGGTAGGTTAGAGTAGGCTTAGTTAGACTAGGTTCAGTTAGGTTAGATTAGGCTGGGTCAGATTTATTTAAGAATAGCGATGACGTACCCGATTCCAACTTTTTGCAGGTGTTAGACCCTAAGTGATGTAAACAGTGTTCGAACCCCAGTTGGAAACAGACCCAACTATAGGATGGGTTAACCCAAGTATCGCGCTTCCAAAAGGGTCGCCAAGTTGGAAAAGACGAACGCTGAAAGAATTGTAACGGTTCTATTGTTACGTAAAGTATGGTGACAAATAAACACAGACACTAAGGTACTATATATATATTTGGTCGAATATACAGAAGTACACAGGTGATACTTTGGTGTGAGTTGGGCGCACTGAGCGCCGGTACAGTATCTCGCAAGTGTCTGCTCTAGACCACACTTGAAAGTAGACTGGTTAATGTTTGCTATTCTGCTGCTTATATGCTCGGGCAACACCTCACCGTGTTGCCCGGGCAACGCCTCACCTCATTCATCTTCAAAGGTTGACAGGAATATTAACAAAGCATTTGGAGCGAGTATATTATTGGGATAATCTACTCGCTACAGAACTCCCCCTCCCAGGGGATGAAAGGAAAAATACTTGATCAAGGAACTTAGCTGGTCGGTGAATTGTACGCCCTGCTCGTTACAATTCACGCGTTACATAACCATCAAAGTTAACTTCCTCCTCTTCGCTGATGTCATCTAACTGGGGTCGTAGGGTGGGAGGTCGTACTGGGGTCGTAGGGTGGGAGGTCGTACTGTGGTCGAAAAGTGAACTGCGTAGTCAGCGGATGTGTCTCTGGATTTAGCAGTGTCGCAGACGTTGAGACGAAGCCTGGAGCAGAGCAGAGAGCTGAGTGAGGCCGGAGTCGTGGAGCTCTATGAGTGAGAGCGTGGCGGCTCGATTGAGAATTGTGAGTGTCTGAACTCGGGGAGCGAGAGCGTGGCGGCTCGATGTGGTCGTAGTCTGCTGTCTGCTCTGTGTCGAAGCTGTAGCGTCTTGGGTTGATTAGGACTGTACACGCCGAGTACTACATTGTTGACTGGAAATTGTAGTCTGGTACCAAAAGATGTAGTCAGTGTGTGGACAAGCTCGGTGTAGCAGGAGAGAAGAATGTGCATAATTGTTGCGTCCTTAGCTCGCTGGTGGAGCATTTAGATCCGAGGCGGATGGGCTCGGGCACCAGGACATTAGGAGGTAATGTAGGCACGTAGTTAGGACAACGAGGTAATCACATCTAGAGCTGAATTGTTCTGAAGGCGACGAAGTGTCGGAAACGCAAGCTGTGAGTCCTGTACTGCGCAAAGGGCTCGAGTCGGCCGAGTATCAAAATTCAGTGAACGTGTAGATGAATCTGATGACAGAGCAGCTGTCGTGGGCGTAGGACAAGCAGTGCCCTGGCAGCGACGGAGAGTCGGCAGGACAAGCTGTAGATCCAACATGATGTAATCATTGATGAGGCTGTCAGATGAGTGAGTAACGATCGTGGAGCAGCAAGCCGTAGTAGATGAAAATGCAGAGATGGACGCGATGAAAATCATAGCTGTGGCGAGGGTGTTGGCAGAGTTCCATCACAGCAAACAGTATAGCAGTAGAGGTCCAGTGAGAGTCCATGTTGTAGTCCATCGTGGCTGGGTATCGTCGAAACTTCGTGAAGGTCGAAAATAGCCTCCATCTGCATGAACCAAAATTCTGGCTCATCTGCGTTGTATGCTGGAAACCTGGTAGATAAATCCATGACGAAGATCTAGTTTGTGACTAGGTGTTTCTGATCAGGGGAAGGAAGACACCAACTCATGGGGGCGTAAGTTTATTGAATTGATAAATAATTCTGCAGAAGTAAAACAGGCTTCTAAATAGCACTTAACAAATGTATAACATAGCCGTGGCTAACTCAAAGTACACGAAACATCTTAAATTGTACATCCGTAGTAAAATAACGTAATCTTATAGCCTAGTAACAAACTCTGCAGAAACCTAATGTCCTAATGTCTAGAATTAGCAGTGAGGCGAATATGTAACAAATCTAATTCTAAGTATAACAGGACACCAAAGTGAACAACATAACATAAGGGAAACCCTAGCTGGAGAATAATCAGGCGGCAGAAAATACATATATAGTGACTGGGGAAGCCTGATATGTATTTGGAGAAGAAAATAACCCCAGGCCAGAGGCCGAGCCGCCAAGGAAGAAGGAATTACCTGACAAGGTAGGGCTTACTAGTAGAATGGCTGTAAAGTCAAAGTAGTAGCTATGCGGACAGCGGAACACTTGGGGACGGGCGCTGCACCCCCCCCCCCCCCCACCCATCCCCAGTGAAACGGGAGGAAAAACGTGAGGAACAACGACTGACGTAGTCAGAACCGGGAAAACTGGCAGCCAGCAGAAAGGGGGAGGAGGGTGGGCGCTTCGTGAATCGTGGACCGGGGCGGGAGAGGGAGTGAGAGCGAGACCTGATTGATTGATGAAGATTAAGCCACCCAAGAGGTGGCACGGGCATGAATAGCCCGTAAGTGGTGGCCCTTTTGTGCCATTATCAGTATCAAGAGCTGATACTGGAGATCTGTGGAGGCGCGACTGCACCCTGCGAGCGAGACCTGACTTCGCGCGCTTTTTATGCCACCCAGGCTGGCCGCACCGCGCCTTGCGGAACGCGATGCGCAATTGTCTCTTCCTTCCCCATCAGAAACTCCACCGCCTTTCGTCAAAAGGCAGTGGCCATTTCTTTTTCACTCACTGGGTCACCAATGTAACGGTTCTATTGTTACGTAAAGTATGGTGACAAATAAACACAGACACTAAGAGACTATTTGGTCGAATATACAGAAGTACACAGGTGATACTTTGGTGTGAGTTGGGCGCACTGAGCGTCGGTACAGTATCTCGCAAGTGTCTGCTCTAGACCACACTTGAAAGTAGACTCTGGTTAATGTTTGATTGATTGATTGATGAAGATTAAGCCACCCAAAAGGTGGCACGGGCATGAATAGCCCGTAAGTGGTGGCCCTTTCAAGCCATT